GGGGGGGGGGGGGTGAAACGGAGCATCTCGGATGACCGGTCGGCGACCGAGCGGAGAAGAGATGTTTGTGTGAGCGAAGTGTGGGAAGGAGAATGACCCAAGACAAGCGCAATACTACGTACGGTCATGGATAATCTGATTTTACGTATAAGAATGGAAAGCAGGGCGGATACAGAAGAGAGTTGATAACATGTATCTTCAAGTCATTGGAATTGCATCCGTTCTGATGTGAGAGAGTCAATGGCATGGGAAGTAGAATTGAAAAAGAAAAAAAAAAAGAAAAAGAGAACAAAGAATTATAACAAGAAGTACTAATAGACCCCTTCCCTAATAGAAAAGCCATGTGATCGATTATAGGATCCGACTGTTCAAGACGCACACGCAGGATTGGACTGACACGGGAACGAGTTGCCACTGACTAGAAAAAAAAAAGAAAATAAATAAATAGAGAAACGCGGGGTGAATTGAAGTCTGGGGGAGAAAAAGAGGACGATGGCCCATGAAAGCAATAGCAACTATTGGAGGCTAGCAATAAGTACAAGGCAAGTAAAATAATAAAATACATGTACGGGAGTAATCTATACTAGAATAGAGTAATAAGTGCTAGGTGCTAACAGCATCAAGTCGGATCCGACGGGGTTGAGGAAACCGGGGTGGTGCGGGATATTAAAGAGGGGGGGGGGGTTAGGTTATGAGTGTGAGGGGTGGTGGCGGCGAAGTCAGAGGGAACCCAAGGAAACCAAGGAAACCCAGGACCGTCTTGGGGCCAATCATGCCCACTTTGTAGTCATCAGAGACTTGCGGAGAGGAATCGTATTACGCTTAGACCTGGGTTTGCCTTCACTTGGGGGTCGGTCAGGGTATCATGTATTGCCATGTATACATGTACAGATTATACTCGTACATACGAGTACGGTGCATGGATTAGCGTTTCTGGCCATCTACAAATAACAATCACGTATAACTCGTATATACACATATACGACCCTACGAGTATGCTGAGACAGAGACAGCTCTTGGGATCAGGCCCATCTGCCGTGAGGCCACGGACATGTACACGCTACGCCTGAGAAGCAGAGTGATGAGTATATACGGATAGATACACACGAGTAATCTGTACAGGCCACGCACTCCGATCCCCGGCCGGATGGAGCTCGACAGAGACGGTCCCACGGAGCATGTGCCCCACTCTTCTCTCCTCCCTCCCCGCTGTCGCAAAGCGAAATCGACGGTTCCACACGCTTACGGCAAGTATCGGAGGTGTAATACTTGGTAGGTACGGTAACACGGACGATAGCATCGCATTATATACCTTGCATGCTCCCCTCTCTTCTTCCCCCCCTCTCTCTCTCTCTCCCACCGGTGAGCCGTTGCCGTTGTCGAGACTGGGGGGAGGGTGGATGGTGATGATAGATAGAGCGAGACCGAGGTCGACGTGAAGAGATTGTCGAGGAGAGAGAGAAGAGTAGAATGGAACCTGAAATAGAGAAGAGAGTAGAATGAAACCTGAAATCAGATATGAATACTTACTCCAGAAGCCCGGATCGCACTGTGGGTCCAAAGGAAGAGGAGGAGGAAAAAAAATACACAACATACACACACACACACATACACACACACACACACACACACACACACACACTGCACGCACGCACGCACACGGAGAGAGATAGAGATGGAGAGAAAAAAAGGGATATGACGCATTCGGATGGCTGACGGAACGGCCGGGCATCGGATGACCGTTACATCTCAAACCTTCTTCTTCTCATCCTTCTTACGGAGCACATCACTCTATGCATGCGTACAGCGCAGTCGAGGAAAATGAGAAGGGAAGAAGAGATACGATACCACGGCGGGGAGAGGATGGACGCTGGACAGCGAGAGTCGCTGGTCAGTATGCTTGGGCGTTGCGCGCGTGCTTGGCGACATGGGGTGCACTGCATGGCGTATCGCCACGGTCACGCACCCTTCTGTCGACCGGCGATGGGATCGAGCTGGATTGGGACTCTCAACGGAAGGGAGAGAAGGAAGGTGTGATGTGGTGAGGTATGGTGTGGTGCGCAGGTAGGTGTAGACGACCAGAAGTTGACGTATTGATCTATGGGAGCAAGGTAGTAGGTACCTGTAAAAGAGACGCTATCAGAAATTGGGAACCGGAGTAGCTACATGTATCATTATATTATATATATCCGTATATATATCCGTATGTATGTATGTATGTATCATGTATGTATGTGTGTGTGTGTGTGTGTGTGTGTGTGTGCGTATGTATGCACACGTATAATAATAATACTGCAAACAAGTACTAGGACAGAGTATTATTAGTCATCAGCCGTGACAGAACTCAACAGCCGCTATGGACAGCGTCGTCACGGGGCGGGGGAGAGAGAGAGGCGAGCAGGAGCCATATCAAGGAGCCACAAGGAAGAATACCCGGCAATGACCATACTAGACGCTCCTCTGGGACCTCCGCACTCATCATGGTCCACGGACCAGAGCTTCTGGTCTAGAGGTCATCGGCGAATCTCACCAAATGGGCACCGTCCCCATAGTTTGCATGCAGGAGTGTATGAGCATATACAAGCTGCATGTATACACCACGGCCAAAAGTACCGAGTACGTACTTTTCGACCAAGGATACATATACTCGTAGACGTCTCTACTCGCACTATTCCGTACTCTCTCGCTCGTACAATTAGCAGACTAATACGCATTCCCCCCCCCCCTACATACAGCTACTATCACTCGTACTAGTACCCGTAGTGGTAATAATATTTAATACATACTACTTCACTTGCCCATACAAGACCCCACCGTACCAGAGAGAGGGAGAGAGAGGGAGAGAGAGAGAGAGAGAAAAGCAGCAGGAGAGAGGAACCCACAAGAGCAGCTACGTACTTCATGTACGGAGTAACTCTCCAAGTTTTCTCTCGTACTAATCGCCCGCTCTGTGTGGACTCGAGTTATAAGAACCAGGGCAGAGAGGCCCCCACCCCCGGATTATTCCTTTCTGTCCTCTTGTCCTCCCTTTCCTTTTTTTTTTTCCTTCTCGTTCGTCGTCCGTCTACGTCGTCGTCGTCGTCGTCGTTTTTCTTCTTCTTCTTCCCCCATCCGTACTCTTGCTTCCCTCTCCATCTTCTCCCTCCCCCCCCCTCCCGCCCTTTCCATATATCCCCTACCCCTTCCCTTCCCCTACCCCCAACTATCTTTCCTCTCTCCCTCTCTCTCCCTCTCTCCCTCTCCCCCTCTCTCCCCCCATCTCCCTGAGCAGAGCAGCAAGGACACGGAGGGAAAGACCAGCACGGATGCTTCACAAGGGAGACCCGCCGACCTTTACCTCCTCTCTCCTCTATTCCTCGCACTCCCCGTCCCACTTTGGTCATCACGCCTGCCATCCTCGACAACGACATTCCAGCCTGACCGAACCGGGAGGACTGTTCATCAGAACGGCAGCAACAGGACACGTCCAACGGTTCGACGCTCACCACCCTCGTAACCGAGACGACGACCAGCACCAGCACCCCCCGGGAACGATCTGAATAATATACCGCCACCCGGAGCAAGCTCGAAGAGAGAAGGATCAAAGACGGAACGCCGAGACGACACCGACGACGACTCAATTGATAAAAAAAAGAAGAATAAGAGATAGAACCCCCCTCCCCCGCCTCTCTCCACCGAGAAGATGACTTCGGATACCTCAGACACCTCGGCCGCCGGCTCCCCCCCGGACACATCATCGCAGAAGAATGGGAAGAGTGGCAGCGCCAGCGCCAGCGCCAGCGGCAGCGCCAGCGGCAGCGGCGTCGACAAGTCCAAGGTCAAGAAGCAGAGATCCGACTCGACCGCCACCGTCGACAGCAACCCTCCGGCCAAGGTGACCAAGCGTCGAGCCGCGAGAGCCTGCGTGTCCTGTCGCGCTCGCAAGGTGCGATGCAACGTCGTCGAGGAATCACCGTGTACCAATTGCCGATTTGACAATGTCGAGGTATTTCCCCTCTTTACCAATCTTCTTCTCTTTCCCTCTTCTTTTTCGTCTCTTATCTCATCATCTCATGATTCTCTCTTCTTTTTCCTTCTTTCCCTTCCCCTTATTCGTTGTCCTTCTTTTATTTTTTTCTTCCCCGCCTCTCAATACATACTGACAAACATATTCAGTGCATTGTTCAAGAAAGTCGTAGGAGAAAGTGAGTTTTTTTCTTCTTCTTCTCTATCTGCCTTTTTTACTTTTTTCTTCTTTTGATATCTTCCAGAAATACGGGATATTCTCTTCGTTCTTCTATCCGGCGGGGGGGAGGAGGGGGGGGGGCACACATTTTCCTGGGGGAGGGGCGGCCGCGTGCCAGCATCACCAATCTCGATGAGGGAGAAACCAAGCAGAAGCCCGGAAAGAAGAACGGAAAGAAGAGAAGGGGAAAAAAAACAGGAATCAAATCCTCCGTCAACAATTGGACCGAAGCTGACCCATCCCACTCTTCTCACTCCCCAGAAAACACCTCTTGACTGCCAGCATGGGGCACCAGCAGCAACCTGGTCAGCAGCACCAGCAGGGTTCTCCCTCTAGACCGGCCGGAGCCGCTCTATCCGCCTCGACCGTCGGAGGGAGTCAACCCCACCAACACCACCATCACCACCACCCTGTTCCTATTCACAGCGCCGCGGAAATGCGCCGGCCCAGTAGCGGGTCTGTGCTGTCTACGGGTGATGGAGATGCCATGCACAATGGGGATGGCCATGTTCCTCATGCGCTCTGTAGGTTTTTTTTTTTTTTCCTTTTCTTCCTCATTATCTTCTCATCATTTCCCCTCAATTCCATCTACCCCTTCTCTGTACCATGCATTTCGTCATCCCCCTTCCCCCCCTCCCTCTCCTCTGGAGTGCGTGTGACACATGTGTCATATGCGCTCGCCCAGAAGAAAAAGAAAAGTACAAGATACGTACCTTTTTTCTTTTTTTTCCCTCTGTTCCTCTTATTTTCGCGTTGGAGAAGGAGCCAATGACTCCGAATCCCCGCACCTTCCCAGCGAAAAAAAGGGGGGAGGGAGGAGTATTGAGAAAAGTGGAGACACACTACGTCGTCCTGCCTTTCTCATTCTGTCTCTCATCTGATGCACGCGAACATTCCATCGTCATCGTCATACCAATCTTCACATGCCAAAACCTCGCAACGACAACGGGAAAGAGGGAAAAAGAAAGAGACAAGGAGACAGGAGGAAGAGAGAAGAGAAAAACTCTCGGCTAACATCCACGACTCTCATAGATCAGCGATCTGGCTATCGAACTCTCCAGGCTGCCGTTGATCCGAGTTTGAAACAAGCTCAGACCAGCCAGCAGCCGCAGCAGCCGCAACACCCGCTCCAGCCTCAACCTCAGCAGCAACCCCAGGTCTTCTGGCCTTCCGGCACGAGTCCGAGCCCGAGCGCTGTCAGTGCTAGCAACACTACTACCGCCACCGCCGCCGCGGCGCATCAGCTGTTCTCCTCTTCTTCTCCCTTGGCCACGGGATTCGGTGCCACCGCCGGCGCTACCGCCCACAGCCGAACGGCCCAGTTCCTGAGCCAGCTCGAGGATCCGGACGCGAGCTCCCACCTGCCCGCCTTTGTCCGACCTCTGCCCGCCAAGATCGCCGCCGAGGATGTCACCTACCTGCACATCAAGGGCGCGCTGTCGCTGCCCGCCGTCCCGCTCCAGAATGCCCTGCTGCAGGCTTACATCGAGTACGTCGACCCCTACATGCCGCTGATGGACATGCACGACTTCCTGTCCATCGTCAACCGGCGCGACGGGCTCAACGGCCAGACCAGCCTGTTCCTCTACCAGGCCGTCATGTTCGCCGCCACCGCCTTCGTCGACGTCAGGCATCTCCGCGAGGCCGGCTACCCGTCGCGCAAGGCCGCTCGCAAGGCATTCTTTCAGAAGACGAGGGTAAGTCTCACGCCGATCGGGGGGGGGGGGGGCGAGGCGAGGTGGACTGTTGAGGATGTGAGAATTCGGTGATGCATCATCGGGATGTGGACGGCTGACAGACGAGACAAACAGCTCCTCTACGATTTCGACTACGAGATGGACCGCCTCGTCCTCGTCCAGGGCCTCATGCTCATGACGTACTGGTACGAGACGCCCGACGACCAGAAGGATACATGGCATTGGATGGGCGTGGCCATCTCGCTGGCGCACACGATCGGGCTGCACCGCAACCCGGCGTCGACGTCGATGGCGCTGTCGAAGCAGAGGCTGTGGAAGCGCATCTGGTGGTCCTGCTTCATGCGCGACCGGCTGATCGCGCTGGGCATGCGGCGGCCGACGCGCATCAAGGATGAGGACTTTGACGTGCCGATGCTGGAGGAGGCGGATTTCGAGCTGCGGCCGTTGGCCGACAGCGTGACGGTGGTGCCGGCCGGGTGCAGGCTGGTGCGCGACGTGGCGATGCAGACGGAGCTGGCGACCATGTGCATCTTCAAGGCCAAGCTGTGCCTGTGCATCAGTCACATGCTCAAGGCACAGTATTCGGTGCTGATCCGCGACTCGATGAAGCCCGAGAACACGACCAACAGTACCATGATGCTCTTCCCCAACAAGCAGCTGGACAATGTCGAGAGCGTCAACTCGGTCGACGTCGAGCTGGCCGCCTGGGCCGAGTCGCTCCCGGCCTGCTGCCAGTACCGCACGCCCACGCCGGCCGACGTCGAGGGCGGCCGCGCCACCGTGGCCGTCCAGCGCACGCTCCTCCACATGGTCTACTACACCACCATCTCGGCGCTGCACCGGCCCCAGTTCCTCCCGTCGTCGCCGGCCCACGCGCCCACGACGTCCCGGCAGGCCCAGGACATGTCCCGGCTGCGGGTGCGCGACGCGGCCACGCACATCACGCGGATGGCGTCGGAGCTGCACCAGCTGCGCCTGGAGCGCTTCCTGCCCACGACGGGCGTGACCGTCATCCTGCCCGCCATGATCATCCACCTCCTCGAGATGAAGAGCCCGTCCAGCGAGGCCCGCACCCACGCCACCCGCGGCTTCCGCCAGTGCATGGTGGTCATGGAGAAGCTGCGCGAGATCTACGCGGCCGCCGACTACGCCACCGGATTCCTGGACGCCGCCCTCCGCAAGGCCTCGATCGACGTGCACTCCGCCGTCGCGGCCTCGGTCCGCGTCGCGGCCAAGCAGTCGCCCGTCGAGTTCGGCGCCCAGACGCCCCCACCCGAGAACGTGCCGTACATGACGGCCTCGGAGACGCTGTTCAGCGAGCAGCCCCAGCCTCCGCGCGCCATGCGCCAGGCCTCGTTCGCGTCCCCCTCGTCCGCCTCGGCCGCCGACCTCCGCAAGGCCATGGCACCCCCCCACACCATCAACGCCGCCGACCTCGATCTGTCGGCTACCGGGGGGAGGTCTGGAGGGTCACCGGCATCGCCCCCCAACGTGGCCGACTTTCTGGGACTGACCGGGGCCGGTGCCGGGAACGGATCGATGAGCCACCATGCCATGAACGGTGCCGGCGCTCCTGCTGCTGCTGCTGCTGCTGCTGCTGCTGCTGCTGCTGCGCTCGGAGGTGTGGTGACGCCCAGTGCGAGCGGAGGATCGGACGAGGTGGGAGGTGATGGGGAGCCGGATGCCATGGATCTGGACTTCATGCAGGGCCACGACGAGTTTGATTGGAATGCCGTCGCCGGCACGGATTTCGACGTCGATCAGTGGCTGCAGTTTCCGCCTGATGGGGTCAGCGGCGGTGCAGGTGCAGGTGCAGGTGCGGGTGCAGGTGGCAACGGCGGTGAAGACCTTGTGAATGGGGTGTTTAGTGGTGATGATGTCGAGATGCAGACTGCTGCTTCTACGGCACAATCCGTCTGGGGGTGACTCTGAGCTTGAAATTTTTTTCTTCCTCACCTCCTCTCCTCATCATTGTTGTTCTGTCCTTTCTCCTTCTCCACGACGCATGTCTTTGTCCCTGTTTTATCATTTCGGTATGATGCCCATCTCTTATTGTTCTCACAACGTCCCCTTGTTAGATTCGGGAAGACTCTTTTTTTTTTTCCCCCTCTCTTTTCGTTTCGTTTCTTTTTTCTTCTTTTTGTAAATCTCCTTCCTTTTTTTTTTTTTATAAAAAAAAAGGGCCTCATCATGATGTACTGGGTTCACAAGGTAAATTCTGGGGGTTTTGGTGTTCTTCTTTTTCTTCTTCCTGGTGGATTACTCATTCGAGTCGAAAGCGTATCAGATTATGCCGTGAACATTATAGAGGAGGAGAGGGGGGAGGAAGGATGGTTGGCAAATTAATAAGAGAAACGTCGATATGATTCGTATTTGATCTGAGAAGTGACAGTTGCTAAATAAGTGGTGGTGGTGTTGTGTGTAGTACGTATCAATACCGACTGAGAAATGATGGGGATTGGGTACTGGGTGTCGACGTGGTTGTTGCCTGACGGATGCGTCACGTAAGAGACGACAAGGCATCATATTCATGTACTACCACGTATTACGGAGTGTTGAGAAATCCATACAAGATAAAAAGATCAATACCTACCATCCCTCGGGGACCCTTGGAAAGAAAAGAAAAGGAAAGACTTATAGAGCTTGCTTGGATTACCTTGACTGTCTCAGCCGTATATTGATTTACTCTACTGCCCCCCCCCCCCCTGGGAGCTTTAATTATAGCCCAAATTATTGGCAATAAGTAATCAACTGACAAACACCGAGCAAGCTCCATGGCAATTCCTACGTCAACCGGGGGGTTCAGGTAAACCACACAATCCAGACATAACGCCTTCCCAGGTGGCTTGGTCTGACAAGACTTGCCCCCCCCCCCCCCCCCCCCCTCGCCCCCCCCCTTTTCTCTTTGTTTTTTTTTTCTTTTTTTTTTTTTTTTTTTTTTTTTTTTTTCCCCCCCCCCCCCCCCCCCCCCCCCCCCCCCCTTCCTCGCATTTCTCTTCTTTGCTCGTCTTTCCATCCGGTCCGCCGTCGTGGCAACCATCAGACGTATACGACCGTTTCTAGCTCGTCGCCTCGCCGCTGCATTCGATACCCGTCTCGTCTCAGACCTCCGCCACCCGTCTGATGTCATTTCGGCTCGACGCCTCTGCATCTGACGTCTGCCTCTCTCGAATACTTCCTTCCTTCCGACCGACACAGGAAGGAGGCCGACTCTGATATCACGCGCCGATCCTGCACCCTCCAGAAGACACCAACTATGGGCATCAACGAGATACGCGCCATCGCTCACGCCTCTGCTCCCTTATCATAACGGAGCACGCAGCCCTTCTCCGTCGACATTGACGGGCCGTATATGCTCCCGTCCTCCTGACTCTACGGTCACCAACGGAGTGAGAACAAGAAGAGAAAAGAAAGGAGCAGACCAGGTGAAGATTCCAAGAGGCCCCCAGAAGCGAGCGAAGCGAGGGCAGAGACGAGACAGGATGAACGACCATCCACAACTGCTCCCGCCCACGAGGCACTCCTCGGGCGGTCACTCCCCCACCCGCCAGCGTCTCCACGATGACATCCTGGCCCAGACGTCTCCGGCCGTCGTCGTTCACGCCCTGTCTTCCCCGACCGACGCCTTGGCCTCTTGCCTCGACAGCGCGTCCCCTTCGGAGCGCGATTTCGCCATGCGTACCGCGACCGCGTCGCACACCATATGGGAGTGGGTGGATGAGCTCAGCGACTGGCCGTGGCCGTCGGACGGATCCGCCGGCTTCGAGGTGAGGACCCCGGACCGCACGGCCATGACCGCCGCCGCGGGGAGGAGCACCGGCACCGGCAATGTAGACGTCGTCGTCGTGGGCATCATGCCCCTGCGCGACGTGCCCGGCTACATCGCCAGGATCGACGACGTGTACGCCGAGATGGAGGCCCTGCAGCTGGACGAGATCAAGAGCCACGTGATGGCGAGCTACATCCTGCCCCTCTCCAGGTCCACCGGTTCCGAAGGCCACTCCGACTCCAGCTGCCTGCGCCTGGGTCTCATCTACAACAAGATGGACGATCTCCCGGCCGTCATCACCGCCATCGTCCTCCAGACCCTGCCCAACCTCGCCAGGCTGTCGTACCTGCTGCACATCTGGGCTATCCGCCTCGACATCGTCCAGCGCGTGCCGTCCTTGCTCGCCGCTCTCCAGGATGCCGAGCTCGCCCTCAGATCGGGATGGACCGCCATCGAGCCTAGGAGGAAGAGTGGCGCCGGCGGCAGCAGGAGCAGCAGCGGCAGCAGCAGCAGCAGGAGCAGTGCGAGCTACAACAACAACAACAACAACAACAACAACATCGACAACAACAACAAGAACAACAGCAGGAATGGTTTAGACAATGACGGAACAAACCAACTCGAACCAGCAGAAGAAGAAGAAGAAGAAGAAATCACAGCACCCAGCCTCTCCCGTAGAGACTTTGAAGTCATGAGGACAGTCATTGCTGCCAAGATTTCCACCCCCGGCCGTTCCCTGGATTACATGCTCGACAAGCTAGAGGGACTGTCCGATACCCTGCCCGACGCATGGCTCGAGAGGATGGAGGTGGTCGAGCGCGGATACGCTGAGTGGGTTGCCGCCTGCGAGCGCAGGATCGCAGAAGCCCAGTGGCTCACGGCCCTGTCCGTGAAGGCTGCGCAGACGCCGTCTGCCAGCTCGAGAGCCGCATCGCCGCAGAGCCGAGCGCCGCCAGGCGAGGAACGACCGCTCGTCGTCAAGAAGCTGAGGGAACCCCCGCGCACCCCTTCGCCGCCCGAGGATGCCCGGAGGGTGCTCCCCTCCAGAGGGCGCCAGCTCCTGGATGCCGACGAGTCCTTCGCATCCAGCAGGCTCCAGGTGCCCACCCCGATCAAGGAGGAGCAGAGCTTCCCCGAAGACGACGGGACGGACATGTCCTCGCCGGGCTCACCCCAGCTGCCGCCTCTGCCGCGCAACGACGGAGACGACAGCGACGGTTCGGACACGTCCGTCGTCTTCCACGGACGCCGGTCGAGCCATTTCGGCCCGTCGAGCGAGCCGCCAGAGGTGCTGGGCTCGCCCATGGTGCCCAGGACGCGCGTCCGCGAAGCCGAGTACGTCGGCGGCGTGAGCCTCGCCGACAGCCCGCCCAGCTCGCCGCCTCTGCCCGAGGACTCCCAGGCGCAGGCGTCGCCTTCGGACGCCGGCCTGCTCGGCAAGCCCGCGGCGTTCGACGACGCGACCACGCCCAACACGCCCATCGACGGGTCCTTCTCCGGCTACTTTGACGACTCGTTCGGCCTGGAGATGACGGCCAGCCCCGGCACGAGCCGTGACGGCTCGGACGAGCAGCTGCGCCAGCAGATTGGCGAGATCATCGACAGGATCCCCGCCAGGATCAGGCTGCGGTCCGAGCCGCCCAACCTGAACCCGCCAGACCTGCAGCTCCCCAAGCTCCGGAAGAAGGTGTCGCGTGAGATGGCATCGTCGCGGCGCAGCGTGTCGGGCATGTCCTCCCGCGGAACGACGCCCTCCTTCACCCTGTCGCCGGCCAAGAACCCCCGCCCGCCGCGCCAGCAGCGCGGACAGCAGGACATCAAGGTCTACCACCTGTCGCGGTCGACGGGCGAGGCGCCCATCAAGCTCTTCATCCGGTGCGTCGGCGACAACGGCGAGCGGGTCATGGTCCGCGTCGGAGGCGGCTGGGCCGACCTGAGCGAGTACCTGAAGGAGTACGCGACCCACCACGGGCGCCGGTCGGCGGGGACCGACAATGCCAAGGTCGAGGTCCGCGACGTGCCCCGCGTACCCAGCGCCAGCGGGCTGCGACCCTCGGACCCTCGGCTCCGGTCCACGCCGCCCAGCCGGCCGACCTCGGCATTCGACACCCGCCTCCCCACCACGCCCCTGGCCGTGCGCAAGTCCCGACGCAGCATCGGCGCCAGCAGCGGCGAAGCCCCTCGGCCCCTCGGACCGGTCACGCCCGGCCAGGGCCAGCAGTACCGGTCCCCCTCGGACGGCGGATACCCGTCGGCCTCCAGGTCGCGGTCCAACTCGCGCGTCGGCTGGGTGGAGGAGGACAGCTCGTTCCTCGGCCTGGCCGGGCCGTCGGGCAAGAAGGTCGAGATGAGCGAAGAGAACAGGGCTTGGGTCGAGAGCGTCAAGGAGAAGGTGCGGATCGCCAGCAGCGAGCACATGAGGGTCTCACCCTTCATCCCCTTCGTGCCGTCCATCCCGCCCCCCCAGCCGTCCGCCACCACCGGCTACTCCCCCTCTGCCTCGCCCTCTGCCGCCTCTGTGGCCTCTGCCGCCTCGGGCCTCTCCCAGTCCGGATCCCGGACGCCGGATGACTATTCCAAGAAGAAATTCGGCGAGCTAGGTAGGGTCGGCGGGACGAAGAGGCTGTACAGGAGGAGTGAGGCTCTTCAGCAGAATACCAAGAGGAGTTGATCTTCTTGAATGACTCCAAAAAACCAAGGACCTTCCCCGACTCTCTTCATTCGCGCACGACACTTGGCATCTTTTATATCTTGTTTTATTTACATTTTGCCATCTACACAATTTGCATGTTCATCTTTGCATGTTTTTTTTTCCCTTTCTGTTTTCTTCTCTTTTGTTTTTTTTTCCTTTTCTCTTTTCGCTTTTCCCCGAATACATTTTTTACTCCTTTTTTTTTCTGGACAAGTCATTCTTTTTGATGGGGGGAGAGGATAAGCCTGTTATACCCAATTTCTTTCCTTTTTTTTTTTTTTATAAAAAAAAACTCATTCTCTTAGAGAGATCATACATCATCACAAAGCATCCAGTGCAGCGAATTTTTCCTTTATTGCTAGCCACCTTTTTTTTTTTCTTCTTCATATTTCTCTTCTTTATTTCAAACATGATGTAAAATTTCCTATATCTTTTTTCTCTGTTTTATTTTTAGAAATTCACTGCAAACCATGTTTTTTTGTTCCATCCTTTTTAATGTCGTTTCAATCAATAAAAAAAATCATCAAGACTCGAAAGAAACCATGAATGAAAAAGAAGAAGAAAAACCGAAAACGAAGCTGTTTTAAAAAAATGCACGTGTCTTTTTTTTTTTTTTTAATATATTTCTTGTCTGTCTTGGTTTCTTGGGGATTTCACCTTTTTTTTTCTTTTCTTTTCAAGACCAATATTTCATCTAGTCATCCATGTTGCCGGGCCTCTTCTTCGTCTTTCTAGCCTTGCTTCCACCCTTGAAATGCTTCTTGCTAGAGAGGACGGCGGCGTCGTTGGGGTCGATGCCGTTCTCTAGGGCGACGAGGGTCCGCGCCTTGCGTCCGGACAGGTTCCTTTCTTTCCCCTGCTCCGTGTACTTGTCGCTGAAGGGCATGGCGACGCGGCCGCCGACGCTACGCGGGCCGAAGAAACCCTTGTCTATGCTCTGGGATTTGGGGCCTGCGGCGGGCAGGGGCACCGCGTCGTCCGTCACCGCGACCGAGGCGTCGTCGGCGGCGCCGGTGCGGCCCTCGAGGGAGAGGGCGTCCATGGACGGGGCCACGAAGCCGGCTCGACGCTTCTCCGGGAGGTGCATCTCGTCGTAGAGGTCGCGGTTGAAGTCTGCGCCGTCCTCGATCCCAGGCGGCGGCTGCACGTACAGGAGCTTGCCGTTGACGTAGTCCTTCAGCACGTAGCGCGCGGCGCGGGACTCGTCCGGCTGTCCGAGGCCCTGCGTGTGGAAGCCGCGTGCCGAGGCGTACGCCCGCAGGAGCTCCTCGGATGTGGGGATGCCCGTGCCTCCCTCCTCGGCCGGACGCGTCTTGATGCGGATGCCGTAGACAGCCTCGAGGAAGCCCTTGGGGATGCGGTGCGTCACGAGCCCCACGGGTCCGGCAAACTCGCGCATCTGGTCTATGGGCAGGATGCCGTTGCATACCAGGTCGGCCTTGGTTGTGGCGAAGTTGGGGAAGACCAGACCAGGACAATCGCACAGGATCACGTTGTCGCTGAGGTGAATCGTCTGGAAGTGCTTTGTCTTTCCGGGCGTGGACGAGACCGACACCTTCTTCGCGCCGATCAGGGCGTTGATGGTCGACGATTTACCCACGTTGGGGTAGCCGATCAGTCCGACTTGGAGCTTGGTCTCTTTTTCTGCCTCTTGTTAAAACTTGGTTCTCAGGTGCATACACGGATGGCGGGGGGCGTGGGAGAGACGAAGGAAATAGGTGATCTCACCAGTGTCGATCGGTGCGTATCGCAGGAATATCGCCTCGAGTTCCTCAATAGTGAGAATCTTGGTGTCGTCCTCGGCTAGGCTTGTCTGCGCACCGCCGTCCTCGTCACTGTCCTCGCTGGCCTCACCCGACTCCTTCTCCGTCTCCGTCTTGGCCTCGGGCTGCTTCGATGACGAAGCCACTGGCTGCTCGTCCTCCGAGTCACTGTCTCCCCTCTCCTCGTTGGCGTCCTTGGCCAGCTGGGCGGAGAAGAACTTGAAGGCGATGTTGGCTTCGCGAAGGTGCTTGGCCCACTCCGTGCGTTGCTTCTCGGTCAGCATGTCGGCTTTATTGATGAGGAGAAGGTTCTCCTTCTTGGGGTTGACATCCTTGACGTAGTGCTCGAGATCCTCTGAGCGAAAGAGGAGGGGGTTCCTGGCGTCGACGATCTGGACGATGAGGTCGGAGCGCTCGATAACACGCCACAGCTGCCTCCAGACCTCGAGGTTGCGCTCAAAGGGCGTCATGAGGAGGTCGTTGTTCTCTTGGAGCTCAGCGAGACCGCGGCGCCAGTTGAGGAAGCTTTCCCTTTCGCGGGCGTCGAGCTCGGCGGGTGTCGTCGAGGCATCCCACTTGGGGCGGCGGGGCACAGTCAAGCGGCCTTTGTGCTGGCGGTGCTTTCCCAGAACAGCCCTCTCCTCGTGGGCGGACAGGAGGAATGGGTTCCTCTGGTCGGTGTGGATGATCTTGACGTTGTTCATCTTCTCGGCCGTGAAGTCGGTACCGGCCAGCTCGGCTGTGGCCAGAAACTCGTCCATGGCGCTCTGCTCCGTCACGGAGCGCATCTTGACCCACGCCGCATCCTGCTTCTCGTTGATCAAGTACGACTCTCCCGTCTCCTTGTTTGTCCTGGTCACGGCTGAGGCCCTCTTCTTGTCTTGCCCCTTTCCCTTGCCGAAGCGGTCGTTCATCAACGAGTTGCCCAACCCCACCTTGTTCTTGGACTTTGCCAGGACCATGTTGGGCGGCAGTTTTTTAACGCTTTTCTTCTTTCCCTTTCGTCTCTCGGTAAAGTTAGTACAGAAATGTTCACAGAAAATGAAGGCGATCTCTGAGATACCAAAGGTATGCACAAGATTAGAACGTTAATGGGATGATGTAGGGAAACAGGATTGTCCTCGACCCTGGGCGGGCTGAATAATTCAAAGAATCGATGGAGGGGCAAATCCCGTCATAAACTTCTCGCACTGTATTTCGACACATTCATAACTTAAGAACACCCTGTATGCACCGTGTTGGGACAGTGTCTAGATAACCGATAACAGTACTCATTTTCTGGAATTTTGCGTCCCCCGCGAAACTTTTCTTTGTGCCCTTTTTCGTCTCATTTGTCAAGATTTGGATGAACCCAACCAACCGCTGGGAGGAAAATTACTACTGCCCAACGTATCTTTTGTTCCATCAACCTCACAGTCACCGATATGGCTCGCGGAAAGTGGATGTAAGTTGGAATTACCTTGAGATAAACTCTCTTCTTTCCTCTTCTTCTTGGCATATCCATGGCTAATACCACCTCTACAGAGACAAGCGCACTGCGCAGCACTTTACCCTTGTCCACAGACCCCAGAATGACCCCCTCATTCACGACGAGAATGCGCCGTCCATGGTGCTGAACCCGACCGAGAACAAAAAGGGTGACGCCGCTAGAAAGGGTAAGCATCTGGACGACCTAGTTTCCGAACTGGGCGCCGATGCGCAGAGCATCCGCGCCAACGAAGGCGAGGCCGCCAACTATGGAGTGTACTATGACGACACCGAGTACGACTACATGCAGCATCTGCGCGACCTCAACTCGGCCGGCGCTGGGGACGTAGTGTTCGTCGAGTCGACGGCGTCGGGGAACCAGAACAAGGGCAAGCAAAAGCAGACGCTGGATGAAGCCCTCAAGGATATGGAAATCAAGGACGACAAGTCGAGTGTGGCCTTGGACGACGACATGCTGCCTTCGAAGAATCTTGAGAGGACGACGTACGAGTCACAGCAAGCGATCCCTGACTCCATCGCTGGATTCCAGCCCGACATGGATCCGCGTCTGCGAGAGGCCCTTGAAGCGCTAGAGGACGACGCATACGTGGATGAGAGCGGCGAAGACGAAGATCTCTTCAAGCAGCTGACACAGGACGGCTATGAGCTTGAAGATGATGAGTTTGAGCAGGCCGGCCAGTTCGCCGATGAGGACGGCTGGGAGTCGGACGACACTGCCAAGCCCGCAAAGGAGTACAGAAACGGCGACGACGCTGTCCCTGATCTTGTCAGCGGCGATGACGTGCCGCAGCAGCGGCAGCATCCCGACGAGGGCCCCGGCGAGGACTGGCTGGAGGAGTTTAAGCAGTTCAGGAAAGATCAGAAGACTAACAAGGCTGGCGCCGGCCTGGTGTCGCACTCTGGAATGGAGTCCATGTGGACGACGACAACCAACGGTGGTAAGCGCAAGAAGCGCAAGGGTGCTCTGACGGACACGTCGAGTTACTCGATGACGTCGTCGTCGATCATGCGTACCGATCAGATGACACTGCTGGACTCACGGTTCGACAAGATTGACGAGAAGTACAACGAGGACATGGATGACATGGCGTCCGTGTCGGCGGCGTCTACCGTATCGACTGTCGGTGGACCCGTTCGCGGCGATTTTGACGGCATCCTGGACGACTTTTTGGGTAACTACACCAAGCCCGGGAAGAGGACAAACAAGAAGAACAGGCCGCAGACGGGGTTGGAGCAGCTGGATGAAATTAGGTCCGGACTGGGACCTGCCCGTTTCATCAAGGGACGTCCGAGTAGGTGATGGCCCACGGCCCACGGGTGACGGGAGAAGGGAAAAGCCATGATTTATGCCACATTTAGCCTATAGTACCGATTTCGGGAATCCCATATTTAGAGGGAATAAAGACAGAGTAAAGAAAGAAATGATTACATTTCAATATCAACCTCATCTGTGTCTGTATTCAATCCCAGCAGCATCTTTAGTACTTGAAATACCAACACAGGTTGGTGGTGGATGACGTACCCTGTACCAAGCCAAGTCACGTGAGACGCACCTACCACGTTTAGCTACCCCAGTAAAGCTCCATCGGCAGTATTCTCCTTGACACTCGGAGGCGGTAGAAAGCTGCGGCAGCCAGGCAGGACAAAGAAATAAACACGTCCCGACTAACCTCCTCACCGTTCATTGTCCCTTCTCTTCTCTTCTCTCTTCTATTCCTATATATTTACGACGCACATCAGCCACTCCCCCGCAAACCAGTTTCATACCTTCACCGCGATATCATCACAAGTCACGGAGATCTTCCTCATGTGCCGAATATACATATCGTGATTGCGACGTCCGTTGCGCGCCATCGACCAGATGTTTCCCACCTTCGGCGCGGCGGCGCAAAAAAAGACATCGCCGTCCGTGAGCAATCCCTTTGCCGCCAAGCCGACGGCCAACCCAAACGGCAACACAGGCAATATAAAACGCAAAGGCCGCACCCCCGACAACGGCAACCGAGGAGCCGATGAAAGGAAAAAACCAACTGGGCAGGGACGATCTAATAATGTCTATTCCAAACACAAGAAGCCACGCAAGCCAAACGAATCTCGCGCCCTCAGGACGTCTGTCGAATTCGGAACCACCGATGACTCGCGGGCAACCTCTCCCTCAAGCGTGAGCTCAACAGACATGGGCATAGATGTGCCATCGCAGCAACCGGAACCCTCAAACGCAACAGCCGCGGTCAACATGGCGGATCCCCACGCGAGAAACGTCTACAACCGCCTCCGCAAGGATGGCATCAGCCCGCCGAGCTGGCCCTCCCGGCCTGGCGATCCAGCGAGCTCGGCCGCCATGGCCAAGTTTCGCGAAAAGTACGAGGACTACCGCGCTCAGGTGCGGAAATCTCTGACCAAGGCCGGCCTGATCGACGACCCAAACAAGCGGAGGGCTCTCAAAGACGCCATCGAGTTCAAGGGCATCTCCGAAGACATGTGTCCCGAGTACGAAAAAATTACGCGAATCACCGAGCTGGATGTGCAGCACGCCGAAAAGGACCCCGAGTCTAATATTCCCATGACCGTCCGCATGGTCAAGAAGCTGGCACGCTCGGCCGCTGGTCAGGAAGCCCCCCTTCCCATGGACGTACGCTCCGTCGCTACGCTGCAACGATCCCTCGACTATCTCATAGACGACCTCTTGCGGCAGGATGGCAATCTTGCTACCTTCCACGGATTTCTCTGGGACCGAACAAGAGCCATCCGTCGCGATTTCACATTCTTCTCCACCCTCACACCGGACGAGATCAGGACACAGGTCTACGTGCTGGAGAACATTGCCAGATTCCACGTTACCGCGTTGCATCTACTCTCCCAGAAGGATATTCGACCCGAAGAGTTTGTAGAGCAGCAGGAGCTGGAACAGCTGGGCAAGACGTTACTCTCCCTTCGCGACCTGTACGACGACTGCAATGCCCAGGGCATCACCTGCGAGAACGAGCCCGAATTCCGCGCCTACTACCTCATCTTTCACGCCCGCGACCCCAGCATCCTCGAGACGCTGCAGCGGTCATGGAGGCCCGAGCTGTGGAAGGACTCCGACGAAGTGCGCACGGCCGTCTCCCTTGTGGAATCCCTGCAGAATACCGGAGACTTCCACGGTCCGCTGAAGGATGGCCCCTCGTTCGCCGCGGCTGGCGCCCATCACGCTTACCTCCGCATCGTCGAGGACCCATCCCTCTCCTACACGATGGCCTGCTTTGCCGAGTGCCACTTCCCGCTTGTGCGACGATCCATTCTCCGGTCCCTCGCAAGAGCCATGGGGAGACCAAAGGATGAGGTCAAGGATGTGACGGCCGCTACTCTCAACAGGTTCCTCCGATTCGACACAGTTGACGAGGCGATTGAATTTGCAGAGCTACATGACCTTGAGTTCGAAGCCGACCCTGCCGACCCATTGAATCCTGCTAAGCGGCGCCTCATTCTTCGTCACCGACAGCAGCTGCCGCCCGTCCGGCTCTCGCATCAGTTCTCTCGGAAAATGGTGGAAAAGAAGCGAGGGTCGCACTCGTTACCCGACGTGATTCACCGGACGGTCAAGCAAGACCTAAGCAGCGTGCCATCCCAAGAAGAAGAAGAAGAAGAAGAAGACAGCCTGTTTGTCTCGGACTCCAAGCCGACAGCAACAGCACCCAAATCATCCATGTTTGGTGGCACGCAACCGAATTCCGCACCGAGCCCGTTCTCGGCACCAACTGGCCCCTCCCAACCATCAGGCATCTTCGGCGGTAGTAACCTGTCTAACGGTGCCACAGGTAAGATACTGCCATCATCCAACCCGCTCTCGACACAAAATTCTATACCACGCAGTTTATGTCTACGGGCGGGACGTCTTCCAGCACTCGAAATAGCCCACAGGATCAAGATATGGAAGACGCATTGAAGATGAAGAGGACGAGAAGAGAGAACATAGGAAGATAAGAGCTGGGACACGAGAAAGAGGGCGAATCTGAATTTACTAATCCCCGCAATAGCGTCTCAATCTTCGCAGGCAAATCCGAGTCCTTTTGGAGCCATCTCGAGTGAGGCACAACCGGTATCAAATCCATTCGCCTCTGCTGCACCGAGACCAGGTGATGTCGCACTTGCATCCAATCCGTTCGGGTCAGTGCCAAAGCCAGCGACAGCCTTTGGCTCCCAGGGCCTCGGCCCTTTTGCTCCAAACCAGGATGCAAACCAGGCAAAGCCTGCGACGGACCGATCGAAAGCACTAGAGACCACGAGATCAAGTCCCTTTGCCAGTGCCTTCCAGCTCAAGGCGGACAGCACCACCAGTAGTGGTACCGCTTTTGGGGCAACTGGTTCGACCTTTGGATTCCCGAAGCAAGGGCAGGCTACGACAACCCCAGCTGCAGCTGATAGCAGCATGGACCAGGGCAAGGCGACGACACCGCCGGCCAGCTTCTTCACACCCACAACTTCCCGGCCTCAGCAGCAGGAGCCATTGCCGACACCCGGTTTGGTCCCTCCTCCAACGCTACCTAATGGGGCGCAGGAGAATCCATCCCAAGGGCAGTCCCCTGGCCTATTCAGCTTCAAACCGACAACCGAACAACCGCCACCTGCGCCTCCAGAGGTACAATCGAAAACACCAACCATTCCACCCATCGGCTCGGGGACGGGGGAGAAGAAGGCAGACACCCCCCAGTTCAGTATTGGACAAGCTGTCTCTGCCCCGCCTGGGCCGAGCCTGCTGCCGCCTTCTGCGGTGATGACCGCAGATTCACCGGCGCCTTCGCCAATACAGCCGACACCGCAAGAGGATCCCATGGGAGACTTTGCCAAGTGGTATGTCAGAGGAGACGGCGGCCTTGTGGAGGATTTCACGGTATATATAGTGGACGATATCCTAAAGGGACTGTACGACAAGTTTGTTGAAGAGGAGGAGGAGAGGGCCCGGAGAGAGGAGGAACAGCGGCTCAGCGAAGAGGTGGAGGCATTCCGCGTGTACAACCTCCAGGTCAAGTTCTTTTATCGATGGAAGAAGAATGCGCGTGCCAAACGGTTACGTTATTTGCGCAAGAATGGCCGCGAGCAATTCCGCGCTTACTACGAGGCGAAACGAGAGGAAGAGAAGAGACAGGCAGCGCTCCGAGAAGAGGAGGAGAGAGAAAAGGCTCGGCTTGCCGAGGTTGATCGATCAAAGGAGGTTACGATGGAGATCATGAGAAGGAAGAGGACCAGCACCAAGAGGAATCGGGAGGAACAGGAACTGCTAGCATCGGGACATTTGTCGGGAGTCGGAAACGAAGGGGACCACGCAGCCAGGATAATCCACGGACGCGACCACGGTCGCGGACGCCAGAGCTCCACGTCGAGAATCAGCATCCTCAGGCCAGACCGTGTCGCCATGCCACCGCCCCCCTCGACACGGCCGTCCTCACCTGCGAGCTCCATGACGCGAAAATCAGGCGGCAAGACGCAAGCCATCCGCGATCAGCTTCTTCAAAAGAAGCCAGAGGGCTTTCGACGATCGCTGGGCTCCATGTCATCGCGGAGCAGTGCCAGTCCCGAACCGTCCCGGACCACGAGCAACGTGTCTGAGCGCTGGCGCCTGAAGGCTATGGGCATAGTCCAGATGCCTGACGGCACAGCTCTGCCGGAGAACCTGGCCAACGAGGTACTCTACGGCGGAAAGAACTACCCCGGTCTTGGATCGAGCCAGCGACGCAGAGCAGCATCGTACACCGGCACCAACGGCATGCCACAACACGAGACCGCACCGACAAGCGACCCCCGCGACCGACCTTGGTCAATCAGACGTCCAAGTCTCCTATCGCAATCACTTGGTGCTTCCCAACAGCCGCATCCGCAACAACCGGAGCACGTCTTATCCCCGCCGTCAACGAACAAGAGAAAGAGACCGGGAGAACAGGGCGCTGCGGCCGACGACTTCCAAGAGGAAGAAGACTCGGTCATGGACCGCGAAGCCAGCCCGCCGAAGCGCCCCATGAACGAGAACCAGAAGCTCATCAGTGAACTTCGTGCTATGCGCGAGGAACTCGAGGAGGGCGCGGCGTGGTTCAGATCACAGACGGAGAGGATGCAGACGAGTCGGGGAAACAGTAGGGCGTCGACACCCTGGGAAGCTATGGATCTGAGTTGAAGTGGAAGCAGCATTTTGATATCAGGCGTTTTTCTCATGTTTTGTCTTATATCTTGTGCTCTATAGCAAGTGAAAGAGAGGAGTATTTTGTTCTCTGCGGAACATTCGAGTTCTTTGGTATACATATTAATGCATCGTGACATGACGTTTGCCAGATAAGGCCCACGGGCTCTGGTAGTTTTGAGACTTTGCGAACACAAGGCCGTGGTTTAGGGGTTGGTCATGCGAAGCGTACTAAGGAAATCCTCTCCGGCAGAAGGCCCGGCCCTTGGCAGGGATTCACGGAAAGATGTAGTTATATTTTGGGAGAAAAGATTATATATATTCAGAAATGAAGACACAGTTGTTACGTCATTCATCAAAGGCCGCTCCGCTTATCGGAGAGAGGAAGAAAAAAAACATTATATCGTAGAAATAAAACGACGTGAAAGAAGGCACTATTTGCCCGACCCGGGCGGCGGGGGAAACGACAGCTGCACAGCATTTCTCGTCGCCGTAGAAGGGGAAGTCTTGTTACGGGCGAAACCCCAAGCACTACTCGTGTTCCTCCTGGGGTTGGCGCCTCGGTCATCACCACTGCTGTGCGGATCCGGCTGCTCCCACACTGAGGCGTTGATCTGAGAAGAAGGGGTTGACGTGGGGGTGTCATGGTATGTCTCCGCGTGGGAAGTAGTGATTGCCAGGCCGGGGATGGATGGGGAGAAGTCGGCGGGGTTGTACGGCCTGTATGTGGACGAGAGGAGATGGGCGTTGGAGTGGGTAGACGTGGTGGTTGTGGGGGTGACGAAATGGTTCTCCGGCGACGAGGCGGCGGTCGAGACGTCGCGTATGGGAGAGGGAGGCGTGGGGAGAGCAGCGGTGGTGATTCCGGGGAGTTTTCTGAATGAGAAGGGGTTCGAGCGGAGGGCTTCGGCCGGACTGACAACGTATGATGACACGATGGCTGTCCTCTTCCCCTTTTCCCCGTCATCGCCGCCGTCGTCGTCGTGGTGATGCGCGCTGGACGGCGTCTGGCAGCGGAATGACATGGGGGACATGGGGTTGTGCTGCTGCTGGCGACGGAGGCGGAGGCGGATGCGTCGACGGTTCTGGCGTTTGCGCAGCTGCATGAAGATGCAGCCTGACGTGAAGAGGATGACGACGAGGGAGCCGATGACGATGCCGACGATGGCCGGAGAGGACAGGCTGGACTGGTTGGACGAGGAGGATGAGGAGTTGATCGAGCTCGAGGCTTGGACGATGGAGATGGTTGAAGTGGCGAAGACGCTGTCGCTCAGACCAACTAGCATGTTGTTTGCGGGCTTCTGCTCGCACCCGGCGCGGACGGCGACCAGGACTGGGGGGGAGGGAGGTGAGTCAGTCGGGAAATCCGTCTTGGTAGGGCCGGAGTGGAGAAGAAGAGCAGGGAAGAAGTAAACGACCAGAGGGAGGAGTAAGAGGAAAAGAGTGAAAGGTAAACATACAGTTGACAAGGTAGGATTGACTATCGTCGACACCTACACACGCCTGGCAGTTATCCATGTACTCTGCCGAGGCGAGACGGCCGTCACTCTTTCCGCAGAATTGATACGGCTGAGCGTACGCGGGGTCCTCTATGCCAAACTCGAGAGCCTCCTCAAAGGCGCCGCAGGATTCCGAGGTGGTGCAGGGGCCGCCGCCGTTGGTGTCTGTGCCGTTTGGGTATCCCATAACACAGTAGTCTATTGCGTATCGAAGGTTATCTGATGAAAAGAAAAAAGAAACAAGTCAGTGACTGAATGGGATACTCGTAAAGATAAAGACTGGGACAGTAATATCCAAGGGTGTCCCATACAGAAGAACCACTGCTGGTCACTCTCCTGGTCGGCAGTATGAGCGCTACTCTGAAGACAGGTGAGGCAGCGCTGAAACTTCCTCCCATTCTCCTGTGACGTATACCCTTCGTCTGTGCAGACGATGTCGCCCGAGCCAGTGTTGGAGGAGTCTGGGTCCGACTCGTCGAGGCTGGGGGAGTCGATGCAGAAGCCCGAGCAGGGCGACCCAGGAGCTACTTGGAGGCCGGCGGCAAGATGGGGTATGACGGCCACGGCCGCGGCCACTATCTGACGGACGGATGGCATGTTTTATGTGCTGCCTGTCAGAGGATGTGAAGGGATGATTATAAAGTAATATATGTATAGAAAGGGGGGCCCTTCTTCAGTGTACCAGACACGGGGAGGAGCGACGACTACCGAAGAAAAGGAGCGTATGAATGAGAGGAGAGGAACAAGTGATCTCTACCAGAGAGAACAGGAAGAATATACTTAGAAAAGAGAAGAAAGGAAAAAAAAAAAGACGTCAAGAAGAGGGGAGAGGCAGTTAAGAGTTGTATCAACCGCCAAGACGGGCCTGGGGGACAAACCTATAGTTCGTCACATAGCTCGTGTATGCCACCCTCCCTCACTCCCTCCATTATTGATCATTATTGATAGGAAGCCATGATATAAAAGGAGCCAATAGACGGCGAGTTCCATGGTTAATGAGACTTACTTGGATCGGAAAAATGGCGTTCGGCTGGGCGCTTAGAGGCAAGATGCAAGTGCAGGGATGTGGGCGCTTAAAAATGGCCAACAGGTCGGGGGAGGTTTGCCAAAATTGTTGATGCCTTGCTGCCTCACCAGACACATTGCCAAATCGTCATCACGGATCATCATGAAGTAAGATGTATGATGCAATTTTTGAAAGTCGAATTCAACTAGACAAGAACTGTACGAAGCAGGAAAGATCTCATAACACCCCCTACCGAGCAATGAAGAAAATGAAAACAAAACATCAAAAGATTTGTGCCAAAAGTAAAAACGCCGAGGGGTTTGCCAAGCCCACACTCTTCTTTTCTTTTTTAAAATGGTACAGCAGAGATGACAGTGCACAAGAGAGAACTTACGACTGTTTCCTCCCCCCATATTAACCAAAAAAAAATCTGAACCCCTTGGCGACCACTACACGAATAGAACTCCGTGAGTTGAGGAAAAGGAGAAGAGAGAGGGTGGGGGGGGGGGAGGGATGAGATCATGTAATGGTCAGGGAAGAACTATGTAGAAACAGCGTTGTTTTCTTTCTCTTTTCCATAATTCAAAGAATGTGGATGCGTGTGTGTGTGTTCGTCTTCTCTGTGTTTAGTCGCTGTCGCTGTCGCTGTCCTTTCCAGCCTTCTTGGCAGCCTTCTTGGCCTTCTTCTCGGCCTTGCGGCGTTTGCGCTCGGCCTTCTCCTCGGCAGTCTCACCGTCGTGCTTCTTCCTCTTCTTGTCGCCCTCATCAGCGGCAGCGGGGGCGGGCTTGTCAGCCTCGTCCATGGTGGTGTCCTCGGTGGCGGGCTTGGCCCCGGATGTAGCGGCGGCGGCGGCAGCAGCAACGGACGTTGCGTCGGTGGCGGGGGCGGGAGCACCGTAGTCGGTGTATCCGGAGGACCACTTGGCGGGGGTGGCCTCATTGGGGCGGCCAAACTTGTCGAGCTTGCCGTCGGCCTTGAGCTTCTTCTTCTCGGCGGCGACGGGTCCGAGACCCCAGCGGCGGGGGTACAGGTCGCGCTCCATGATGCAGCGCTTGACCTTGGCGACGACGCCGTGGTCGCAGGTCGACATCTCGACCGTGGACATCTGGGCGATGCCCAGGGCGATGGCCTCACCCTTTGTGGTCATGAGCACGACCTCCTCGTGGTGCTCGATCTCGGCCTCTGCAGGGGTCATCGCGGGTTAGGGACAGAAGAGGGAGAGATGCGGGAGGACATCTGGGTGGGATCGGAATCAGAGAGGCATACCGTAACGGAGGAGACCGGGAAGCATCAGCTTGGCACCGTAGCAGACGGCGTTGACGGCGCTGTCCTTGACAACCAGACGCTTGTACGAGGTGAGGAGGGTCTCGAGGGGAGAGATGACCTTGCGGAGGTAGGTCTCATCGCGGGTGTTGTCCATGGTCCACTGGGCGTCAAGGACGTCGTGCAGGGTGACGAGCTGCTTGGTCTCGTCCATGGCGCCGGAGCGGACGCGGCGGAGCTCCTGCATGTGGGCTCCCACGCCGAGAAGGAGGCCGAGGTGCACGCACAGGGTACGGATGTAGGTTCCAGCCTCGCAGCTTACCCAGAAGACGCCGAGGTGGCGGTCGTTGTCGAACTCGACCAGCTTGGTCTCGTAGATGGTACGGATACGCAGCTGGCGCTTGACGGCCGAGATCAGCGGCGGGCGCTGGAACAGGGCTCCCGTGAGCATCTCCAGGGCCTTGGCGAACTGCGCCTGGCCGCCCGGCACCTTGTCGTGGAGGCGGATCACGGCCATGTACTCCTTCCCGGCACCTTGCTGAGACTTGACCAGACGAGTGGCGCGGTCGATGCAGACAATCAGGCAGCCTGTGACCTTGGGGTCGAGAGTTCCACTGTGACCAGTCTTTTCGACACTATACACGCGAGGAAAGATGTCAGCAGAGAGTTCATGGATGAGAAGAAAGAAGGCTGTCTGCCATCAAGTGCACCTCTCCTTCTCCCCCCTCTTTGGATCGATCTTACCGGAGAATGCGCTTGACCCAGGCCACAACCTCGTGACTCGACGGGTTCGAAGGCTTGTCGAGGTTGATGACACCAGAGCTGATGTACGACTTGATGTCGCGCTTGAGGGGAGAGCATCCATTGGCGATGGGAGTAAAGTGACCAGTCCTCACGAGAACTGGGAGAAGAAGAAGAAGAAGGGGAAAAAAAAGTTAGCAAAACTGAACGACAGCTACCACCGCCACTCCCAGAAAGATCAGATATCCGTCCTCCCGGCTATCGTCGACGTACGCTTGTCATAGTTCTTGAGGAGAAGAGGCCACGAGCTGGTGTCCACAGCTGGCGCAGAAGCCTGAGGCTTGATGATGTACTCGTCCTCCTTCTCCTCCTTCCTGACAACGTCCGTGACCATGTTGGGCGTTGTGTGTATCTTCCTTGTGTTATTTTTTCTCTTCCAAGAAATTTATTCTATATGTTCGACCCGACAGAATGCGACTCGATCCGTGGGAGAAGAATAGGAAAGCGTCCGTCCGTTTGTCCCGTTGCAATTGGGTGAATTGCCAACGTTCTTCTTGTCGGTCGGTTCGTGATGGCGTCCAAGGAAGAAAGAGAGAAGGAAAAAAAAAAATTAGAGCCAAGGCGAAAAGAAGGCCTCGTCCAATTTTTTTTTTTTTTTGCGCTTTTCTGCGGGCTCCGGCTTTCCTGTGTGTGGGTCTTCCGGTAGCTGGAACAGAGCCAATTATGATTGGAGAAGAAAATAACAGCCACTGTGGCTGGTGGAATCGAGTGTTCAGCCACAGATACCTTCTTTTTCTTGTCTTCGTCTTTCGCTGAGTCAAGGGAAGAGTTGTTGATGCTAGTGAGGTAACTAAACTTTAGATGAAGAAGAGACGAAGGAAAGATATGCCATTGTTGACTTGAATCAAAAGTAAAAATCGAGACATGCCGTTGGTTCCTGTTCTATATGTACTGGCTGTGCCCATCTAACTAATGCAAGCAGTAGTATCACAACACCCAGACAAGAAGCCACTTTGAGAGGAACACAGTCATGGCCATGGTCGTACTTCTCCCCTCACAACCACAATCTGCTATTCTGTCCGAATGGTGAACCGTCGGTAGATCTGCGGGTGGCATCCCAACTTGATTCTGCCCACAGAAGCGGCGAGCCGCCACAGAACAGCTGGGGGGGGCGTCCATGGGAAGCGGCGGCAATCGTCAGAGGCAGCCCTGCCCCTTTCCAAAATCTCTACAGCGTCACCAGGAGGAGCATCTCGCGCATAACAAAGGTAGTAAGTGGGACAGTTAAAATCAATACAAGTCGCATCCCACCATGTGGGCTACACGTGATGAACTTGAAGGGTGCGTCTCGACGTAGTGAGCAGCAATACAATGCAATGTGGGACCGACGCGGGGCACTCTACGCGGGGCGCGTCTCCCCTTGGACATCCCACCACACACACACACACACACACACACCACCACATACGACTATGGCGTCGAAACAAGACAATGCGGCCGTCACGGCTGCGCCCGTGAGAAATCACGAAGAATACCAGTATCTGGATCTCGTGCGCGAGATTCTAGACGACGGCGAGCACCGCCCTGATCGGTTAGCACAACCAACTCCCAGCCCCCCTCCGCCTTCTCCTCTCTCTTCTAACTCATCTTCTTCTCTTCTTCTTCCTGAGCAGCACGGGAACAGGAACATACTCCATATTCGCGCCCCGACCGTTGAAATTCAAGCTGAACGACAACGGCAAGCCCATCCTCCCACTTCTGACGACCAAACGTGTCTTCACGCGCGCCATCATCGCCGAGCTCCTCTGGTTTATCGAGGGCAGCACGTCGTCTATACCGCTGAGCGAGGCGGGCGTCAAGATCTGGGACGGCAACGGCTCGCGCGAGTTCCTCGACAGCGTCGGCTTGGGCCACCGCGAGGTCGGCGACCTGGGTCCCGTCTATGGCTTCCAGTGGCGCCACTTCGGCGCCGAGTACGTCGACGCCCGCACCGACTACCAGGGCCAGGGCGTCGACCAGCTGGCCGAGGTGATCCACAAGCTCAAGAACAGCCCTTTTGACCGGCGCATCATCATGTCAGCCTGGAACCCGAGCGACATCAAGAAGATGGCCCTTCCGCCCTGCCACATGTTTGCCCAGTTCTACGTCTCGTACCCCGGCAAGAGGCGAAGCCCCCACGACGGACAGCAGCGAGAGAAACAGCAGGAAGACGGCGATCATGCCGAGAGAGGTCATCTGCACTGCCAGCTGTACCAGAGGTCGTGCGATATGGGTCTGGGCGTCCCCTTCAACATCGCCAGCTACGCCCTGCTAACCCACATGATCGCCCACGTCTGCGATCTCGTACCCGGGAGCCTGACGCACGTCATGGGAGATGCACACGTCTACCTTGACCACGTCGAGGCCCTGGAGACGCAGCTGGAGCGTGAACCGCGTGCCTTCCCCGAGTTGGACATATCCAGGGAGAAGGGCGGTAGCATCGACGGTTGGAAGGCTGAGGATTTTATAATCAAGGGGTACGAGCCGCATAAGTCAATCGCTATGAAGATGTCTGTTTAGATCGGATCAAGGTATTGTGTTGCCATTGGGTAATATGACGCACACAATGGGAACGTTGAAAAAGACAAGTGATGCAAGAGGTTCTTGGATCCTTTCTGTGCTGGGGGGGATAAGTTCGATATTAGTGCCGTTAAAAAAAAATTAGAGGACAGATGGGACGTGTCCGTTCACCTGTACACGGGCCAGGGACATATGCATAGGGGGACCAGGAGAGCAAGATTCATTCGTATTTTTTACTCATCTTTTCTTCCAATATGTAACTAGAGGCGATGAGCAGGGTGCTGAGCAAGGCATCCCGCAGAGAGGCACGGCAGCAGTCTTCCAACCATGGCTGTCCTCTGCTGTCTCACCAGACAGTTGATTCCTTACGAGGCATATTTATAGAAGGCCTCAAGTTGATCATGCTTATCAATACCAAGTACTGCTAGCAGTACGGTACGGACAATCAATGGTAGAGAATATGTACAGTTCGAATGAGAAGGGATTGCACGCACACAGAGGGGTGGCTCGGAAAGCTAACATACAATCAAGTGAGCCAACGGAACAGGGAACAAGAAGAGGAAGAAGAGGAAGAAGAAGAATAGAACAAGACGGAGAGCTACCTGAACATACGCACCCCTTACAGGGTAGTGGCAAGAGCAGCAGTGAGGGCATCGAGGGCGATACCCTGGGCGACGGGAGCGTCCTTGTCGGTGTAAGGGCCGGCCCAGTATACGCCGTTGAAGCAGCCGTCGTCGTGGAGGCTCAGGTCGTTGTTCCAGATGGATTGGGCGTTGTTCTGGAGAAAGTCCTTCCAGGAGTCGGTGGGGCGGGCGAGGTACAGCCTGCGAAGGTTGCGGGCGAAGACGCCCTTGAAGGCTATACCGTCGCCGTCGCAGGACTGGTCCTTGTCGCAGCCGTCGACGAGGATGCCGTCCTGGACCATGGGGCTGTCGTCGGCGATGACGGCGTCGGCAATGTCCGAGGCCGTGTCGAGGTACGAGTCGTCGCCGGTGGCGTGGGCCAGCTCGACGAGGCCGCCGATGATGGACCCCTGGTTGTAGGTGTAGACTGCGTCACCGCGGCTCTTGCACGTGTCGACGTCGATGCCGTCGGCCACCAGGTTGTCGGACCCGATGAGCTCAGAGCTCTTGAACCAATCCCAACCTTTCAACGCAGCGTCGAGGTACGTCTGGCGCGTGTTGGAGCCGACACGGTTAGCGATGGCGGCGCTGGCCGTGATGTACAGGGCTGTTTTTTAAGATGTGTCAGAGAGGGGGATGTAGAAACGAGCATCATACAAACATATCAAACACACAAAGCGAGAGAGAGAGAGAGCGAGAGATGAGGAGAAACATAAGCGAGACATGGAAAGAACATACAGTTGGGAATTGCCAGAGGACCAGTCGTAGCCGGCTCCTTTTTCCAGGGAATACCACCGCAGACGTGGGTTCCGAAGCCATCGTCGATGTCCTCCCAGAGAGTGATGGCAGCCTGGAGCTGGGCCTGGTCGCCTGTGTTGTCGTAGGAGCCGAGGAGGGCCAGAACCCACCAGCCCTCGTCGTCGTAGAAGTTGTTGGTCCATCCCGTGTACCGCTTGACGTCGTCGTTGCTCCTGGCCTTGCGCATCTTGTAGGGACGGTTGTTGGGCGCGTTGTTCAGGACGTCATCCCACACGTGGCCGTAGACGTCCTTGACACTGTCGTCAAGGTAGGCAAAGTCGTTGAAGGCCGTCAGGATGCCGGCGCCGGTCCACCAGTATGTGTTCCACAGGCCCGTGTCGGATGAGAACCAACGCATCAGCTGGTCACTTGAGGGATGGTCAGTCTCTGCTCGTCCACTTTTTATCTCCTCTCCGAACTTTTCTATTCTAATCAATCACGGAGACGGAGGAATGCAGAGAGAGGTGCAGAGAGAGAGAGGGAGAGAGAGAGAGAGAGCATACAGGTTGCAACGAGCATTGACACGGTAGGTCGTCGCATCCGCAGAGACGAGCTTGGAGCCGACGAGGGCAGCCAAGACGGCAGCAGCAGCAACCATTCTGAAGCGAGGGTTGTTAGAGAAAAAGGCGTGCAGGTATGCTGAAGAGAGAATGAAGAGAAGGTGAAATGTGTGGATTGGAGGAATGAGTGAGTGATGGTCGATCGAGGCTTTCTTGAATGCTGCTTCTTTCTGATATCGACCTCGAACATGCCGGGAGAGATGCCCATCTTATGCATCCGAGGCCGGACAAACTCATCGTCTCCTCCTCCCGCATCTATACCGGTGCGTGTGCGCGTGACGAATGGAGTCGTCGACGGCTCGACGCCCGTCTGCACGGTCGATGCATCCATCTCACCACGGCAGCGGGTGTTAGATCCAGATCAGTCACGCGGTGGAAGAGCAAAAAGGCATGGAGCTGCCGTGGCGACACGAGCATATACGCATTTCCTAATATGTGCAATAGTCGCGAAGCTAGATGCTCGACTCCTCGACTCTGGTCCTTTTGTTAAATCTCCAAGGCAGTTGGAACTCGAAAACGGGAACTCGTCTAGGCTTGGTCCCCACGTCAAATCTCTGAAAACCCTCGGCCGCTAACGCTGTTTCCTTTCCTCTTCCTTCTTTTTTTTTTATATATATATAAAAAGGAAAAAAAGAAACCCCCCTCATGAGAGAAGAAAGAGAAAGATTGAGGAGGAATGGGGAAATGATCTGCCGTCATTCCTTAGGGGTCCACATGGGGAGCAAGGATGCGAGAGTCTCTCCGGACAGATGATCACTTGCCGTCGCCATGTTCAGCAACTTGGGGCTTTTTCTTTTCTTCCGTATCCATCCCGTCTTCTCCTCTCTCGAGCCTCCCTACCTGGAACACGTACCGTACTGCCTTGTGCAGCTCATCATTCGATCGGCGCCACCAAATATTGCTCGTACGTGCATTTACGACCGACCCTTGTCGGTGTACGAACGACAGTACCTTTGGGGAAGACAGAGACAAGTCCGGCGATGGACCAAAGGTCTTTCTGTACCAATATACCAATCCAGCTCACTTGCACGTCGGCCAGCCACATGTTGTAGGTATGGAAGATGAGGGCCTTCCTCTTTGGATTCAGCCACCGGAGGGACGTCGAGGCCAGTGTGGGTGGTGTAGCGCTACGGACGAGTACATGTGGATGTGATATCTGGACCTTGGAAGCTGTGGGGTGTACAGATTAGTATTTCTTGGAAAGATCTGACCCCTGAACCGGTGATCCTCCTTGGCTGGGAACATCGAGGTACGGAGGGTGGGGGGCACGGGGTTAGATGCAGGTACACGGGAGCAGTCCATGAAACGCCATAATACATCGATCGTATGAGTAGAGATGGATCGATTATGAGATGCCGACGTTATTTCCGTCCAGCTCTGCGCTCCACAGTCTACCTGCACTCGTATGCGGATTATTCCACGACAGTATTGAACCTTGAAGTTGAGACAGTCCCGTCATCGATGTTGGTGTACCCCATCTTGATCGGGGCCACGGTATATCGGATTGATACTCGTCCCCAACGTACAACAGTTGATATGATTGAGAATAGTATACGTGTGTGTATGTGTGTGTGTGTGTACAGTCCAGTCTCTGGTACTAGTCAGCCCACGTTGTCATTCTACGTGTCAGACCAAGGTCCGACATTGATCAAACGTGCCGTCCTGCCTAGATCCGTTGTCTGTATAGGGCTATGTAGTTGCAGAGATTGATCATGATAATACTAGGATGTAGTATTATCCGTCCGATATCACATGTACGGCTACGAGCATACTAGTGATGCCCACCTGCAGCGCTAACAAAGGTCGGGTCGATCCTTCACGACCCCTTGCTCCAGTGTCGTGGACTCATGCGGGCGGCCGCGCAGACGAGACATCCCTGTTAACTGTCTTGAGCCGTCACGTCTCTTCACGTTTCGACTCTCGCTTCGAATCCTACGAGCCACATGCAAGTATATGTGCATCTTCAATCTGCAGGTCGCTAAACGCGGCCCCTTCTCAGCCCTCGGGAAATACGAGGATTTTTCCCCATCCATCCCTCTATGCACGTATATATGTAAACATTTATTCTTCCACTCCGCCCGCCCGCCCGCCCTAGCTGAGAAACTCGTTTTTCCTGTTTTTATTTTTTATTTTTTATTTTTTATTTCTTATATATATAATCGGCAATGCATTCCTTCGACAATCCTTTCGCACTAATCCAAGTTTGAAGCCTTGTCGGCGCGGAACAAGGACAGGCACCGTGTTTCCCCCCCACCCCTCGTATTATCGAGGTAATATAACGGTAGTTTGAACTTTGCGCAGTAGCTTTGCCTTGCACAGTTCCCTTTTGAGTCGAGATCTGCCCCAGACAAACTACTCGCCGTGTTGTCATGGGTAGACTGATTGGCCTCTGGTTCTCGAGGTGAGGATTTCAGCCCCCCCCCACGATGGCATGGGCGTACAGTAGGCCCGCAAGTTCGATCTAATGAGAAGCCGCACCTCGTATATCGGCCCTCGGCGGGCCAAAAGCTCATCCACGGTTCCATACTTGCCGAGAATTGCGATCAGGATTGGGCCCTCTTAACTGCTTCGTGACCCGACCTTCCTTTTTGGGAACCTGAGATCCTTCACTAGGCCGAGGTGGTTGAGGTGGTTGGATAGGTTGTGATGGTAGATCATGGACAGCGACCGGGAAGGGTTCGGTAGCTTGGCTTATAAGAGTTTCTGATGTCCCGCAACTCGACGGTATCAGTCGTCGACGGTCGTCGATGAAGCATATTCCCACCTCTCCCTCAGTCGTCATCGTCATCTCTACGCTTGCCCTCTCTTGAGGCCCCTCTCATCCTCTTATTCTTCCTCCTCCTCCTCTCCTCATCTGAATAATCGTCCATCATCTCGGTCTCCGACCCCCTCCCCGATGGCACCCAAGCTCAGCTTCGCGGCCGCTGTCGTAGCCGCCCTCTTGGCCGGCCTCTCGAGCGCCTGGCTGCCTGAGGGTAAGCTCCGCGGCGTCAACCTGGGCTCCATGTTCGTCTTCGAGCCGTGGATCGATAGCGGTGAGTGGTCCAACATGGGCTGCGGCGACGCCAGATCCGAGTTTGACTGCGTCTCCAGCCTGGGCCAGGATGCCGCCGACTCGGCCTTCCAGTCCCACTGGCAGGACTGGGTGGCTGAGGATGACCTCGACGAGATGATGGCTGCGGGGCTCAACACCATCCGTATCCCGCTGGGCTACTGGATCTACGAGGACATTGTCGACTCGTCCGAGCATTTTCCCAAGGGTGGCTTCGACATTCTCAAGACGTTTGTCGGAAAGGCTAGTGATCGGGGATTTTACATCATCCTCGAGTAGGTTCACTCCTCACAACATAATGAGAGGGGAGGGGGAAAGGGAGAAGACGAGGATGAGCAAGGAAACACGGAGAGAGACGGAGACAGAGACAGAGAGCTGACTGCTTCTAAACGAGACAGCTTACACGGTGCTCCCGGCGCTCAGCAGGTCAACAACGCCTTCACCGGCCAGTATAACCCTAGCGCCGACTTCTACAACGACTACAACTACGGCCGTGCTGTCCAGTGGCACGCTTGGATGGCCGAGCAAGTCCACAGCAACGATGAGTTCCGCAACGTCGGCATGATCGAGCTCGTCAACGAGCCCCTTCAGGGAAATGCTCCCGAGTCTCTCCGCAGCGAGTACTACGTCGATGCTCTCCAGGTCGGTCGCATCTCCCTCCCTCATACCACCGACTACTTGTGTAGTCGCCGGAAGAAGAGCAGATGGATAGATAAAGAGGGGGCGGCAGAGCAGAGATGGGATGCATAACAGCAGAGGCTCTGACAGGACACCCAACAGGCCATCCGCGATGCCGAAAGCAGCAAGGGCGTCGGCTCCGGCTCCCAGCTCCACGTCCAGATGATGAGCGACCTCTGGGGCTCCGGCAACCCCTCCCAGTACCTCGGCGACTCCAGCAACACGGCCTACGACGATCACCGCTACCTCAAGTGGGACTCGTCCGTCGCGGTCTCCAAGGATGCCTACCTGTCCGAGTCGTGCGACAACGACCGCGTGGCCGAGGACACCCTCGTCATCGGCGAGTGGAGCCTGTCCGTGCCCGACGACGTCGAGGGCTCCGACGACTGGGACCCGTCTAGCAACGCCGACTTCTACTCCAGATGGTTTGCCGCCCAGATCCAGTCGTACGAGCGGTCCGCCCTCGGCTGGGTATTCTGGACCTGGAAGGCTGGCCTCGACGACCCGCGCTGGTCTTACAAGGGTGAGTTCAATATCTGCCGCCACGTTTCCTCGTGTCCCTCGAAGAAGAAGGAAGAGGAAGAGGAAGAGAGAGAGAAAGAGAAGAAGGAGAGAAGAGAGGCGAAGAGAAAAACCAGGGATGGAAACAAAGAGAAGCTAACATGTCTCATCAGATGCCCTCGATGCCGGCATCATCTCAAAGGACCTGGACAGCGTCATCAACTCGAGCGTCTGCTGAGTCGAGAATCACACCTCCGACCGTGTAAATTTATGTTTGGCAATCTGCATTTTTATCTATATTAAATATCTTGCGACCCTTTCGTTAGTTTTCTTTGTCCCCCCCCCCTTTCAGTCTCCTAGTAAGAATCCCACGTGCTGTGTATTCTGCATTGTTCCGTACATGTACATGTCTGTCCAGAGCATAGGCACAGTGTTGGAAGATGACACACCTGATGGAGATGAGCTGAACCGGTCGACACTGTAATGATACTTGATACTTGATACTTGCGATTATATACTTATCAATATCCATCTCCTGCATCCGGTATGAACAAGCGCCGAGGTGGCTGTGTAACGATCACGGGCTGTGGTATATCGATACACCTTATATCGGGAACCAGTCTGCGTAGGCACGGGTAGCCATCCGTGGACATAGTCAGCCGTGAGAGAGGCTCCGCTGTTCACGAAAGTGAGCTGTTGGGGGGAGCCATTGTGCCCTTGACCTCAGCTCAATTATACATGTCAATTGGACTCCCGCATGTGCGTGCATTGATAGCTGATACGTCGTTTTGATACCTTGAGAACCTGTCCTTCACCGAACGTTGCCATTGTCGTCGCAATGCTGACGGACGCAACGACGAACCTGTGGTGACTTGGCGATGAATTCGTGAAAGCCTCTATAGCTGTACTCTACGGAAAGCTACAGCAAGAGTGGTGATGGCAATGATGACCACTTCTTGTTCCGCTAGATAGATGCCTCATCTTATCATCCCTGTGGGCTCTGCTTCGCCTGTCCAGCGTGCCAGTCCACGCACTGACCTCTGTGGTATGATTCTCATTGCTATTATGACTACCATCATGATTATTATGACTCAGATCCCGGCAGCGGTTTCAGGAATTGGCTATGCAAGTCGCGTCGCATCTGCGGCGTATCGGCATGCGCCCGCATCTCAAAGGTGACAGGAGGGACTTGAGCCTCCGAAGGGACTGTAGATATATCACATGGGAAAATTTTATCGTCACGCACACGCATACTGATGTATAATTGGTACGGATGCATTGCACAGATTGCTGTCATAATAGTCAGATAGGCGGCAAGGCCTTCCTCTTAGACATACTGGGTAAGCAGTCCAACCGACAGAGAGGGCGGAAGACCTCTCCATCAATTGACAGTGATGGTACCTGTAATTCGATAGTAATAAATACCCGACTGCACCTCGAGGAAGGATCTGACATCCGGCAGTTCAGAGCAGTGTATATACATCTACATGTCTAGGCATTCACCAGGAACATGGACAGCTTATCGATCCCGGTAGCATCAAGCGATATCGGTAGCCGATGGATGCGACAACTTATCAGCACCAACGTCCCGCAAAAGCTCCCGCAAAAGCTCCCGCAAAAGCTTGTCACTCAATCTTGACTGTAGCCTCACGGGAATCTTACGGTCTGAAGGGATCAGCCAACCAACTATCAACACTTGTGCTTGCATCTACATGTGCTCATACAGATTCTTTGCTATTGCGGGGCACGATAAGGGCCCGGCGCATGGTGGCCGCCGCTCTCATTCCCACTTTTCCTACCCAACTCTGTGATGCTACAGAATTCTTAGAGTGTCCACTCCATGTCGCCAGACCGACGCTTCGATTCCGTGACTCGAGTCGAGCTTAAGAATACGGGATCGTAGACGGGCTTCCCTCCCCTCTCCGAACGGTCTCGCATCGCATGCCCTTCACTCTAGAGACCTCATCCATTCTATTTCCCGTGATAGCATAGAAAAGAGAAAGAAAGAGAAACAAAAAACAAGAGAGAAAGAAGAGAGAGAGAGAGAGAAGAGCAAGAAGACTGCTTTTGTTTTATGACACTTCCCCCCCCCCCCCCCCCCCCCCCCCCCCTCCGCCCTCCAGGCGGCTGTACTTTCCCGCGTCATCTCAAGCGCTCACATATGAGGCGCACCGCAGGTTTGACACAGGCTGCATCGGCCCCATCACGACCATGGCAGCCTTCAAGTCGCAGATGGGCGACTTCTCGGATACCATCCACGGTGTGGTGGTGTCGTCGTCTCTCATAACGGGCGCCATCTCGGCCTGCGTAGCCGGTATCCTCGCTGACAAGTACGGCCGCATCAAGATGATCTCCATAGGCGCCTTCATCGACGGCGTGGGAGCAGCCATAGAATGCGGGAGCCCGTCGATCGGCGTCTTCATCCTCGGACGGCTGATCAAGGGGGCCGGCAACGGCCTGTTCCTCAGCGGAGTCTACGTGCAGGTCTCGGAGATCTCGCCGTCCCGGCTGCGGGGTGTCCTGACCTCGCTTCCCCAGTTCACGATCGTGTCGGCCATCGTGATCGGGTACTTTGTGTGCTACGGCACCGCCACCATCGAGCACTCGTCGGCCTCCTGGCGCATTCCTCTGGCCATGGCCTCCGGCCTCGCCTTTTCCCTGGGCGCTCTGGTGCTCATCGTCCCGCCATCGCCGCGGTGGCTGCTCGCCAAGGGCGACAAGGACCGGGCACGGCACACCGTCCAGAGGCTGGGATTCGACCGGCAGGAGCAGGATGACCTTCTCGAACGGGAGCCCGAGGACCTGCATCTGGAGCAGGAGCTCAGCGAGTCCTTCCTGGAGAGCCTGGTACACATGCTTGGCGACTTCAAGGAGGCCTTCTCCAAGCCGTACCGCTCCCGGACCCTCTTCGGCTGCTTCATCCTGGCCATGCAGCAGCTCGCCGGTATCGACGGCGTCCTCTACTACGCGCCCATCCTCTTCCGACGGGCCGGCTTGAAATCTTCCGAAGCCTCGTTCCTCGCCTCGGGTGTGTCGGCCATCGTCATCTTCGTCGCCACTTTCGTAGCCACCTTCATGGCGGACCGGTGGGGCCGGCGGACGTCGTCGCTCGTCGGAGGCGTCTCCATCACCACCGTCATGGCGCTGATGGGCGGCCTCTACGCCGGCAACCGAGTCCATCCTGACAACGGAGTCGGGCGGTGGGTCGTCATCGTGTGCATCTACCTCTTCGCATTCATCTACAGCGCTACCTGGGCACTGTCATTCCGCATCTACCTGGTCGAGAGCCTGCCGCGGAAGACGAGGTCGAGCGCTTCTTCGCTCGCACAGAGTGCGAACTGGGTATGCCCCCCCCCCCCCCTACCCGCACCGATCCGGGGGCCCAGTGTCTACATCACTGCCCGAGCATCGTGCAATACACAGAGGGATCTTGCGTGGTATACCCGCCTCGTTGCTGACATACACTCTCTCCACAGGTGGCAAACTACGTCGTTGCCCTCATCACGCCTGTTCTTCTCTCGGCATCCACGAGTGCGGCGTATTTCCTCTTTGGCGGCATGGCTCTGATCGCCACCGTTGGCATCGCCTTCTTCATGGTCGAGACGAGGGGCGCTTCGTTGGAAGAGATCGAGGACGCATACAATACGGCACGATCGGCCGAGTCGGAGAAGAGGTCGCACACTGACTGCACCGTGACTCCTCTCGAGGCATGAAACCGCACAACGGTCATTTCCAACATCAGACGGTAAGAGCGACATTTTTAACGTGATCACGTGAACCACGCACGGTATACGAATCTGGGTAATGCTGTAGGGAGGGAGAGAGAGAAAAGCATCGATCGGACTTCGGACTTGGGACTCCTGGCAGAGTAGAGTTGAGATATAGACTTGGTTTACACGCTTATATAGATTAGATACATGGCTTATGGGTAATAGCAGGATAGGGCCACAGCACGGGATAATGTTATCTCGACGTCCCGCAACCATGCATCTGGGATTGTGTATGTATAGTGCCACGTCAACGGGCCGGGAAAGCCTATAATCGGGATTCATGAGCATGCAAAGGTATATACAGTAGACGAGAATGAACGTATGAGCAGCAGGAATGAAAGGAGGACAAGAGAGAATACAAGCAGACCGTCCATGATTCGCCAGTCTATGATCGATGGTGCCAGCCACGAGATGCAATACCCACACACAGCTCTCATAGCCCTTCCCCGTACGATACGGGGTGGCAGCCAGTGCCGCCGATGTGCAGGCTGGCTTCCTCATCATCGTTGACGACGGTGATGGGCCTGTCCCGCAGGTCCTCCTCGAGCGTCAGCAGGTGATTTGGGTCTATGAGGACGACGTTTCTGCTCAGTGCGAAAAGGTGACGGATGGTCTCCTGGATCACCCTCTGGGCAACACTGTGTAGAGAGTAGGTCTCCGTGAAGGAGAAGACGACGGCACAGGCGCCGGCATAGCGGCCGGAACCGGGGTCGTCCTTGTCGGCGGGCGAGAGTTCGCGCAGGACGGTGCGGGTGAGGCGCTCGGCACCGGCGAACCGGACGGCACCGCGCAGGCCGAAGATGGGGACCTTCTGCTCGCACGCGTGGGCGCCGCCGGCGATGGTGACGGTACGGGTGTGCACCGTGGCCCTGGCGACGTGGCGGATGTCCATCATGTGCAGGCCCATGTCGGACGAGAGCTTCTCGCACATCAGCACGCCCCTGACGCTGTTACCGCGCCCGTCGAGCTTGGGGGAGAAGACGGCGAGGCCCATCTGACCGGGCAGGGCGCCTATGATGCCGCCGGCGACGCCGCTCTTGGCCGGGATGCCGACGCGCGATACCCAGTCGCCGGCGGCGTCGTACATGCCGCAGGTGGTCATGACGGAGAGGACCTGGCGCACCGTCTCCTGCGGCATGACGCGCTTGCCGGTGACGGGGTTGATGCCGGCGTTGCTGAGGGTGGCGGCCATGATGGCCAGGTCGTGCACGTTGACGTTGACGGAGCACTGGCGTATGTAGCCGCGGACGATGGCGCGCGGGTCGCCGGTGATGATGCCGGCCGCCTTGAGCATGTAGGCCAGTCCCATGTTGCGGTCGGCGTCCTTGAGCTCGGCGTGGAAGACGGCCTCGTCGACGCTCAGCCGCCGGCCGGCCAGGTCGGACAGCGTGGCGATGATGCGCTCCTCCCTCTGCTGCTCGGTGGCCTCGGTCCCGCACACCAAGGAGTGCGACGCCAGAGCCCCGGCGTTGATCATCGGGTTCATCGGACGGTTGGTGTTGCGCTGCAGCGACAGCTGGTTGAAGGCGTCCCCCGACGGCTCGACCCCCACCTTCTCCAGCACGCACGCCATGCCGACGTCCTCGATGGCCATGGCATACACGAACGCCTTGGAGATGGACTGCATCGAGAACTCGACCTTGTCGTCCCCTGCCGAGTACACGAACCCGTCCACCGTGGCCAGGGCTACGGCCATCTTGGTGTCGTCGGCCTGCGCGAGCACGTCGATGTAGTCGGCTACATGGCCGGATTCGACCGGTCGGGTCAGTTCCAGGACTCTCTCGAGGTGCTCAGTTATGGGCGACTTCATCCTCGTGTGCGTGCGTGCGTGCGTTGCGTGCGTGAGTGCGCGGATGTGTATTTTTTCCCTCGGTATCTTTTCTTTTTTTTTTTTTTTTTTTTCGTTTCAACTGCTGTGCTCTTCTAACCGGGCTTTCCGGCCCTAGCTAGCTACTCTGAAGTTCAGCAGGTCACGACTTCCCGTATTCAACTCTGTAGACACAGATGGAGACCTGACACGCTGAAGATGATGATGGGAATCCCGTCTGTTTTTTCTTTCTTTCTTTCTTTTTCGTTCCCAGCTCTCCTACACGTCTCTTTCTAGAAGAAGAGAAAAATTCCAACGGAGACGTGCTAATTACTAGTTAGCCCTGAGTCTGATCTGGACGGCGCGCTAGCCGAAGCGTGTGGCAGACAATAATCGTTTCTGCAGACGCTGGAGTGGGGACAGGATTGATAAGATTGATAATCCAATGTGACGCTGTCTGTATCCTCAACCTGCATATAAACGGAAAAAAAGATGGTGTTGAACGCAGGAACAGTACTTGAATAACAGTAGGAACGTTGTGCCTTGATCGTTTGGTCTCATCACCCTCTAGACGGCATGTCCTTTTTCAGATACGGGGCCAATGATCCTCTGAGCCCACCGACACCGTCAGGGCTTGACGAATGTGCGGCTGTTGAAAAATAATATGCCATAGCGCTAGATCCCGTTAGTGTAGTATCATTACATAGTGTTACTTGATTCGGATCCCTTTGGCTCAGTGGGACCGTCTTCGGTTCTTTTGCCGGTGAGAGTCGGCGATGATCCGAAAGAGAGGAGAGAAAAAAAAAGTGGCATCCAGATTGCATGACTAAGCCGCCAAGGATTGCTCGCCACATGCACAGCTGTAAATAGCCTCATAGATGCTCCTTTCCTTTTGAAGAGGAAGCGATCAGACACCTACCTATCGATCCAGTACGTATGCAACGGCAGAGACCACTGTATCAGCGCCTACGGGTCATCGTGCGTTGCCACCACGGGAAGCACAAAAGGCGAGGTCCAGGGTATGCTATGAAGTGGGGCAGAACTTGGCCGAAACTGTTCAAGATTGTGTCGATTGTAGATGAGGTTTTACATATTGGCTCAAGATGAGAGGACCTGCTATGTAATCGTACGTCCTAGCTGTGCTCCTGGAAAAGCCTCATTGCCTGGAGCCACGTGACTTTCACTCAGAGGCACCGAGATGACCGCTACAAGATGTAGTTCGTGTACCCTGTTAGGTGGCTTCTTCATCTTTTCTCTGGACGACAACCATATCGTAAGACTTCAACTACAGACTTACCAGTATCCGTATCACACGTGCGATGTATAGAGGTTCATCAGTGGAGCAGGACGGAGAGTACGAACTACACCCAAATCGACCGGTGACGCGGACCCACCTCGCTTCACCCGATGCATATGAAGCCGCAGGAGAGTTCACCCAATGATCCACCTGGCACCATCAGCCGTCGTCGTACGACTCATCAAGATTGTAGATTCTCAACCTCACGTGGAGGCAGCCTTCAAAATGCCGTCCTGGAAGGACCATGTCAATAAGCTCAAGGGTGAGTTCAACAACATAAGGACAGAGGTACAGGCTGGTCTGTCGGGGCAGCAGCAGCGGCAGCAGCAGCAGCAGCAGCAGCAGCATTCCGGATATCCGTCCGCCCCTCCCCCGCCTGCCCAAGGCACCTCCGCCTACTGGAGACCACGCTTCCAGCCCGATATCTCCGTGACGCAGGAGTGGGACGCGAAGATGGGGAACGGCCCCGATGGATGGGGTAACCAGGAGCTACAGCATTACACCGCGCTCCCCCAGAATGTCTTCTAGTGAGCATCAGGTCCCTCACTGCCAGCCGACTACGCGGTCCTCTTTGATTGACTCTGACGCCACGCAGCACATCCGACGGCCTTCTTATCCTGCGTGCGCTGGCTAGCAGCCAGGAGCCCAACCCGGAGAGGAAGCACACGTCTGCCCGGCTCGTCAGCCGCCAGACCCTGGCCCGGGACAGAGGTTCCCTGACGGCCGTCATCCAGTCCCCCTGCGCCCCGGGTATCTGGCCTGCCTTCTGGCTGCTGCCTCAGGAGCCGTTCAACTGGCCTGTCGATGGCGAGATCGACATAGCCGAGACGTGGAACGGCGACTGCGAGAACCACTCGTGCCTGCACTGGGGCCAGCACCATGAGCCGCAGAAGCACCGCGTCTTGGGCACCAAGATCCACGACATGCCCAGCCGACCGGTGAGGTACGACTTCGTCTGGGACCAGCCAGGTGGTCAGCCTGGACAGGGCCGCCTCGTGTGGTACATCGACAGTCGGCCCGTCATGAAGGGCCACATCCCTGCCGGTACGCGGCCCATGAGGGACATGACCGTCCTCCTCAACATCGCCATGGGAGGCAACGTCTGCAACGGCGTGAGGCCGGCTGACGGGTACTACGATATGGTCGTATACTCCCTCTACGCGTCGGATGTGCCGGAGCTGGGTGGCTGGCCTGGTTTTGACCATGCCTGGAATAACCCTGCCACGCCAGAGGGGAGTGGGTACTAGATGGCAAGGCAGATACTGTTCGTGACTGGTGCGGAGATGGAAGCATGGAATTTGATAACGTTCATTGGAGAAGATGAAAGATGGCCCCCCCCAACGCAAGACAGAACCGGAGCCGTGCTAGCGCACGGCGGACCCGTCGTGCGCATCTCGGGGTTACCAAAAGCACCTGCATGCATGCAACCACCCAACCCAGGTGGCCGAAGAGAGCCCCTGCATGATAACGTGACGCGCAGTGGCACTGGCCTTATTTCCTAGCTCCTCTACTCTATCTATCTATCTCATGGCTGTGCTCGGTCACGCTCACCTCCAATCCCTACTACGACGCTGATCGTGACCCTTTTAGTTCTGCTCATCGGGCCAGTACATGTCATATAGAGGCCATATAAAGGATTGCACCTACTTGCACGTAGTGACTCGCAGTGCTGTGTCCTGTGTGAGTGGGTAAGCGTTCCATTGGAGGAAGAGAAAAAGGGGCGCGGATACTGTATCCCCATCTGTTGGTTGTCGGTAAGAAGAAGACCAACAACTTCGGCGGTATATCTCGACATGGCCAACGTCTTTGACGATAAGCTTCACCCAAGCCGCTCCGTACGTGTAGGGCAACGTGAAACGGGCAGAAGATCACAAGTATGGTGTGCGAGGTAGGATATACGGAACAAAAGAGGACGTCAATCTATCGGCTGGTTGCCCACTACCCAATATTATATGGACGGAGAACGGACAGCACCCCGACGAGCCCTTCCTCCCGCACAAGTGATCATGGGATGACGCCAAGCCATGGGCGAAAATAGTAGACCCCCTGATGCACCGACAGTGTGGCAGGGCAATTCTCGAGGTTTGGTGACGCAGCGCTTATGCAACCGACCTGTTCGGCGAGGAATGATGCCCATGCTGCTGGCCCTCATATCTGCGGCAAGACGCCTTCTATCATCAAACAGAAGAAGCAAGGAGGGCCATGTCATGGTAGATCGATTAATGGGGGGCAACGGGTGTGTGTACATCCTATGTATCCGTGGTGTCCTCTATGAATGAGGACGCATCTATGGGACAGGCGCTTATATGATGCTAGATCCAGCCGCTGTTCCTGTATGGATAGAGGAGTGCTGTATGGGTACCTGTGCCATGTCCCTATCCAATCTCGTGGTTTATCTTGACGAGAATAGTATATTCGGAGTTAGCTATCGTCTGGCCATCCCGCCCTGTGCAGGCAGGGTGGGTGGCTAAAACYAGGGACATGAATAATATATGCATGTTGGTTGCAAACCAGTGTGGGTTCATCTAGGTCCCGCTYATGCGCATACTGCAACGATAGAACCAACAAGCTGGCCACCATGATGTGATCGAGGTTCCCATATAAGGTCAACTATGGGTACCTATGCCATGTCCCTATCTAATCTCGTGGTTTATCTTAACGAGAATAGTATATTCGGAGTTAGCTATCGTCTAGCCATCCCGCCCTGTGCAGGCAGGGTGGGTGGCTAAAACTAGGGACATGAATAATATATGCATGTTGGTTGCAAACCAGTGTGGGTTCATCTAGGTCCCGCTYATGCGCATACTGCAACGATAGAACCAACAAGCTGGCCACCATGATGTGATCGAGGTTCCCGTACAAGGTCAAGCGGCACGACTCATCTAGGACTCATCTAGGACTGCCTCGGGAGTGGCTGGAGAGTTCGCTTAGAGCACATAAATATCGACCGGTATGCCTTTGACGGGATATTGGAAGGTATATGTCAAAACGTCTGGTTCACCACACCCAGCTTTAGTTTACAAGTCTATAACCTACATACTGACGATTGCCAGCCCAATATCACCATGTCTTACAAGAGGCATACAATTGGACGGATGGGCTTCTTCTATGACGAGGTAGTCCGCAACGAGAATCCTGATGGGACCCCGTTTCCATCGCACGTCGAGGTTCTCCGGACGTCCCTGCTTGATTTCCATCTTGCGATTACGTTGCCCAAAGTCGTGGATGGGGATCCCGCCTATGCTGCAGCCCGAGACGCCGTGGAAGAAGCCGATTTATTGGTCGAGGGCCATTACAACGAGACCAGATGGCAGGATTTCTTCAAGACTAAATTTTTCAACCCGCTCTCCGATAACATCTCTGTAAAGAAGGATGACCCTCGACGGTACGTTGCATCATGATCTGCGCATAAGCCAACGTCGATGCCTATCTGCATATGAACAGAACCGTTGAAACTCCCGGACCTGACGTGAGCAAACAGAATTTCTCGTTGCACTTATTATTACGATGCCTTTACAACGTAAGTGACAGCTAAACTACGACTCGTGTACGTATTCGTGGACAGGTACCGGGCCAAGTAGTAATATTCCACTCAGTTCTTCCAACCAGGACTGGAACATGTTCCACTTCAAGCGCATGGAGAAGATCCCAGAGCAGTTTGACGGCTTTCGACCGCAGAAGTGCCCCAGGCCCGACTACGCCTTTTACCTACCCATTTACCATCTAAAGAACGACACGAAAGTCCCAAGGATCAAGGACTCCAAGGCCCGGAAGTGGAATGAAACCTCGGATAACACAATGTCCGAACTCTTCTCATGGGACTGCCTCCAGGCCCTGGGCAAGAACGGCACCGGCCTACAGTTCAGCCCAATGAGGGAACAGACAGCGACTCGAGGCAAGGCGCAGAAGAAGAACAACAACAACAAGAATGAACGTGAGCCCAAGGACGCCTTCCTGAACTCATACCCCTGGCTTCTTATCGAGCACAAGAAGGACAGACAGGTCAGAGAAAATGTTGAAAGCCAGGCATGCAACGGCAGCGCATGCGCGCTTTGCCTCAATCAGATTGCGGCTAGATACGCAATTCCGCTACCGGAAGAAGCCCACATCCCGCCCATCCCAGTCGTCACAACCATCGGACCAAATGTCAAGGTATGGGTCGCCTACTTTGGGACGCATGTCCGCGCGCCCGGCCGTGAATCAGAAGAGGAGGATGCAAAGTGGCGGTACCGCAGGAGAGCCTACGTACGTCCTGTTCCCTCTCGTTTGACAAGATATCGTTCTTTGTGTTTGTCGAGAAAGCCGACCAAGTGCGGAGAGATCCGACTGAACTCCGTATCCAGCATATCAGTACTACTGAGACATGGACTATACTGAGACGCCTGACTTTAGTTTATGCGAGCCATCTGGGAAGGAGATATGACCAAGTTGACTGACAGCATCAACTTCCGCATCATCCTGGAAAATGCACACACTTGGGCTATGAGAGTCTTCAAACCCCTCATGGCCTCATACATCACCGCTTGGAAGCGCACATTTTCCGCTCCGGGCGAGGCAGAGGCTGCCGCGGCAGCCCTTCACCAGCAGAGAGCCGTTGCTAGTTCAAGGAAGGTTACGCCCATGGTGGAGAGTATCCTGAGCACCCAGCCAAATGTCTCCATGAGCAGTGACGAGGAAGTCGCCATCACCCCCATGCTTCTCAGCCTGCTTGTCGAACAAATCTGCGTCTCCGAGCGCGAAGCTCTGGCTCTCCAGATAGACCACCTGGTAAGTAAGAGACTGGAGCCTCTATACGAGAAACTGGGCATAGAGACCAGGGCCAGAAGTGAGGTGACCCAAGGCACTACGGGCGGAGAGCCCCGAGAGGAAAGCCAGATCTGGGAGACAACTCTCGATTTTGACGACTCGGAGGATGATGACGGCTTTGATGACGACCAGGATCTCACGCTTGAAGGTGGCTCTATTGGAAGCGAGAAGGGGAAGGGGTTTACCGACATCAAGGTCCTGGTGACCCCCGTACGCCCTGGGATCGACAGCTCTCAGATGCCAAGCCCGTTAGATGACAGCCCACTTGCAATGCGTTCGAGGCTCAGCTCAAAGGATAAGAAATCCGGGAATCTTTTGCCGTCTTTTGAAGCGACACGAACCGTTACGGAAGAGCGTCGTGACCTGAGATACGTGAAGGCAGATTATCTGGAAACAACAACCGAGCTTTCCTCGGAAAACACCGCCAAGCCAGAGACTAGGAGCCGTTCCAAATCCTGCAATTATCTGGGTCCAGTCTCCCTCCCCAAGGGTTCACGATCATCTGCACCGACACCGGCAGATGGAACACCCACCACCCGTGCCAGAGCTACCAACAGGACGCCAAATACGGAGCCAACTGGCAAGCCATATAGTCTGAGAGGAAAGAATGGTAGGTTCATATCAGCAAAGAATTATGAACTCGAGAAGGCCTTTGAAGCCATGGAGGTTGCCAGGTTCGAAAGGAAGAAGGAGCAACCTACTATCACGGATCTTCTGCAACGAAGCAGTACCTCTATCGACGAAGGCGACGCCACTCTGGTTGAGGCAGGGGTTCCTGGGAGCCAGGACCCGTTGGGGAATGGTTACGAAGTGGAACAGAAGGATCCCGAAGGCGGTACATAAGTAGTCACTGGCCCCGATTCCGTCAAGGAAGGGGAAAGTTCCATGAGGATCCCGTCATCAGTGTACAAGCAAGAACATTTGCAGATTATGAAGTCCAGCTCGCTTGCCCCAAGTTTCATCGCACATATATCGAAAATCTGTCCGCTCTTCTTGGCATGACAACAGGTACATGCATGGAGACTTATGCCTGGATCTGTCTGCCGCCCGCCTTCGAATCATTGCTTTCCACCTGGCGGCGAACATGCCACCACCTGCTCACCATGTCGCAGTAGAACTCAAAGTACGCCGAGGTATCCTCGGGAGCTTCGACCTTGCCGTCAGGGAAATTCCAAGGCTTGTCCTTGCCGAGGAAGTGAATGACTTTGTGCTGAGATCGATAGCGAAGAACAGCAGAGACATAGAGCCGATAAACCTTGTGCATCTGCATGTTGTAGGTGAAGCTGAGCCGAAACCACGCGCGCGCTGCGGGATCAGGGCTCTCCTGGTTAGACAGCAGTCGCTTCACCGGGTGGCCGAGAGTCCCGTCGCCGAAGTGAATGTTCAGGAGTCCCTGGTCCCCTCCGTCAAACGACTCCACCTCCCCAGCTAGCCTGCTCAGCTCCATGTAGGTCGTCTTGTTCGGTTTCAGGAGCATCACGCCGCTGTTGAAGCAGTCCGGGAAGCCGACATCTGGTGACGCGGCGAATCCGATGTGGTCTGGCAGGGAGAAGAGATGGTCTAGATTAGACAGGACCAGCGTGTCGGCGTCGAGGTACAGTACACGCTCGTACTGGTCGAGAGTCCAAAGGTTGAGCTTGGTGAGGGTCGTGTGAAGATCGGGACGTCCGATAAGTTCGAGATTCGCCGCCGATATGCCAGTGATGGGCGGAACGGGGATGACATGGTCAAACAGGCACTCGAGTCTCCTCTTTGACCCTTCGGAAACAGCCGGGATCACAAGAACACACAACGGAACGGTGGTTCCCGAATTCCTGAGACACTGGGCAACAACAAGCGCAGCTTTTATATATATATATATATATATGTTAGCACTGGCGCCATGCTCGAGCTTTGGTATTATCTATCAGTCATCACCTAGAAGATATGAATCATTTGTGAGAAGCTGTGGGATTGTTAGACATAGTTAACGAAACGGAAAAGAAGAAGAAGAAGAGGAAGAAGCAGAAACCAAGAGCGAGAAGGGGAACCAAAACATGGATGGGATCAAGACTTCATCTCATACCGTGCAATACGCTGTGCTATGGCCAGCCATTGTGATGTAATGACAATACCAGGGCGGGAAACGGAAATAGAAGGGAAGACGCAACCAATAGTGGCAGACAAGGGCGATATCGTGATCTTTTGATAGCTGCTCTAACTAGGCAAGACAACTACAGGACTCCGCATTCTCTTAAGTGACAAGTTCAAGTTCCCGAGAAAACCAGATATGGAATTTAGGGGAGGGGGAGGGGGGGGGAGGTTGGGTTGAGCAGCGCAAGGGCGATTCTGGGGCTGGGTTCTGCCCGAGTTCCGCCTTGGGGTTCGCCTTGTGATGCAGGCGTACAATAATGACGAGCTTAGATAGCACATCTGACATGTAGGATCCTCCCTTTGTGGGAAGAGGGCTATGGACATGGTGCAATCAAATCAGGACCGGGTACTCTGCACTGCGGAATCGAGTTGAAGACTACGGGGTACATTCACATGTAGATAATCTTGAGCTACGTAGTGTACCTGTGATTGAAATGCGTGTGAGGACGTAAGGAGGATGAGTATTGATACATTGTTGCCCCAAGTATGCGCTGATTGTCAAATAAGTCGAAGGGAGATCTGGGATCGCGGCAGAAGCAGATTCAGATTCGATTATGTGACCTGTAAAGTATCGCGATCCGCTCCCTGATTCCCCAGGTAACATTGGTAGACGTTTTTTTCTTTTTTTTTTCTTTGGTTGAATCCTGATAAGTAATAATAATAGCATCACGCTGGCTATTGAAGACCTGATCCCGGCTTCAAGGATCTGTCTTGTTGTACGTCAACTGCAAGTACTCTAACTTCCAATCATCACACATCCCATCTCGTCTCGAATCAAGGTATCCTTGCATCGCCGGTTCGGCAATTACCTAAAACTTCAACCCTCAGCAGTCTGGGTGGCACTTTCGTGAAATATTTGGGGTTACCGACTCTCGATTGGAATATCAACAAGTGTGAACTTGCATCGATACTGCGACCGACCGTCTACATCATACTATGAGACGTCATCACAGCTTCCCACAAGTTTGATAGGCCAGATCGATGTTGATTCAGTACCGTGCCCTCGTGAGCAACATGATGACGTATGTAGATTTCGTGACACTATCCGCATAACGGAGTCGGCCAACTTAGGGACGGTGTTATATCAGTGTCAGCCTGTGATAAGTCTGTTCCGTCCTGCTGCAAGGTCCATCACTGCTGTAAACGATTGTACTTGGCATAAGTGCTTACATGGTCGTCTTGGCGAAGCCGCTCCCCGGGATCCTTGTACACATCATACGGTAGCAACCCTCTTGTCTCTCCAAATCGGGCTTGATCGAAACCCGGAGGAAATGCTTCTCATGAGCGCGCTGTCTGTTTGAGCTACGGAGAGCATGCGCCGACACCTTACCTTCCGGACTATACGATACTGCCGAGGACTAGTTGTAGCAGGGACATGATCCGTGTTGTGGATCCTGTTGTTGCTCCAATCTGCCTGGGGCTTCTTTGTCTTGAACTGTGAGTTATGTCGAGAGATGAAGACCACCGATCACTCCGTAGATAGGTTTCCGCAGCTGCTGGTAAAAGTAATATATCAACTCCAACGCTTCTTCATGTGGGAACATCGATTACTATGCATGTACGCGTAGGGAACCGGACCCCGAAGAAGCTTGAAGGTGTATACGATGGGATGGAGGGACCAAGAGTAGACGCACAAACTTGAGCCATATTTACCCAATGTCCCAGAATATGAAAAAAAAAAAAAAAAAAAAAAACTGGCATTTCACATACACATATTAATACGAAATCTAGACATGTTCCCACCACAACCAAATGCGATCAAACACCTAGCCCTGTCCCTGTCTATCAATATGCGATATCTGCATGAGATATCACGTACGAAGAGGGGCCATGCAATAATACCTTGCCGTGGGATGACCTTCGTGCACGCTTTGCTGACCACGACATGAGTTGGCATGGCGCAGCACCGTAGGCTGCAGCAGAACGTTATGATATTATTATTGTAGACGTGCAGTCCCTGGCATCTCGGACAAGCTGGGATGTCCTCCCTTTGTGTCCCACCATCATACAATAACCATTGTCAGCTCTCCTATAGAAGCTATCCGAGGCACCGCCAGCGCTTCTCTGTATGGACCGAGCGCCCGTGTTCTGCGTGCATCGACAGGATCATCTCTCTGAGACCAGGTACTCTCGTACACATCCTGCATACCCACCCTTGACACGATGGACCCATTGAGCATAGCAACGTCGGCCGTTGCCATCATGTCTTTGTGTAAGAAGACGATCGAGTACCTTCAAAGGGTAAAGCAATCGTCCAAGGAATGCAACCGTCTCAAAGCTGAGATCAGGTCTGCCGCGGCCGTACTGGAGACTTTCACCGAGGTCGTTCAGGACGCTGAGCTGGAGAAAGGCGAGTGGACCATCACGGTAAGGTCCATCGGCAGTCAAGAAGGTCCTCTGCAGCTACTCCAGGATAGCCTCGAGGCTCTCCAGAGGAAGCTCATCTCTGCCACTCCGTCGAGCGGGAGTGTGAGCCGCCTGGGGAAATCCCTGATGTGGCCGTTCAAGAGCGGGGAATTCCGCGACACCATCACCGTGATAGATCGCCAGAAGTCACTTCTCCTGCTGGCGCTGGAGAACGATCACTTTGCACTGTCAAAGGAGATCCGGGAGAATACGCGTACCATTCTGGTCGGGATGGATGGCGTAAAGGAGAACCTGCAGCAGATGACGGAGCGCAACGACGCAAAGGATCGTCTGGCTGTCATCAATTGGATCCCGGCCGCAGACTACGGCTCTCAGCAATGCGACTTCATAAGCCGACGCCAGAAGGGGACGGGAGAGTGGTTATTGACCTCTCACGAGTTCAGGGCATGGAAAAAAGGAGACCAAGGTGCTCTTTTCTGCCCAGGAATGCCCGGCGTTGGGAAGACGATGCTTTCTTCGATCGTCGTCGATCATCTCCGCCATGATTTCCAGCACCACGCCTCTGTTGCGATCGCCTGCGTCTACTTCAACTCCAAAAGACACCACGAGCAGACACCGACAAATTTCCTCTTCAGTGTCCTCAAACAGCTCCTGCAGTCTCTCCCTTCCATACCGGACGCTGTGGGGGAATTCTACGATCGCAACAAAGGCAGGACGCCTCAGATGTCGACGGAAGCCACGATGAAACTGCTACACTCGGCCATTGCAGAGATTCCCCGTGTCTTCATCATAGTCGATGCGCTCGATGAGGTGTCGGAGACCCACACGACAAACATGCTGTCGGCCTTGTCCCAGCTCCGGACAGATACAGGAGTAAGTGTATTCGCCACGTCACGATTCATACCGAAGATCGAGAGGGCTTTCGAAGGAGCACCGACCATGGAGATACGCGCCAGCGACTCAGACGTCCTAAGATACCTCGATGAGAACCTGTCGATCCTGCCGACATTCGTTTCGAGGAACTCCGCCCTCCAAGAGGAAATTAAAAATACCATCATCCGAGCAATTGATGGGATGTATGTACCGTCCGAGACGGAAGCCTCCATCTATCCCGTCTTCCAGAACGAGCATCAAGATCATTCACTGACTATTCTCAAAGGTTTCTTCTAGCCAAGCTACACCTGAACTCGCTTGCTGGGAAGAGGTCACCCAAAGCAGTCAGATCAACCCTGTCCAGGCTCCCGACCGGCTCCGAAGGCTACGACCATGCCTACCGAGATACCATGGAGAGAGTCAGAGGCCAGCCTCGCGATTCGTATGAGATTGCGAAACAGGTTCTCTCCTGGATATCCTGTGCTAAGCGGCCTTTGACTGCTTCCGAGTTGGTCCACGCTCTGGCCGTTGAGATTGGGGAAGATGAGCTTGATGAGGAAAATCTCCCAGATCTCGAGGACGTGGTTTCCGTCTGCGCAGGACTGGTCGCCGTAGACAGAATGAGCGACACAGTGAGGCTCGTACACTACACTGCCCAGGAGTACTTTGAGAGGACATGGAGGCAGTGGTTCCCCGAAGCGCCAGAGTACATTTCCCGTGTCTGCATTGCATGTCTATCCTTCTCTTCATTCAGCACCGGGCCTTGTACAACAGCTGCCGAGTTTCAATCACGACTTTCCGAGAACACTTTGTACGACTATGCGGCACGACACTGGGGCCATCATGCACAGGCGAGCCTCTCCGAGACAGATGAGCTCATGCTGGAGTTTTTGAAGAACCACGGTGCAGTGTCGGCATCGAGTCAGGTTCTGCTGACTCCTCAAAATGCGCCTTCGTACAGCCAGAACACCCCACACGACGTCACAGGCATGCACCTTGCTGCGTACTTTGGGCTACGACAAGCTGTCAGCTCATTGATGAGACTCGGATATTCGCCCTCCGTAGCAAACAGCCACGGTCAGACGCCACTCTGGTGGGCTGCAAAAAACGGGCACGAGCCGGTCGTCAAGCTACTTCTCAACGCCGACCGTATGGATGTCAATGCCAAGGACAGCGAATACGGCCGGAGCCCGCTCTGGTGGGCGGTCAGCAACGGGCACGACGGCGTCGTCGGCTTATTGATGGACAGAGAAGAGGTAGACGTCAACGCACCGGATAGGGAGTACGGCAGGGCACCTCTGGCGTGGGCGGCGAGGAGCGGGAGTTATGGTGTGGTGAAGCTGTTACTTGGGAGGGACGGCATAAACGTCAACACGCGCGACAGTCTGTACAGCGATACGCCATTATCCTGGGCGGCGAGAAACGGTCACGAGGACGTTGTGCAGCTGATGCTAGACCACCCAGACACCGATGTCAACTGCGAAGAGACAGAATATGAGCAGACGCCGCTGTCATGGGCGGCCAGAAATGCACACGGAGGTGTCGTCCGGATCCTCCTTGCTAACAGCAAGGTCAACTTGAACCATCAAGATAAAGCAGGGGCAACACCATTGATCTGGGCGGCAAGAGCTGGCTACACAGGCATCGTGAAGCTCCTGCTAGCCCAGGACGGCATCCAGCTTGATATCGAGGACGACTACGGCCAGACAGCGCTGGATTGGGCACTAGGGGGTGGTCACGAGGCCACGTCCAAGGAGCTCATGGAAAAGCTGGGAATGGACATGGGATCCAGCTCAACGGATTCGCGCGAAGTGGCCCTTGTACAGGCAGCGAGGATCAACAACGTCGCTACTGTCGAGGATCTCCTCCGAGACGAGGCGATCAATGCCAATTTCATGAACCAGCAAGGCTGGTCACCACTGCTATGGGCAGCCAGAAACGGACACAGCCAATCGGTACGGGAGCTGCTGCATCACCCGGGAATCAACGTCAACATCAAGGACAAATTCAGCCAGACCGCGCTCTGGTGGGCCGCACGTGGTGGCCATACCGCGGTTATGAAGCTCCTCCTGCACCGTGATGACGTCGACGTCAATTCCGGCATCACCAATCCCATCAGCTCGGGAGAGACGGCGCTAGCACAGGCAGCTCGGGCCGGTCACAGTGCCATCGTGCGGCTCCTGCTAGAGAAGGATGGCATCAATGTCAACTCGGGCGACTGCTACAACAGGACCCCCATCCTGTGGGCTGCCAGGGAAGGCCATACCATGGTTCTCAGGACACTGCTATCGACGGAAGGTGTGGATGTGAACGCGAGAGACGCATATGGCCGCACGGCCCTAGCCTGGGCTGCTAGGGAGGGTCATAAAGCGGCGGCAAAACTGCTGCTTGCCCACAAGTCCGTCGACAGGGATGCCAAGGACAGCTATGGTCGGAAGGCTATTTCCTGGGCTGAGGAGAATGGCCAAGAGGCTATTGTCAGGCTGCTACTTGATGGGTAGCGGATCACGTCGTTGCATGCGTAGAGTTTAATATCACCGTCGACTTTATATGGGGTCATGTACATATATTTATACTACCCCCTTAATTTCCAGCAGTATGAATTGGCCATAGATATCAGCTCCGGGCATTTCTTTCCTTTCGTTATATCTGCATGCACCATGCACTCTCTGCTGAAGGTCGGGCTTAGGACATGTGAGCGCGTAGCGGGAAGAGCTTCCCGCAGGTCCTCGGCAGAGATGTTTGCCGTTTGCATTTCGCCTCAATCTTCCATTTTTTTTGTCTTCTATTCGTATGCATCCGAGCGGTACTTTAGAATTTACAGTTGTTATTGATGCCTACGTTCGGCCCCCGTTTTCGAATTGCAGGCAGTCGAGCTGAAAGCGTCCGGGAGAGATGGTGCGAGAACAAACCCGGCTATGATCTAGTTTGATGCTTTCGTGATGGGAGTGCTCTCGCTACGGGTATGAGGCTCAAGAGGGAACGTCTGTAGCTCAGGCGTCACGCCACCGAAGACGCGATCCCATCTGGCGGCAAGCGGTGCCGGGGTCTCCCATGCATACTCGGGGTCGCGGAGCCACTGGCGTAGCAGATGTCTCCTGTCACACTGTGAGCCATGCAATCCGGCGATTGAGATACACTCATCAACCCCTAGTAGAGGTGACTTACTGTTTTTCCTTTGTGTCGACAAAGGCGTCGCGAGAGTGGAAGATGGCACAGTTATTGACGTACTGCATGTCGCCCTTTTCGAAGTTGGTCGAGACGCTGAACCGCTCGCCTAGGAAGTGTATGGCGTCGAGGGCTTCGGCCTGGGCCTCGGTAATGGGTGGGAGGTGGCTGCGACGCGGCAGCTCCCCGAATCCAACGTAGTATCGCCTACCATACTGGAGGATGACCCTGTCAGGAGTCTTGCCATCTGCGCTGGCGGGCTGGTGGTACAGCAAGGGGCGACTCATGAACCTGTCCTTGTCATCGACAGTCTTGGTGAACCTAAGGGTACATCAGTCTTGGGCCGGTCGATTCATGGGGGTCCTCTAATTCTCATCCATAAACTTTCCTCTCCTCTCCCAGCACGCAATGCCACTGAGTGGAAGAGCAGGAGGAGGATGGAGAAGTGATAGCGGGACTGAACTCACAGCTCCGCTTCCCATATTCCGCTCAACGTATGGATGAGGTCGGGTCTCGTTGCGGCCAAGTGGTTATACACACGCCACGTGCTCGCAAGACGACTAGCACCCCCAGACGCCGCTGTCGACAGGGCAAACAGCGAGACGATATCACCAGAGTCCGTGTGGAAGACCTGCTTGTCCGCAGTGTAGGCCGGAGAACCGATCTTGATGGCGTCCTTATCCCTGCTCTCACCGAGGGTGGACCGGACGTCCTTGATGTGGCCGATAACCACATCGGCGCGCTCGCCCTTGTAGTAAGCATCTTGGCGGCCGCGGATGGAGCCGATGTGGGAGGAGACGCCTGTGTATATGATGATATTTTCTTGGCGGGAATAGCGGTCGACGTCAAGGCCACGGAGAACGAAGAATCCATGGCCAAAGTGCAGCTCGCGAGATAGACGGCGCAGCTCCGCGTGCAGCGTGGGCAGGGGAAACGTCTCGCGGGTGATGTATCCGAGGGCGAGGTTCAACGCTTCACGTTCAATCCGTCGTCAGCTGGCGGGCTCCAGCGCAGGAACTCGGTGTGCACGCGGCAGGGAAGTGGAGGGCTCACACTTGAAATGCGCGAGGGCGCTGTCAATCTCGTCAAGTTGCGTCTCGGAGAGCACGTACGTCCAATCGTATTTCTGGGCGAGGGTGTCGCCGTCCCAGACCAGGTCACCCTTCAACTCCTTCGGGAAGCCCGCAGGCAGGTGCTTTGGGAGGTCCTCTGTTTGGAGGCGCCGGGCGACCCGGGCCTGGTATTTATCCCAGTCCGGGTGGTAGCTTATGTCCGGCTGACCGGGTGGTGGCTGCGCCGCCGGTGTGGGGCTGTAGACGGGCGGAGGAACCGGGGTGGCGGTGGTCACGGAAGCCATTATGTTTGTCGGCTCGGTGGCAAAAATGATATGATTGAGTAGTCTTGTATGTACGGGAGATGCCGAATGTAAACTATCCGAGTCCTTTATGACACTCAACCAAGACTTCTCAAGGGAGGGGGTTGGGGGTTCAGTTGAATGTTCGGGCTGAGGAGGCCGACAATGTTTCAAACCAGTGCGAACGGATAGCTTTCAGCTGGCATTGATGATGCCACTCTGTGCATCTACAATCTACATTTTCGGACGTTTCTACAAGCTTGTCTCTCCCGTCCGCTTTATAATGCCGGGCACGGGAGATCCAACTATGAATGCCGAGCGTCAGTATGGGGAACAGAGCGGGACTTGCCCTCCCATAAGCCGGGATTAAGCACCTCATCTGGCAGGACAGTGGCGCGATTGATTTATACCCAGCAAGAGCTATATGCCATGTAGCATCAGCAGAGCGGAGTCTCCATGCAGACGTGTAGAGAACAGCCGAGAGCAGGAGGCCTGTCGAAACTATTATTACTACTCTAGTCAACGGCAGCGATTGCGCACGCCTTGGCACCAATGATGCCATTGTGATTACTGCGCACGTCCGGCCTCCCAGGCACCATCATTTGCTTTACGAAAGTTTATGTAAGAAATACTTTACATAAGAAATACTTTACATGAGAAATACTTTACATGAGAAATACTTTACATGAGAAATACTTTACATGAGAAATACTTTACTTGAGAAATACGCAATGGAGCTATGAATGGCGTGCCACGCTGGTAAAGCTTGGATAGTCTCGAATATACCCATGATACTGTTACGTGGTAGAAATATCACACTGGTCTGTATGGCGCCGGCAGGGCCCGAGCGCTGGTGGTATGATATGTGGACATGACCGAGGACGACTTGATGGGCGGATGCTCTACAACGAGAACGAAATAGAAGAGTAGTGACCTCTTTGTACAAACCCGAGCACTGGGAAAGCTGGGAGGAAGAAGAAGATGAGCTCGAGACCTGGGGTCGATGCTCCCCGATGATATCGTAGCGGCAAGAATGAAAATGATACAGTTACTAGGAGCACACGGTACTTGCGAGTTTGAATACACGAACGTACCTTATATATAACTCTAAAATTACCCGTCGGGACTACTACATATATATATGCCTGGCTCTTTCAGTATCTAAAACAGAGCCGCCCTTCGACATTTGCAGCTGTTGGCCGTTGCTTCATCAGAGACTTCAAGGCGGTCAAAGCGTGATGGTGGCATTATTATAACAAGTAATCACACCTTGCGTACCCGTATTTCAAGATGTCTGGCCCCGCCAGACGTAACCTTCCTGCTCCATATATCCGCCCACTCGTTGGTCGATATACTTGGCGGTTGTGGCATGCGGTCCTCAGTCTCCCGGCCCCATGGCCGAATCCAGCGATAAAAGGCCAGTCCGTCTCCTCTCCCGCGGAGCGCTCATGACTTGAGAAGACCCAAGGTCGTCCATAGGTCCCATCGAAGTCTCCGACTTGACAAGGCGCATAGGCCTACCCGACGTCGATATGGACAGCAAGACAAAGATCGCAGGCTTCCTGGACAAGATCAAGCCCCGGAGTGGCAAGCAAGCCGCTCCCAACGGTCAGGGACACCAGTCAGACAGCGACACTTCTGTCATTCGCGATGGCGATCTCGCTTTCGTCCGCCAGACAGCCGAGAATGGCACGTCTGCCTACCAGGAGGCCGTGGGGGCGCCCGTTGAGGCGCGCTCGCCGCTAGGCTACCATGTCAACTGGCTCACCATCATCTTCCTCAACGTCAACCACATGGTGGGCACCGGTGTCTTCTCCACGCCGGGCACCATCCTCAAGCTCACGGGGTCCGTCGGCTTGGCCCTGGTCTACTGGGTCATCGGGCTCATCCTGGCCATCGCCGGTCTCGGCGTTCACATGGAGTTCACCAGCTACTTCCCCAACCGCAGCGGTTCCGAGGTCGTCTGGCTCGAGCAGAGCTACCCGCGACCCAAGCACTTCTTCCCCATCGCCTTTGCCGTCCAGACCGTCCTCCTATCCTTCAGCAGCAGCAACGCCATCGTGCTGTCCACCTACCTCTGGCGCATGGCTGGGCGCGACCCCGGCCCCTGGGAGCTCAAGGGCGTCGCCATCGCCGCCTACACCGTGGCCGTCATCTGCGTCATCGCGCACAACAAGTACTCTTATTGGGCTATCAACGGCATCGGTGCCCTGAAGCTGCTCCTCATGACCTTCATCGCCATATCGGGCCTCGTCATCCTCGGCGGTCATGTGTCCAAGATCGAGAACCCGGGCTCCAACTTTGCCAACGGCCATGGGTTTGACGGGACGACGTCGAGTGGTTACAACCTATCCCAGGCCATGGTCAACATCTCGTTCGCCTTCTCCGGGTGGCAGAACGCCTTCAGCATGGCCAACGAGATCAGGAACCCCATTCCGACTCTCAAGAAGAACGCCACCGCGTCCCTGCTCATCGTCTTCGTCCTCTACTTCCTTTGCAACGTCGCCTACTTCGCCGCCGTCCCCAAGGAGGTGTTCATGGAGTCGGACCAGCTGGCGGCCGCCGTGTTTTTCCGCACTGCATTTGGCAAAAAGGCCGAGTCGGCCCTCAACTTCTGCGTGCTTCTCAGCTCCTTTGGTAACCTGCTTGCCGTCCTCATCCAGCAGTCACGGCAGATCCGCGAGATTGCGCGCCAGGGCGTGCTCCCCTGGACGGAGTTCTGGGTCTCTACCAAGCCGTTCGGCACTCCTCTCGGTCCCTACCTCCTCAAGTGGTTCGTCACTTTCATCATGATCCTGGCGCCCCCGGCAGGTGACGCCTTCCAGTTTGTTGTCAGTCTGAAGACGTACCCCGAGGCCATCTTCCACGTCGCCATGGGCATCGGTCTGATCATTCTCCGCCGCCGCCGTGACCGCTCCGGCACACCGCCGTCCAGCTTCAGGGCCTGGTGGACCATTGTCGGTCTGTATGTACTCTCCCAGCTCTATCTCCTCATCATGCCTTGGATCCCTCCGGAGGGTGGCATATATGACGGCACCGTGAGCTTCTTCTATGCTACCTACATGATTGTCGGCATCGGCATCATTGGCTTGTGCGGCGCCTATTACTATCTCTGGATGGTCGCTCTTCCCCGTTGGCGCAAGTACACCATCCGGTCGCAAGTGGTTGATATCAGCGACAACGGTGCCAACACCCACCGCCTCGTGCGCGTGCCTAATGCCGAAGTGGCCGAGTGGGATGCCACTCACGACGAACTTGGCCGCGAGGTGCGTCAGAGACGTCGTGGGGATGGAAGCATTGATCTGGTGCACGAGGACCCTGAAGGGTCCAATTTGAAGGTCAGCTCTACTCAAAGCATCTCAAAGGTCTGAACCCTTCATTGCGTCTGATCCTTGGCATGTAAATTATGTATTCTTCATAGTCAATGTACCCGTTTTACATACGTATCGCTCTCGTCGTTTCCAGGAGCCAATCACCAGACAGATCATACTGATCGGTACATGCATGAACCTACAGAAGTTGCCTTCCCCATCAATACAGTTCTGCTGTGATATCTTGCCAATTCCAGACGGCAACGTGCCCTTCACTCTCACGGTTCACTCCTGGTCGAGTGCCGTAGGGGCGTGGAGATCAAAAATATCCGGCATGGTGTAGTGACTCTCATTTCGCGCTCTCAGATCCTGAGGGACAGCTATATCCCGCGGAGCAATCATCCCCCTCTCATTACTTGCATCCAGTGACTTCTTTCCCCATCTCTTCTTCCCCTTCTGCCATGGTAGACACAGTTGCATGCACGTGTTACATGTGATATATCTGGACATCCCGCTCGAGAACATGCCTCGGTGTAGATCAGAACCCGCCTTCGCTCCGAGAGCTTTTGGGCAACGGTAAATGTTTCTTTTCCCCCTCAAAAACAAAACCGGAATCATAGAGGACATCTGCCGTCAAACGGTCATCTCTCGGTATTGAGAATCCGATCAACCTCTTCATCAGCTGCCTGTAGAATATAATCAGCTGGATACTCGGGCTCCCAGCCAATATTCTTCCCATTTCGAGACGTAAAAGTGCACCTTGGAAGGGGACAGATTAGCATTCATTCACTTCGCTTCTCTTTCTTCTCCTTCTTCTTCTCCTTTCTTATCTCATGAAACCATGTATCAATCCCTGCGTCGAGAGAATAAGAGACAAAACTTACAGCCCACCGAGCTCAACGGGCACGAATTCCTTCGAACGCTGAATAGCAGCACCCATCTGATCGAGAACAGCGTCATCCGCCAGAACGACGGACTCGTCGTCGACGACACGTCGGGTCTTCAGAGCGCGGGCCATGGCATCGTACAGGTCATCCCATACTACGTCGCCGGACGAGGCGAGGTAGTACCCCTGCTCTCCGTACCCTATCTCTGCGCCGTTCAGAATTCGGCCGAGAATAGCAAGGTATAGCGATGAGCTGTCCCTGACGTTGCGCATCTGAAGATCAAATCAGTCGACCATTCGGAATTACGGTTGCTCGCTCTTGAATCCGTATCCATATCATCATTTCTGCACGTAAGCACTAAGGATGTCCGACAGGACGTTCCGGTCCGAGAGGAGTCAAGGACGCGGCAAATCAGCACACGAGCGACTAGGACGAAATCATCTCTCATAGATAGATGCCGAACGATAACACAGATCAGGCCCTTGAATGTGCGTCTGAGCTGGATGGGATTATCCGGTACTATTAGACCGAGTATTTCTTCCAAGTCAAAAGAGAGGGGAGAGAGATGCTGATGGGTTGCCTGCACAAGTGCGGCAGATCAACATGAGGGGCCGACTCACGACGATACTGTACCGACGTCGACTGTCCATATCCATGCGTAGCCAGAGAACACGCTGCGGTCCCTCAGGTTCCCCATAACGGTCCCTCCCGATGATGACATCCTCCCTTCCTCCCACTTCCTCCCCACCGAGGAGGGATGGAAGGAAAGAATGGAGGAAGAGACTTGGGAAGGATATAAGTAATGGAAGGGGAGATTTCAAGACTAGAGGCACACGCCTCGAGTGACGGCCGTCTTTGAACTCAGGCAGGAGCTTCTCCCGACGAGGCAACCACCATTTCACCGATTGCCGAAAGCTTCTCGCAACCGGAAGCAGCCACCTCAAGTGACAGGGGATCCTTCCATTTGGGAAGGACAACAACGGACCCTCGTGCCTGCCTTGTGTCAAGTGCTGACAGAGGACAGAGGACAGAGGACAGTCAGGAAAGTGTCAAGCCACCAAGTTATATCAAGCCACATCAAGCCACATCCAAGAATGACATCAGGAGATCATCAAGAAAGATTCAGTCAAGGTCCAAGGAAGCATAAAGATCATCACAAGCAAGATGAAGACATTAGAGACAAGATGCGAGAACAAGTATAAAGAGGGAGCTGGGAAGCTACTAGGAAGTAAGGAGATAGGGATGAATGAATATGAATCTCGACCCTAAAGTTGACCCTGAATCTCTTTTCTGTCTCCTGCCGGCAAGACTTCATCACTTTCTCTATTACTTCTGACAAGTCCCTCGACACCTTGCCTCCGCAGGGTACACACGTCGCTCCTCTCCAGCGACGGCAACGACAGACGGCTCTCTCACCCGCAAAAGGCCTTTCGAAAACACGGTAGATCAGACGACGGAGTGACGGCGTAGTTGTGGTGATGTAGCGGATACAGATGCACAATGGGGATGAAGATGTATATTGATCGTTGACTCCCTTTCTCGCTCCACGAGAAAGGCGGTTACTTATTGCCAGGTATCTCGGTGTTGAGGCCTCAACTTGTTGTTGTGTAGTGTGTGTGTGTATGTGTTCCTCGTGTCTCCAACAGGAGACACCAGTCGGGTAGAGATACCACGGCTATCCTTCTATGGAGGGAGGAGTGCGGTACTGGTATATCATCTCCCTGCACGTCCCACTTCGTGACACTTGTATGACATATTCCGTCCCGATGGACTCACTTTTACTGAGATTACTCCAATGGCTCTCACATGAGTAACTGAACATCCACGCTACGCTATGTGTAGGGGCACATGCAAGCGAGGCGTATAATCACCTAGAACGTCATTGCCGAGTACCATGGTAAGTTGGAGAAGACGGAGACGTTGCTAGTGCATCTCGAGCTGGGGAAGGGACGTCGGTGCGGCAGAGGTTCAGCATTGTATGATAAGGAGGTTCCGGTCATGGAGAAGTGACCGCACGATGCCAGTACTTGCGGGTTTCTACGGCAGGTCACAGCCGATTAATGAAAGAACTGTTCTGCGTGGGGACAGCTCTCGCGGCACGACGAGATGGTGCTGGATATTGACGAGAGGGTGCGCCCCCCCCCCCCCCCGAAAAAAAAAAGATCAAGGGGTAATGGCACCATGTCAAGAAGAAGGATGTCTCAATGGCACTGTCCGCATTCGTGCGAATGATTCCCTCGTATAGATGTCAAGATTTTGTGACGGTGGTGGTCTCGAGAGCACAGTAACGATGTCGGGGCGTGAGAGAAATAAGGAGCTTCAAGAAGGCGACTTGGAACATATCATAGCAACCACAAATACTATTCGATTGAGGTTTGGCCGTCGGTGCAGTCGCTCAATTGTGCATAGCATTATGAAGAGTGGCGTGACGACGGACAGTAGAGAGAAATGAAGCTGCTACGGCCAACCCACCATCCGTCTTGATATGGTGTACGGGTGCAGCCTCAAGATATTCAACACCAACGTAACGCTCGTGGTTGTTGATCCCCGGCATTTCCGTGACAAGTGTTGACGAGGGACGCTAGACTCTACGTGTTCCCCACGGGATTCCCGTTCTTGTCTTGGGGCGGATAAAGTGCCCTTCCTTGACTTGTGGTGCTAGAGCTCATCCCACAAGCCTGTACTGTTTCTATCGCTGGCTTCGAAACCATCTTTTCCGAAGAGGCCAGCGACCAACTGGGTAAGCATGACGTCGCTCCCCTCGGCGGCCATGATCCCGACCGCAGCCGGCAATCCTTCTTCGCTGTCGGTATACTTGGACACGTACGGCGTATATCCCACTATGCAATCCATCTGTCAGATCTGGACAGCACAGCATCTTGAGGAGCGCCATGGGCGGAAGGAGGAGGAGGAGAATACCGGGAATGATCAGCTCTGGGCACCGCGCATACGGCCCGATATTGTAAAAGAAGAACCCTTGCCCAGTAAACTGCTGGGGTCCTACCGCATACTCGTCTCGGTACGTCACCTGACCATCGGTCCAGGGAAGGGCCATGATACTGGGCGAATAGCCGTTTTCGGACGGTGGCATGATGTGAGTGTAGAACCAGTCTTTGAATACGCCGATCAGCTCTTCCCCCTCACGCTTCTGCTCAGCCGTTATGGTTCGCGTGTAAGACCTACACGACCGGTTAGGAGCTCGCTACGTCAGGGCGTCCATGTCCGGTCCGCACTTACACCTTGAATCGTACTTGGGGATTCAGGACGGGATGTTTCCCCTCCTCCTCTCTATACGAATCGATAAACGGCTTCAGAAGATCCGTCCACTGGTCGCGGTTGGCAGACCAGTCAAAGACGTAGTGGAACGCGCTCGCCAGCGACTCGTCCATCCCCTTAGGTCGCGTCTCCTTCCAGCTCTCCTGGAGGTTGACTCTTGTCCGCTTGACCTGAAGGAAATCCTCCAACCGCGCGATGAACTCTTCAAAGACCCGCGCACTTTCGCCGTCCTCTATCTCCCAATAATCTTCGGGAATCAGCAGCGTAGTCGGTCTCTACATGAACTGTATCAATATCAGCACACGGACGCACAGTCCTCCGTAAACTCGGCAATTCGACTTCACGGGAGAGGAAACATAACTTGAGCATTCTATCCCTGGTATCGGATCCTGTTCCGTAGAGAGCATTCGCGAGTATCTCAAACTCGGATGCTGTACGGGCGAACCCACCAAGCGTGTCCCAATTTCTGCATATCGATTATCGATCATCTTCAGAGCAGTACTGGCAGAGGGGGGGGGGGGGGGGGGGGGGATCCTTACGCGCTGTACGGAACCATACCCTCAGTGCTCGTCGCTCCCAAGGTCGGCCGCATCCCAAAGATCGCTTGAGCTGCCGCCGGTGCCCGAATGCTTCCCAGGGCTGGCAGACGCATGATGTCAGAAGTGGAGGAATTTCGCAGGAATGTCTCCTAAACCTACTATCGCTTCCAAGCGCAAAGTCCAGCCACGGGTAGGTCGCGACAGCGGCAGCACTGCCAGCACTGCTTCCGCTGGGGGTCAGGTAGCCGTCCCCTCTCGGGTTGAAGGGGCCGTGATAGTCGACCCAGTCGCGAGTGGGCCACTCCGAGTCGGCAAACTGCGTCGTCTTAGTCTTCCCGACGACGACGAATCCCTGATCTATGAGATCCTGAACGACTGGCGCCGTGTGATTCCTCGGAGGGTGAAAGTCCGTAAAGGCACGTGAGGATGCACCGGTCTTGAGACCTTTGAGGTGAATGATGTCTTTGATCGCCACTCTCTTTCCAGCGAACGGCCTCTCTTCCGTGGGCAGAGAGTAGAGCCGAGATGGCACGGCGATTGTCAGCGTCGAAGGATGCTGCTCGCCGTAGGCCGCTGCATCGAGCGGGTGGAATCTGAATACGTCAGCATGGGACTGGCATTTATCTCTCTCTCTCTCTCTTTCCTGAAAAAAAGGATGAGATGAAAAGAAGAGAAAGAAAAAAAAAAGACGAGTGGATGTCTATCTGCCTACCCATCCTGATAATCGTCCGGAACAGTAGCCACGACGAAAGCATCTGCCGTATCAGGGTAGAGTCTGTACGCCTGGTGAAGCTGTCCATTCTGTATGAAATAGGGGCCTTGAGGTAGCTGTCTCCCGTCGATCACAGGGGAAGTCTTGTAGAGAGAGTTCACCCCAAGCTCACGGAGATGGTCTACTCTGCTCTCGATGCTGGATGGGGTAGGCCCGACGACCTGCAGAACGAGGGCGTCTATGAAGGCAGTCGACCACACATCGTCCAAGGCGGCAAACTCGGCAAAGAATCTGTTCAGGCGGACAGTCGAAGGAGATCCAGCATCGACCGTCAAGACCGTACAGGGCTGGATAGGCCGAGGCTCATGAGGCTCACCGCTTCTCTGCCAGATGGCCTTCAAGTCTTGTCTCTGACCAGTTTTCACCTCATGTTAGATGAAAATCTCCATGGCGGCTGTTTAGGCACGAAGATACTAGTATACCTTTCCTGGAAGCCGGTGCAGGTAATATGCCACACCATCAAGCCTGACCGTAGTGGTTGGGTCGATTTCGAGCGCGACGGCCCACCAAAGGTTAGCCACGGAGGCGAAAAGTGGGAAAAAATGGATGAGGCCCATAGTGATGGTCAGGGTAGCAGTCATCGGAAACCCAGCAGGCGAACTACTATCGATTCGAATTGGAGTGTCGCGTTGCCTCAAAGGCGTGAAAATTTCGAATATTTCCTTGACACTCACATTCAGTACTTGGCTAGCGTTGGATGCCTTGGTTAGAGAGTGAATGTCGATATCAATAAACAGTTGATATAAGTGTTGATATCAAGAAACAGTTGATATAAGTGTCCATCCCAAGAAACAGTCGATATTAATGTGCGACAATAGACGGTGATGTCAGTACCGTTCTACCTGACTTGAGGCTCTATAGGCGAATAGAAATTGTGAGAGAGCGGTTAAATCATTCCTAACGCTTCACTTTCTTATCTCGCCCTATTTTTTTCTTGTTGGGAGAAGGAGGGGAAGTAACCGTCAATCACGTACCGCCATTGCCTCGAGTGTCGCAAGTGCAAATGCAGAAAAAGTGTGGGTGTGGTCATCAAGCACCCTATCGTGCTTTGCTGCATGTCTCTGCCGCCCAAGAAATCAGAAGAAGCAGGTTTCTTGCAGAAGATGCCGTGTGATATAGTACCTCGAGATACTTGCGGTGACTTCACAATACTTGTCATATGTCAATAAAGTGATCGTGTCTATTGAGCTGCTATAACTGGTCCCCGTCGGCTGCGGAATGGCATGTCCTAGATGATCAAGAGCCCAGGAATCTTCCTCGTGAATACCGAGCATCCTGTCTCACGATCGAATAAGCAAAGCTTTCAGAATTCTCCACCATGACCGGAACTGACTTACAGCCTGGTGGAGCTCACCGACTCGATCTCGGAAGAGACGACGGAACACATCAGCAGCGGCATGACATACCGCTGTTCACTGACCTGGCCTCGAGGAGGTGGGATCTGGATGGGTTGGATCCGCCACAGTCCGTGCGGCACGCCAGTGTCTTCTACATGAAGCCCGATGTCGAGCGCAGCGTCGACAAGCCATACTTTCTCAACATACCCGTCGACGACTCCTGGATGCCCATGGTTAAGCAGACGAATGTCGTCTACACCCGTAGGCAGATCGCAGTGACAGATATCCGAGGCCACGAGTCCCATTTCCGTCTGGATACTCATGGCTTTCAGCTGGCCCCGCTGATGACCTCGCTCCCGTACGACGACTTTTCCGCAACAGACGCCATCGTGAGCCGATACTACGGAGAGGTGAGGGAGTTCTTGATGAGAGAGCTCGGGGCGTCGCAGGTGCTTCCCTTCGACTTCCAGGTAAGGAGATTCTCCATGAGATGTGAACCGACCCGACCATGTAGCTGATCACCGGTCCGATCAACCCCCCCAGGTCCGTCGAAGGGACAGCCGTCTGCCCCCTGGATCGAGAGGGACTCCTGGTAAAGCACAGCCGTTTACGGCAGTACACGGAGGTTTGTGGATGCGCCTGTACCCTACCACCGTCGAATGATGATACCCATGTCACATACATACACCACAGTGGTAGGAGATAGGAGAAAGAGTTGACTCGTATTCCCATTGGCAGACCAGACAGCAAATGCTGCCTTCAGACGACTCAAGTACTTCCATCCCGAATACGCCAAAAGGTATGCCACAGCGCGCTTTCAGATCGTCAAGTAGGTGATACTTCTCTCCTATCCGCAAGGCTGTGGAGCACACCCATACGTGGGCATTCTTCAATGTGGAGGAGGAGAAGTCGACTGAGACCGACGGTTTAGTGTCTGGAAACCACTGCGCGGACCTGTCATCGACTCCCCCTTGGCGGTGTGCGACTACCGTACCGTCAGTCCCGACCAGGACGCCGTCCCCACTGACATCGTATTCCCGGACTATCTTGGCGAGTCCATCAACTTCCGGCCCAACCCTGCGCATAGGTTCTACTATATAGACCGGCAACGATCCGATGAGGCTTGGATGATCAAGTGCTTCGACTCCAGTACGGCTTCCAATCCCGAGATCTCACAATGTACGTAAAAAAATCTCTACGGACGTGGATATCAGCCCTCTCGATATGGATGAAGCTTATAGATGGATCGATACAGTCTGCCCGCACGTATCATTTCATTATGATACACAAGAGGTGGATATCCTGTTCAGAGAGAGCGTGGAAGTGAGGACATTTGTCTTCCATGTCTAGATGCAGACATCAAGACTCCTCCTAGCTGGCATGGTCAGATGCGCATCGGGGGATGATGGCTTGTGCGGACTGAGAAGTGAATAGACAACACTGAGCTCTATTCATATATTTCATATTTACTCGCGAGAAGGATTCACTCGTGCCACCAAGCGAAGACGAACCCTGAGACAGGTACCCTGAAAACAGCAGGTATGGGCTGAGGAGTATGCTCCATGGCATGTCATGTAGATGATCCTTCCCTGTAGAGCCCCGACATACCCTGGGCACTCTCCAGCTTTCTTCTCAACCTCCCTCAGCAACGGTCGAGCGAGGCCCCTTTGAGCAGCGGGTTAGACGGTATCTCTCACACTATAATCTATCAAAAGATATCAGGAAACTCACGCAGCCTTTTCCAATGCAATATGCACAGTCTTTTCCAAGGCATGGATGATCCGTTTCACCTTGGACTATATTGCACCAGTGATACCATGGCTTCTCATTCGGCTTTTCCGGATCTCGCTTCCAAGTCAACCACGGCTTGGCCTCGATATCCTTTTGCGGGATCGAATCATACGGGCTGGGAGGCCAGAAATGTCTCCATGGTTGGTTCGTACCATGCGCGCGAGTGCCTGGCTTGGACCTCCTGGGGTCGCTGAGAGTATCCCATGCTAGATCCCGAGGCGCCACATGTTGTGAGAGGCTGTAGACCTGGGACATGTCAGATGTATGGCATCCGCAAGATGCTTCGATGAGTATGCCTGGACTTCTCGTTTTGTCTTCACAATTCCGTAGACTTGAACGGGATTGGAAGAGAATGGTGATGATGACTAGATGGGTGGAGGAAGAGAGAGGCATATAATAGTCTATCGAGCTTGCCAGGGATATCAGTCAATCAACACTAGGCACAGATGATCATGACTGAGAGGGAGGGGGGTATGAGGGGGGGGGGGGGGGGGCCCTAGCCAATCATTATATTTCATTACTTACACACAAGTGCACGTTGGGCTCTGACGGTACTCGGTTATACGCTCTAGTACATCTGAATCTGGTTGCCTGTGGTCTTGGTGGTACGTTGTTGGCAGATCAGTTAGAGGTACCACGTATGACTGTTCTTGAAGATGAGGCTGGTGGCATACATATTGGGGTCATGGGAACATGCACAAGGGATTGATGAACAAGGAGTATAACACCACAAGGCGGCCTGTTGATACCTGGGCGTGCCCTTCGGACTCAGTGGCATCCATATTCATAAGGCCATATCATTCCATGGATCTGTCGTAATATTAGATGCCAAGAGGCAGTGTTGTGGGCAGAAAGATCTGATCATAGAAACAAATTTGATCTCATAGCTTTAATGGAGATCTCAAGGATATCTTGACTCTCAGTGACTAGATTTCTGATTTATCGGCATCTTCTAGCTTCACCAGTAAAGCTGCTATATCAAGACTGATGAAAACCCCTGGTCGACCCGATGATCCTCAGTTGCGGGAGAGTGCAGAACTTTATACAGTCGATTCAATCAGCACACTGCGGTTCTGGTGCTGTGCCCAAATGGTATCAGTATGGTCCTATCAGTCTAGTCTTCCCTATGCCGTCGCCACTTCCGATCCTGACTTGGTCACTTACAGATACCGACGAGAGAAACTCTCCCCGACGTACAACGTTGTGGCTTTACATACGTACTTGAGCACCAAAACGCGCAAGCCGACATCATTCTCGTCCATGGGCTGAATGGACACCCGCTGAAGACATGGAAATCTGAAGATGGTACCTTCTGGCCTACAGAACTATTACCACCGTACCTGAAGCCTTACCCGGCGAACGTTCTCGTATATGGATACAACGCCGACGTCTATGAAAAGGGGGTCAATAGACCCAGCAATAATCTCGTCTCTGAACACGCGCAAACGCTCGTGGTCCGACTCGCTGCTTTCCGGCAAATCCGCGACTCGCACTACCGACCTATAATATGGATATCACACAGTCTAGGCGGCTTACTGGTGAAGAAAGCCCTGGTGTATGCCAATGACTGCCGAAGTGCGGGCTATCTATTTCAGAGGGCCATCTACGTCTCTACATATGCGCTCATATTCTTGGGGACTCCGCACCTTGGATCTGATATCGCAAAATGGGGTCGCATTCTGCACAACCTATCCAAAGTCACTGTCGTCTCCCGTCCATTTGTGCATAGCGAGCCTGTCCTTATCAAGACGCTGAAACAGAACAACCAATTGCTGGTTGATATCAATGATCATTTCAACCTCATCATGGACAGATTTCGGGTTCACTCAGCCTACGAACTTCACAAAACCAAGTTCAAACTCCTCAGGCACGTACCCGCATATCATGTTACAATCTATCCCCTCCAACCCCCTCAACCAACACCGGCTCGAGTTAGCTGCCGCGTAGTTGGATGCGTCATGACCTGATAGGGTCAATCAGGTAATACTACACCAAATTCAGACACTGACTTGTGTGCTCTCAACCACCACAGAAGCTATGTCGTTGACAAAGAGTCAGCGTGCATCCCACACACCATCTCCTATGGAATCAATGCGGACCACTCCGGCATGTCCAAGTTCAGTACCGAGTCATCCTCTGAATTTGAGGCAATCGGCGGAGCGATAAGCAGTTGGACGCAAGAGGCATATGACATCATCGGAGGCAGATGGTCGCAGGAACTGAAAGATTGGAACGGGTGGACACAGCAGAACATTGATGAGATGCGAATAGTGTCACAGGTGAGGAACCCTTACCGATCATGGAAACGGAAAAGAATGCATGAAACAAGGTGGGAGAATCCACCACGTAATCGTACGTACTAAGATGCCCATTTTACAGATGCTGTTAAGAATGGCCTCCGGCATCGCCACCCCACCCCGTGCTTCGAGAAGGCAGCATATACCGACTGATGATCACCGAACCCAAAATCTCCCACTCGAAGTAACCGGGCCTTCAGGTGAGCCCGGGGAAATCCAGGCTTATCAAGGATCAGTCGAGAATCCAGCCCCAGCCCCCGGTTCTACCATGGAACTCGACAACCCGGCGTATCATCAGAGGAATCTTCGAGTCTTGGACCAAAGCATCTCTAAGAGCGTCTCGGTCGACCTTCTCACGTCGCACCGTATTCCCAAATCCTGTTTTCTTCTACCTTTACCGAAGAATACCTCGTTTACGGGGCGTGCAGAGATGATACGAGGCATGGGTCATCTCTTAGCCCCCTGGCATGTTCCATCCAAACCCCAGACCCAAGAACACGGCATTGGCAAGGGAAACGGGACGCCTACAAGGCTTCGTATCTGCGTGCTTCATGGGCTCCCGGGGATCGGAAAGACGAACACTGCCATCGAGTTTGCCTATCGTTACAGAAAACACTTCACCCACATCTTCTGGGTCTCCTCCGACACCGAGGACAAGTTTGAGCATGACCTATGCGGTATATCCCGGATGCTGCAGCTGACGGACAATACGATACGTCAAGAGAAAGAGCTGATAATCAGCGCCGCAATGGAATGGTTGAAGACTCCGCAACAAGGCAAGTATGCATGGATCTTGGCAGCTCGCCTGGTTGGATGAGAGAGGTCTATACTTGCTGACCATGCATCGCAGACGTCAAGTGGCTGCTAGTTCTCGACAACATGGATGAAGCTCGGATTCTGAACCCGCTATGGGTCGATCTTCATCAAGGTTCCATCATAATTACAAGTAGGGGCCAGGTGTCGTCCCTACATCGGCTGGACTGTGTGGAGCGACACTTTCAACTGAACGAACTGTCTCCAGAGGAGGGCACGCAGCTCACCCAGAAGCTACTGAACGGTCGCATCGAGGGACTAGACCCTCACGCAGCTGCAGACCTGGCCAAGAGGTCCCAGTACTACCCTCTCTTGATAGAGCAGGTGACATCCTTCATAGGATGCTCATACTCGACAATGGCTGAATTCACCGAGGAAGTCGGGAGAGGCTCAACGGATCGTGATCTGCAGCACATCCACCTCGACAACCCGTGGAGCTCGGGAAGTGTGTTAGATGCCATCGCGTCTCACATGCACACTCTAGGCTCGAATAACCCTATGGCAGTCGAGATCCTAGCAACCATTGCCTTTTTCGATCCAGATTCGATCCCCGAAGGGATGCTCTATTATCCCAGCGGACCTGTCCCGATTCTATCCAGCACCATCAGCATCAAGAGTCTGCTCGGGGAGCTTTCTCGGCGATCCTTCATCGCGCGACTCCCTGCCTCCGAGGGCCGTGGGGCGAGTATCAACATGCATCGGCTCGTACGCGACATCGTCATGCATTCCACAGTGCCTTTACAGAGGCCTTTCGAATACGCAGTCGCACTCTTGAGGCAGTCGTTCCCGCTTCAAGGCATGGCACGGGATCACATGGTCGAGCATTGGGGCCGCTGCGAGATCTTCCAGCCCCACGTCCTCTCGCTCCATTGCCACTACCTGGAATCTCAAGCTCACAGAGACGGAGAGAAGGTCCTCCGACCCAGTTCCGATTTTGTCGACCTGATATACTCCTGCGCATGGTAAGCAGATTACTAGTGCGACCCAGACGTCGTACTCGGCCTCTCAGCCCCATTCTCAGTATCTCGATCCCCCTCTCACACAAGTACCCTCGCCTCGGGCTTGGGCGGTTCACGACTGCACGACTCGGAGAAGTTTTTTCTAAACAGATGTGTGCCCAGGTATCTGTGCGAGCGTGGCCAGTTCAACCTCGGTAAAAGCCTCGTCTCCAGCATCTGCGATGACTGCGGCAAGCTTTACGGGACAATCCATGCAGCTCCCAAGACACTCCTGGCAGACATATACACGGTACAGCTGTTCTATCATAATGAGGTCAGACACGGTATGAATCTGGTGGAGCTCGCAAAAAAAGCACTGTCTCTTCGAGAGAGTGCAGTGTCGGAAGACCTGATGAAGAAGTATCATCCCAACCGCGCAAACGGTTTCATGAATGTAGGCGTCATCCTAGCAGCCGAAAGCCCCCGGGATGCCATCTTATACCATAAGAAGGCCCTGGAAATCCGTCTCGGATCTGAAGAGTTCGCGTCGGAGCAGACCCTTGGGTTGGCCCTGAACTACCTCAATATCGGCCGATGCTGGTGGATAGTCGGGGAACTTGAGGAGGCTGCCGGCTGTCTGAATGAGTCTGTCGCGCTCTTCCGTCAACGAGAGAGTGTGGCCGGGAAAAGGTTTTCTCTGTAAGTTGGCAGACATCAGAACACTCCATACCATTGCGGCATCCCGCATCAGCGCATGGGGCTGACATCGGCACCATGCTTATCCAGTTCCGCCATGTCTTTACAATCCTTAGGGGTCGTACGCGCGGATCAGGGGGACTTGAACTCTTCTCTGGATCTCTTGTCCGAGAGTCTCAAGCTGTACATCGCCACCCTCGGTGGCCGTCATCTGAAGACTCTGAGCTGCTGCTATCGTTTTGGATGGCTGTGGAAACTGCTCCGCCAGTTCGACCTAGCAGAGTGAGTCTACCCGTGTGTCAATATGCCAATATCCGCAGGCTACCGGAGTCATCTGCTGACTTCGGTCTATCCCTTGTCTCTCCTCCTCAGGAAGCATCTGCAGGATTGTATAGACTTGTATACAAGCATGATGGAAGGTGAGAACCCGCCAAGGGCCGAGCTCGCTCGCAGCATGTATCAACTTTCAAGAGTGCTCGAGGAAAAGAACGGCTTCGACTCACGATGCGCTGAACTGCGCGAGGACTCATGCAAGCTCCTGGAAGAAGTGCTTTCAAAACAGGGGAACAAGTCGTCGGCTAGAGTGGAATTCACCGAAGCCGACTTTGATGACGCGATACTGTATTTCTATCGCTAAGCCTATGCACTGGGATCAATGGATCCGGTGTAGGGTTACCAGGATCAAATAGGCAGATGCCCTCAAGACGATACAATGGCCCGTCTCGAATTCCGAGCCTAAGGCACCCAGATGGAAGGGAGGTCCCCTGTTCTTCTAGCAGCCCGGCACTTGCCTTCTGGACCCCGCGACCTCAGTCCTGGCTTTCTGCCCGTCACCAGATCCCCCCCCCCTCAATGGCTATTTTGCATGATATGCCACGTCGCTCACATTTGTTTCTTCTCATGTAGATCCATCAATAGCATTCTCATCACCCATCTCTATATATGATAGGATGCGTATTTCTACCCCTGAACCGGCGTGATCCCCTCTGAAGACCCGGTCGAGCCTTCACCTGTTCCTATACAGATTGCTCGTATACTCGTAATCTGTACGTATACGCAGTACGCGTACTCCCGTGTCAGAGTGAAGTCACGTATTATTATTACTTGACCGGAATGGGCAATCGACACTGCGCACCTCACCCACTTTTTTTTTTCCCTGACACCTTACGTCACAGCGAAAGGGCAGCAACACGTCATCCATCACTCATCACTCTCACCACCTCTAGTAGCAGCAGTCCAGCCAGCTAGAACTGGATGCTTAAGCTACCATACCGCAAATCACACCTGTCTTCTCTTCTCTTCTCTACTTGCCCCTAGCCTGCACCCTCACATATCGTCAGAGCATTCCATCCTACGCCGAGACGCTGGCCGATATCCTCCCGACACAGTATACCGTCAAACCATCTCGAACACGACGGCTGATTTCGATACCTACCCCGCCGACGTGCAGCCTAGAGGAAATGTCCAACCAACCCATCGCTCAGATTGCGACACCAGACCCGTGGCTCGTCGCGGCCAACGGCGTCTTCTACCTGACCTTTACCCTGGCCAATCGCATCTCCATATGGCAGTCACCAAAGATGGAAGACTTCCACCAGCCCCGTAAGCAGATCATCTGGCAGCCACCGGAGGGCGCGCCCTGGTCCAAAGACATCTGGGCGCCCGAGCTGCACTGGCTAGACGGCAGATGGTACATCTACGCGACGGCGACCCGGCCCGGCCTCGGCAACTCGGGGCACCGCACCATCGTTCTACGCTCCAGCAATGCCGACCCCATGGTCGCCTCCGCGTGGGAATTCCTAGGCCCGGTCAAGGGTCTCCCCGAGCAGTTCAGCATCGATGCCACCGTCTTCAGCATCAACGGTCGTGACCTGTACATCTGCTGGTCGGGCTGGCCCCCCGGCGATAACTCGGACACCCAGCAGAACCTGTACCTGACCAAGATGGTATCGCCCATCGAGGCCGTCGACCACAAGCACCTCAAGCCGGCCTGCATCTCCAAGGCCGACCGGCCGTGGGAGCGCTTCGAGAACAATCGCAGGGGCATCAACGAGGGCCCCACCTGGCTCAGCCTGCCCAACGGCGCCTTCACGGGGATCGTCTACTCCGGCCACGCCAGCTTCACGAGCGAGTACAAGCTCGGCCTGCTGCGGCTCAACTCGCTCCAGGCCGATCCCATGGATCCCAAGTCCTGGACCAAGAGACCCACCCCGCTCCTCGCAAACGACCGGTCCATGCCTGGCCCCTACGCACCCGGCCACGCCAGCTTCCTGCAGAGCCCGCAGCCTGGCGACAGCCGGGTCTTCTGCATCTACCACGGCACCGACAACTGGGGAGAAGGCTTCAAGAATCGCAAGGCCAGGATCATGGTCATGTCACCGGAAGTTTTTGCCCACGACGCCCGTCCCATGTGCTGTTCCAATAGGCCCAACACCGGCATCTGGAACGGCTACCCTGGTAGTTCCTCGAGCGGTGGTGGTCCTGCGCCCCAGGCACAGCAGGGAAACCGCCACTCAGATCCGATGCAGAAGATCATGGGGAAGCTTAAGAAATTCCTGTAAATGTTTTTTTTTCTTTTTCTTTCCTCTGTCGATCAGTCGAGATGATGTTAGCCATGTTACGATGTAATGCTGCATCGCCAATCGGGGCACAGCGGCAACGAGATCTGAGAATTTTCTTTAGTGATGACATTATCCAAGAAATCTGTTAACTTCTCTTCTCTTTTCGCTTTTTTTCTTGTCGTCTTATCTCTTCTTCCACTTCGCTTGTATTTCCTCTTGCGCTCGATCGATCACGCGGAATGAATGCCTAGCCATCTCGAAAGGTCTAGAAGCTGTAGGTTAGATTACTGGGAGGTGGGATCGAGTGGACACCCGCCGCATCCTTCGTGGGACCCCCTCCTTTGTTTCGAGCACCATTTATCTAGCAGCCATTACAGAGAGAGTGACGTCTGGTGAAGTACAGGTACTACGTGTACGTCGAAAACAAGAAATGAATGATTCGGTCGGTAGTAAATTACAGTGAAGGCTAACCTCATACAACTTCTCAATTCTTAACGTCGTTAGCAGCAGTCTGCTCCTCCACGTCGGCTGTCTTGGCCCCCAGAGCATTCTGCTGCTGTGCAATCTCATCGGCCGGGATCTGGTCGGGAGTCGAGTTGACGAGCACGTGCATGGGTATCAGGGCAGCACCGAGGAGACCGAATGTGACGCAGCTGAGATAGGTATTAGCAAATCTCCCTCCCAGAAAGGAACGAAAACGGAGGAGGAGAATACGGGGAAGATATACGTACAATCCTGTGAGAGGGTCACTCGAAGTCTGAGTATTCATGGCGTACGCGATGGCCTGGCCGACAGCCTCGACGCATCGGAAGGCGGCACCGTTGCGGACGTTCTCTGAAGGACAGAAGTCAGTCGACTGACCATACAATGGTGACGGAGCGGAGCAAAGAAACGAGGAGGACAAGGGTAGGAGGGACAACGAGAAAAACAGAGAATTGGACATACCCTGGGCATTGGCAGCAAAAGACGACAGGAGCCAATACATGTACGACTGAGAGAGGGGACCGGTCGTCTGGATGAAGAAGTAGGGCAGGAAGGACCTGGCATAGCGGGAGTCGTCCCAGTCGATGGTTCCGGGGTTGTGGTTGTTGAACCGGACCTGCATGATGATGGACCAGATGTACACGCCGACATTGAGCACGACGACGACCCAGAGACCGACCTGGGCGCGGCGACGCTGAGACATGTGCTTCGAGTCGAGGATGAATCCGAGGCCAAAGCAGCCGATACTATGATGCGTTGTCAGTCGGTGATTCGCATGCCTCTTCTGTCAATCTTTTCTTCTTCGACTTCCCCTTCCTCGTCATTTCATCGAAGAGGAAAAAGAGAAGAGAGAGAAGAAACAGAGGATCAGGTGGTGGCTTACATGCAGAAGAAGGGTGAGATGAGCGAAGACAGGGCACGAGCGCGGACGGAGAAGTAGATTCCCAGGTACGTCGACCACGATCCGCCGTAGAAGAACGACCACAGAGCCCACAGGGAGGAAAGGACGATCAGACGCGACGTGATGGTCTTGGTGATACGGCGGAACTCGCTCTTGGTGGAAGATTTCTCGGCCTCAGTGACGATCTTGGTGCCGTCGGAGCGGACGACGTTTTCAAAGGGGAGGATCAGGAATGCAAAGGGCAGGCTGCCGCTCAACGTCAGCCACGCTTCTCTCTCTCTCTCCACATTGCCGATAAAGGGCGTAGACGGGGCTCGACTCACGCGAGGCACTCGATGACCAAGAAGGCGAGGTAAGTATCGGTGGAGACGCCACCGCTCAGTCCCTTCTTGTAATTCTTGGACAGGCTGTTTTTTTTTTTTTTTCGATCGGTCAGGAGGAGCTCTTCTTTCGACAGGATAGCTAAATGGGGATGAGGCTAAGGAACATACTTGATGGCACCGCCGACCAGCTGACCGAGGTTTCGCGACACGATCCACAGGGCGAGATACTTGCCACGCGCGCGGGAGGGAGCGAGGGTCATGATGGAACCGGCCTCGGCGACGTACCAGCAGCCGGTACCGACACCGGAAATGGCACCGCTGAGGATGAGGTACTGTCCGAGCGTCAGCGAACCGGTTTGAAGGGGGACCGGATTAGATGGAGAATAGTCCTCAGACGTACCCATTGGTTGCCAAACTTGCTGTTGCAGTAGTACGCGGATCCCTGGATGGGGAACGACATGGAGCCGATGACGAGAGCCCACTTGACGGTCAACTTGTTGACGATAGGACCGCCGAGGAAGCAAGCTGTGTTGGCAGAGGTCAGCGGCCCAGTCACTCTTCTCTTTTTTTTTTTTTTTTTTTTTTTATGTTTTTTATTCTTCATATTTATTCTTCATTCTTTTTTGAAAAAAAAAAAAAAAAACTCTCTCTTGCACTGCCGCTCCTATTCGGGGAGAAGAAGAGAACGTACTGATGGCGAGCGTCGCATAGGTAAGCGCATTGGTGATATTGTTGACCCGGGGCGTCGCGAGACCACCACCACCGAGACCGGCAATGGCGTCGGCCATGGCAGGACCGCAAAAGGCCTGCACGCTCAGGAGCATCATCTGCGTGAGACTGTGCTGCCACACGCGCCTCCACAGGGGGACGGTGGCCTGGTACTCGTCCATGTCGAGGTTTGTCGTCCCGGACGGCAGGACAGCTGTGTCGGGCTGGCTCGCGTCGACGGCGACTTCCTTGCCGTCCACCTTGGTCATGTTGGGCGAACGGGGATGCTGTGTTGATACCGAGAATGTCTGGAAATCCTGACAATGGCAGCCGGTACAGACGAGGAGCGGGACTGAACACACACACACACTCAGAGAAACACCTTATCAAGACGGATAGGGGACAGGACAGGAGGATCGCTGCAGCGTGGTCCATATATGTGTCTATATATATATATATATATGTATATATTACATGACTCTCGAAATCCGACGTGCTCTGCTGATAACATGCCTCTCCTCTCCCCCACGGGGATTCAACCGTATCCACCTGTATCTCGTTTGCCAAACCATGTACGTTACTTGACAGCTTCGTGTCGGATGCGTCCAGGTGAAAATCGGGTCTGGAAGGTCCACGCGAAGACTGCTGATAGGCCGTGAAGCAGGTGGATACGGCGACTGCGATGAAGGTCCAAGCGAAGGGGGTGGTCTCCTGTACAAGGAGAGGAACAATCCGAGGGCAACCCGACCCGGTTTCCCATTCCGACCTTTGCTGGACATCAGCCGGTCCAATCAATCTGCCGGTCCGTTCTTGTTCTCTAGCCCCCAAGTGGCGCCACCGCTAGATTCCATGCTCCGTAATATGACCAGTAGTCTGTAATCTGTAGATAAAAAAGAAGAAGAAGGAGATAAAAAAAAAAGTCCTCCTTGTCCTCCCTCGTACGACAGATCTCGTTAGTCTTATCCTCCGGCTTATCTATGACACGAAGGGTTCGTCCATGCGCGATCGCTTCGGAATCTCTCATTGATGAGTCTTGTTGGTTCTAGGTCGTAAGGCGTTTACGTGTACGATTTTCTCTCTTACCCATCGCGAACCCGCGTGGACCTCCCCCCATTGATTGATCTCCCTCGGTCCCCTTCGTTCTTATCCTTGGCTATCAATTTACATGCACGCGCTTTTCCCTCCTCCTCTTCAATTGGATACACCCGCCATCATGGCTACTTCCCGGAAGGCAGCAAAGGTGGTGATTGTCGGCGGCGGTGGCACTCTGGGATCGTCCACAGCCCTGCATCTCATCCGGTCGGGGTATACACCGTCTAACATTACTGTCCTCGACGTGTACCCTATTCCCTCGGCCCAGTCGGCGGGCTCTGATCTCAACAAGATCATGAGCGTCAGGCTCCGCAACCCTGTCGATCGGCAGCTGTCGATGGAGGCGCTGGACATGTGGTCGAATGATGCCCTGTTCAAGCCCTTCTTTCATCAGGTCGGGATGGTGTGTAGGAGCAGCAACGATCCACGACGCATGAAATGCCGTGCCCTGTGCTGACGCTAGACCGACAGCTGGACTGCTCGTCGTCGGAGGGAGAGATCGCCGCCTTGAAGGAGCAGTACAAGAATCTGCTCGGAACAGACCCCAGATTCGCAGAGACCAACACATGGCTCGACCATGAGGATGAAATCGTCGCCAAGGTGCCCTGCTTCACCAGAGAGCAGGTTCAGGTACGACCCACGGCAGCGGGACGCGTGTCCCATCCGAGCGGCTCACTGACGTGAACTACTAATAAATATAGGGCTGGAAGGGTCTGTTCACCACAGATGGCGGTTGGCTGGCAGCAGCCGATGCCATCAATGCGATTGGCCATCTCCTCAAGCACCAGGGCGTCCGATTCGGATTCGGCGGGCACGTTTTCCCATCCAAGCCATTTTTTTTTCTTAATCAGTTGATATCCGCCCCGTTGAGCGTCGTGCTGACCTAGTACCTCTTATCGGGCACGCAGATCTGGAAGTTTCAAGGAGCCGCTACTGGCTGCAGACGGATCGACCTGCATCGGCGTTGAGACCGTTGACGGCACGCAGTACTACGCCGATAAGGTTGTCATGGCCGCTGGAGCGTGGACCCCGTCGCTCATCGAGCTCGAGGACCAGTGTGTCTCAAAGGTAGGTCCGACTTGCCGTCGCGCTACGCATTCCTCACGTCCAGGTGACTGATACCGCGGGCTGTCTCTGCAGGCATGGGTGCTGGCGCATATCCAGCTCACGCCAGAGGAAGCCGCACCGTACAGGGACGTACCGGTGGTGTACGATGGCGAGTACGGCTTCTTCTTCGAGCCCAGCGAGTAGGTGCCCTTCACATCTTCCGAGACGGCAGAGAAGGTCAGCACTCACATGAACCGATCGCAGGGACGGGATCATCAAGGTGTGCGATGAGTTCCCCGGCTTCTCTCGCTTCAAGACGCACCAGCCCTTCGGCGCGAGCAAGCCCAGGCCCATATCGGTGCCTAGGTCTCACGCCGAGAACCCGACAGACACGTACCCGGATGCATCCGAGAAGACCATCCGCAAGGCCATCGGGAGATTCCTACCCGGACTCGAGCATAAGCCCATCATCAACCGTGCCATGTGCTGGTGCACAGACACGGCGGATGCGAATCTCCTCATCTGTGAGCATCCGCGGTGGAAGAATCTCGTTCTGGCCACCGGTGACAGCGGGTAAGAAGATATGACTCTCTCTGATGAAGAGGAATTCCGTCAGAAGAAGAAGAAACCGTTCTCGATGCTGATGATCCGACCAGACATTCGTTCAAGATCCTGCCCAACATCGGAAAGCACGTCGTCGAGCTTATCGAAGGTTCCCTCCAGGAAGATATGAAGCACGCGTGGAGGTGGAGGCCTGGAGGTGACGCGCTCAAGTCACGACGCGATGCACCGCCAAAGGATCTGTCTGATATGCCGGGGTGGAAACACGATTCACGACTATAAGATTTGTTAGCGATATAATGATTGATCTTTGTCATTATCTTGGGTAATCGTCTGTATAACAATATATGCATGTATGGAGTAATCTATCATCATAGTATTATTACCACGATGTATCTGTACTCGTATGTAATATGGAGTAATAATAAAAATATAATACAGATTATAGATTGATGAAATTCGGTGGGTAATGCATGTCTGGGGTCCACACCTCGGTAGAGCTCCACCCGAGTCCAGATGGGGCATGTCATCGGCCGTGGCTCGCTGTCGACGCTTATCTTCTTCCTCGGGACCCTGAGGCTCTGGAGAGATAAGGGACATTGCCACTCTTGATTCACTCATCACCTCCGCCTCTGAAGCCTCTCCCTCCTCCCCTCCGCGTTTGAAAATCTGTAAATGATACACGCATGCACAATCTTCATTCTCACACCTCCGATTAGATGCCGCGACGCAAAGCTGCAGATAGAGACGAGCCGGCCAGGAAGCGTACCCGCTCCGGCTGTCGGTGAGTTGAATCATACATACATACCCCCCCCCCCCCCCCCCCCCCCCCCCCCCCCCCCCCCCCCCGGCCCGCTCTTCGGCCCGTTCTCACTCACACACTCATCTCTGTCATCAGTCAATGCCGACAGCGGAGGGTCAAATGCGACGAGGCTCGACCAGACTGCTCCAAATGTGCTTCTCGCGGGATACGATGCGAATACAACTACATCCAGCTGAAATGGCAGTCCGAGTATCACTCGTCCGGACGGGCCTTTGGCCGAGAAGGGGTGTGGAGCAAATCTACCGGCAGCACGCAGCACCGCGGGAGATGCTCCCTGACGGTTACCGTCCCTCGAGACGGCGACAGATACCACCACCCCATCTCCAAGCATCACTTCGTACACACGTACTATCATGACATCGGGCAGCTCTCCGCCCTCGACGGCCTCTACCTTGTTCCGCGTAACAGCATCCCCACCACTCCCAAACCGACCACCTCATCCATCATCGTCGCCAGGCCGCCCACGGCATCCCTGCCAGCCTCGACGATACCGCGCTCGGTGTCGCCGTACCGCGCCGCTGACGGATTCGACCCCTGCCTGCTAGAGTACTACTTCCGGCGTATATGTCCGCTGGCCAACCCTCTACGCCACTGCACGTCGCCCTTTGTCGAGCTGGTCATGCCGCTCGTCGGGTCAGGCCAGCACACGCTGGCGTCGCTGTCAGCCATGGCCTTCTCCGCGCGTCACCGCAGCTTGACGCTGGACGGGTGGTCCTCGGCGGCGCTGCATCTCAAGGGGCAAGCCCTCTCGGCCCTCCGCTCGAGCCTCGGCATGGCCGACGACGCCATGATCAGCCGCGCGCTGCAGAACTCGGACATCCCCATCGCCATGATGTTCCTGTGCCTGTACGAGATCATCGAGAGCTGCGATGACCGATGGGTCATCCACCTGCGGGCGTGCCAGGACTTCCTGCATCGGAGGAAGCAGCTCGCCCCGCTCCTCGACGTCGAGACGCCCCAGCAGCGCAGCCAGGTCTCCCTCGCCGAACGCTTCTTTGCTTTCCAAGACGCCATCAGCCGCACCGCCTGCGGCAACTCGTCCGTCTTCAGCCTCGAGTACTGGCAGAGCACGGACCGGCACGCCGACGGCCCGGACCAGGGCTGGATGGGGTGCAGCACGAGGCTCGCGCGCCTGCTCTTCCGGATGACCGAGCTCGGCCGCATGCGGGGTGACATGAGCACGCGGGAATTCGAGGCCGATGTGGAAGAGCTGGAATGCGAATTGGTCCTCCTTGACGACGCGGGTCCCATCGGCCGCCTCCTCGTCGACTCGGCAAAGCTGTACCTCCACTGTCTGCTGCACGACGCGACGCCCGCTTCCCCGCTCGTGGTCGGTCACGTCCGCAGGATACTCCAGCTGCTATACGACCTCGTCCAGGAGACCGAGTGCATCTCCAGCGGCCTCGCGTTTCCCCTATTCATCGCCGCGGCCGAGCTGGACCCGCTAAACGACGAGCCGTGCTTCTACGACAAGGCGGGGAACGGGCTTTCCGGTAGGCGGCTGGTGCTGGAGATCGTGCAGACCGTGTCCGGGTCGTGCCTGTTCAATGTCGAGAGGATCGGGAATGTCATCCGCCAGATCTGGGCCAACAGGGACTTGCACCCGGTGCCGGGGAACACCCCTGCTGACAGTACGGCCATGCGGGGTCCTACGGCTCAGCAGAATGATTGGCACATCTGCGTGAGCCCATATTGTACGAATCTCAGCTTGGCATGATGGGTTCATTTCTTCCTTACGAGACTGATGTTAACGGTAATGAGAAGACGCGAATGATGTAAGACAACGTTTCTTGCTAACCATCACACCACTGCCCCCGCGTCGCAGTTGAATGCACACGCATGACCTTGGCCGTCGCGTTATCCGATCAATACACGTACATTGCATCATACGGAGTGATTCCTTTCATGTGAAGCCGCCGATCTGACATGGCCAGCCCCGCAGGAAGCGGGAAGCTAGAGAGTCCTGCTTAGTTCCCATGCCGTAATATCAACCCATTGATGCTGATATTGATGGCTGTTCCATCGGCGGGGTGGCTAGGCAGAATTCTGATCGTCGTCAATCACTCTGTCCTTGCTCTCCTTCCGAATCGACCTTCGGCTCTCGTGTCAAGCATGAGTCGGACTGGATAATGAGGGGGGGCGTGCCCCGCTGTATGAAAGCAATCCGTCGACAACAGGCTGGCCCATGGAAAGCCTTGGCTCTGTTCATCCCATCTGGTGAGAATTAGACTTGCGACAACCGAATCCTCCATATTCGCAAACGATTTCCATTGAAAAAAAAAATTGAAAAAAAAATGACAAAAAAATCCTTGCTGTGTTCTAGCCCCAGGGGGGAATCAGTCCGCCGTTGGCCTATTGTGGATCAGTCTTCCATCTACAGCGAAGTCGTCAACGCTCCGTGGCGTGCTTTGAGGACCAGAAAAGGTCTGCTCAGCTCTGGGGAAGTGGATGCGTCTTGGCTAGAGTTTCGGGTTCAGTTATGGGAAGCTGTTCACGCGCATTCGTACTTGGCACTGGGAAACTTGGCAAACCCAGCAATGGAGAGTTGCATAGGCAAAGGTGCGAGATCAGGAACGAGACTTGACAAGCCATGATGTTCAAGCAGGTTCACCTCCCGGGTTCGTCAACCAGGAACCCACAAACTACAAACGTAATGTGAACCTCACTGGGACGAATAACACGTGTCCGCATTATTGAAGCAGAGATATTGCACAGCATTTCTTGCGACATTCCATCACGAACCATACGCGTTTACATGCTCTCTTCCCTCGTTATCTAGATGTGGGAAGTTAGGAAAAAGCCCATCGATATACAGGCGGGGAAGAGTGAAATACACGAGATGTCTCGTCATCTCTGCGACATCAAACATGCCTTACAGGCTGTAGACAGGTTTTCTGAGAAGAAGAAAAAAGAAAGATATTCAAAACATCACGCTTGCTTTGCTAAATGCCAAAACCCGAAAAAGGCTGTTGACCGTGTCGAGGTCCTATATGAAGTTAATAAAGACTTTTTGGCTGACACCGCAATTCTGTAGAAAGGCGCATATGCGAGTGAAAACCCGCAATTCCTCTGCTTAGCTCGACGCTGCGGGACAATGTCAGGACAGGCGAGAGGGTCTGAACTGACGGCCCCGGGAAACAACCCTGCCATCTCGACGAGGTCTCTCGTCATCGCCTCTCTCTCTCTCTCTCTCTCTCTTTCAGCTTCTCCCCATCCCTGTTGGCGTTTCCGTACGCTACTTCTCTAGGCCCGGAGGGACTGGAAGCTCTCGTCACCATCGTCATCATGACCCGTCATGAAACTCGTAGCTAGAGGACGCACCTGGGCTATCACTTGAGGCCTCGGGCGTGGTTGTGCTGCATGTGTCAGGAATCCCTAGGCTCCTCCCTCGGCATCCAGACCCGTCTTCTGGCCTCTAGGTAAGAAGTCAGAGAAGAAAAGGCTCCACGATGTGCTTGCGGATGAACGGACTACCCAATCCTGTGAAGTGTGCCCCTGGTCGTATATCCAGGGCTCTCCACAAGTAATGCAACAGGGCGGTTTCGATGACCAGGTCTCCGGGACGCTGTGGAAAGTTGCTGCTTGTTGGGGTTCCCTCGATTCGGGGACGATGATAACCCAATTGATCGGCTATGATATCGTGCTTTTTCAATACACATGCAGTAGCAACTTCAAGCATCAATATTTCGGCAAGACAGGCATCGTACAGCCAACGCCAGATTGAACTCGAAGGTATGGATTCTAACGGGTAGCACAAACTGAGTGCATATAACATGTGATTTATGATGACCGTTCCCATCTCTCTGGGGAGCATTGATCGTCCCCAAGACATGCAACGCTACTCCGGTCTTTTACCTAAGGTTTCTTACAGATGATTTGCCGTGCCGACGATTCATAAGCTGCTTTTTCGTGAGGAGCAGGTTCTTGAAGAATGAAGAAGCCGATGAGTTCTCTTCTCCTGCTATTTCCCTGTGGTACATATCTATTTCCCGTCCGAGTCTACGTGGTCCTTCTGAGCGAATATCACTTACACAGGAGCTTCGGATGCAGATGGCTGTATGCTCCCGGGATTTCGTCATCGAGCTGCAGGGCCTTGCATGTTTTCGGAACTCCATGCGAGATGAAAAGTTACATGTCAGGATCATGTACTATTGATGGCAAGGCCAAGACGTCATCGCACTCGTGTAATGCCTTGACAGCGCATGTGAATCCAACGGACGCGGCCGGTACAGGCAGTGCCGATGACCCCCCCACATCGGCGTCTTGGCGTCCGGTTTATCCTAATTAGGAAGGGTATGAATGCCTCCGCCTCAGCTTGGCGTGTAGCTTGGCGCGAATCCATGGCGGGAGACTGATGTTCGGTCGCTAGGAATACGCTGTCATTACGTCGTTACTGCAATTGTGAGTTGTTGGAATCAATGGATACATCTAGGGTAGGCTGCTACCCTGGATGCTTCCGAGGTTCGGGTTCGATATTATCAGGGCCGTCAACCATATCCGCGAGTCGTCAGCTCACAATGGTATAATTCATATCAATAGCTGAGTTGATGAGCTCCGGGTAGCCCCCGTGGCTTGTCAGATTCTGCGTTTACGTGTAGGTTCATGTGTAACTCGATCTAGCGGGTAGGTGTACACGGGCCGCAGATTGGTATGATGCTTGTGAATTTAGTCCATCTTAGAATCCGGATGGTCCAACCATGCCTGCAATTTTTCAGGCCCTTCCCTAGGAACGAACCGAGCATGGAAGTGCTTCGGTGTTGCGACGAACACCCCAGGTTCCAACCCCTCGAGAGCGTCCATGGCCTCGGCCGTCTGCCCTTCGGCGGGAAGGATGTGATACCTGGCAATCATGTGCAGAAACGCGGTGTAGAGGGCGTTGTGGGCCAGGAGGAAGGCGACGCACATGCGGCCTCCAAATCCGAACGCAAACTGGGGCGCATGCTCCTCGGGTGACCCCGGCAGCCAACGCTCAGGTTTGAAAGAGTCCGGGTCCGAAAAGGTGATGGGATCTGGTCAAGACAGTATCGATCTATTAGCAGATATTCTGCACACGATAAAGGCAAGGCATGTGCTCACCTCGATTGCACGCCCAGCTGTTGAGGAAGACGGGTGTGTTGGGCGGAATGACGGCGTTGCCCCACGTCGCTTCGGAGTACGTTGCTTTGGGCAGAGCCAGCTTGAGGACTGTATAGTACCGGCTCACCTCTTTTGTCAGAGCCTCTACGTACGGGACGTGCGTGCTGGCATATTGGTCAGACGGCAGGTAAGCGACGTCTGCGTCCTGGATAGCTCGGTAGGCCTTCTCCTGAATGTCTTGGCGATGAGCCAGTAGAAGAATGGCCCATGCCAGCGTTGGCTGGTTCGACTCGGCTCCCTATGTGAACGTCAATATGGTGCTGGTGCGTTTCAGGTAAGAAGGGGCAAAGGGGGTGAGGAAGGGAGACCGACCGCCATCATGCTAAAGCTGACACTTATCAGTTCCTCTCGAGAGAGCGTAGCGGATTCAGGGTCTCGCAGAACAGCTCCTTGGATGCACGGTTGGTCTTCATCACGCGCCACACGCTCCTTGAGCTGATTGAGTAGCAGGCTGTTGTATTCGAGACGTCTGCGGCCGATGTCAGCAGCGTAGGCGGGCGAAGACCCTCTGCTGATCAGAGACGCTAGAGGGCCGATGTAGCGCAGCAAGGGGATGTAATTGGCATAGTTGTTGGCAGTGTCTCGAAGTTTTGATATTTCCGACTCAACGTGGATTATCTCTGCAAGGAGAGGGTCCTCGCTGAGAGCCTTGGCTTGGGAAGACACGCGTGTTCCGTAGTTCAGCGTCAAGACGAGGTTGAGGGAGAAGCGCTTTACAGGGAGTCGGAAGTCGACGTCGACTGTTCCTCCACGACTCTCGTCGAGGATCTCCCTGATAAACTCCCTAGACTCGAGGTTGACGATGGGTGCGTAGCCTCGTATCTTGACGAGGTTGAGGGCCGTGGCAGCCACCTTCCGACGCTGCTTGCACGATTCGTCCCAAGGACTTGTACCGATACTCGTGACGGCCCGGCTGACCTGCTTGTGGAAGACGTGGAAAATTGGACGCGAGTTGACTGCCGTGCGCTGGCCGACGAACAGGTGCCTGGCCGCTTCGACACTGTTGACGACGACGGCTGTCACGTTTCCAAGCTGGATCTGGAACACAGGGCCGTACGTCTGTGCCCATTGCCGGTAGACCTCGGCAGCTCCAAGTGCTTCTCTTCTCTGGACAAGCGGCCGAGATCAGCTTGAGGTATGGCCGATTTTGCGTGTGAAGACGGCATCCACTCACCTGCTGCAGAAGATTCCCCACGACGGGAATACCTCGTGGCCCAGGAAGGTTCTTTATGCGTCCGACGTAGCGCAGGTATTCGTTGCAGACCAGATAGAGCACCAGGAAAACACTGGCAAGGGTAAAGATGTGCGCCGATGCCGACAGGGCCTTCCAGAAAAGATCCTCCAGGTTATACTGAGATGCCATCTTTAGTCGCTGGAGATGTGAGTATGACGATTTTCGTACAACCTCCGCATGTATGTGACGTTGACCAGACGAAGCCGTCTCGTCACAGGGCTGGTGAGATCCCTGTTAAGACTCGATGACATGCTTCCAGATTATCGTTGCTTATAAATACGTCGTTTCGTTTATGTCCATCAGTATATGCACGCTCAATACATTGTAATTGTAGTTCGTATGGCGCCATGCTTGGCCGAGATGCCGTCAATGCGTATCGACTTAGACGTGAAGATGCCCTAATCGGCGAACCGCTCTTCTTCAATAGTTTTGTATATTAATAGTTCCCCGTGGTATGCTCCACATGGCGCTCTCCCGCATGACTTTATCCGCCTATATACAGCCTGTCCGGGTTTGTTGTCGGGGATAATTACCAGCTCGTCGTCTCCAGCAGGATTGCAAGCTCGGATGGCCGAATAGCGTCCTTTTGCCCCGCTGTTTAGACGAGATCTCCAATGTCTTTTTCTTTTTCAACTGAGTGACGGTTCGATTGCTGATAGCCGTTTGCGTATGGTACGAGTGTTAACAATCGTCAAACCATCTTTGATGGCAACCTTCGATCTAACCAGGCATATTTTTGGACGTCGTTTCATCCAACTAATGAAGATTGTAGTGTCTTATCTTGCATATCCTATCTCTCTGGAGAGCAGCCTTGCAACGTGGTATCGTATAACCTGTCAGGCGATGCATGCGATGCACGCTCGTATATGCACGTATTTAACCTGAGCCTTGGGAGTGATTCCCGGTATACTGCCCTCCAGTTGAATCTGACCAAAGTTAAACCTCCTTGACATCTGTGATGTGCTTTCCTTCTTGGTCGACATTGAACATGTGGTAAATACCACCGGCTGGGTCTGAGGCCTTGCTGCGACTTCCCGGAAGCATCCAAGGTGTTGACTTATCTCCCTGGAACCACTTGCGACCGTCATACTCTGCCTCTACCGGCCTCTCACCGGTAGCCTGGATCTCCCGTGCGCGATTCTCAATCTTGGACCACACGCGCAGCAGGTTCTCGCCAACGAGGAGGCGTATCTGTTCATCAGTCACTCCTCGTCGCATGAGAAGCTCGATAAGATCGGGGTATTTGCTGACATCCTCGAGGCCTTTGGGCACATGAGGGGTTCCAGAAAAGTCACTGCCAATTCCCACATGCTCCCATCCAGCAACTTGGGCAATGTGCAGAATATGGTCGACGACGTCGTGAATGGTTGCGTCTGCAGGGTTCTTCATGTTGAGAAAGCGGTTGACGAACACGGCCATGACTATGCCGCCATTATGCTTCACCGAACGTAAGACGTCGTCGGGCACGTGTCGCAGGTGTGGCTCGACAGCATAGGCGCCCGAGTGGGAGAAGATGACCGGGGCGCGGACAACACTCAGAACGTCGCGCATCGTCTGGTGAGATACGTGTGATAGGTCAACCATCATTCCCAGACGGTTCATCTCCTTCACGGCCTCGTATCCGAGGGGTAGGAGGCCGTCGTCGGCTCCTCCAAAAGCCACCGTCGACGTTGAGGTCGCGAACGCCGTGTCACAGTTGTGCGTGAGCGTCATGTAGCGCGCCCCTAGGTTATACATCTGCCGGAGACCTGCGATGCTGCCACCTACCTGATGGCTACCCTCGATACCAATCATGCTTGCGATGCGGCCTGATCTGAAAGCGCGGCGGGCGCATGCCGCGGTATCGCAGTATTCCAAATGGCCAGGGTGCTCGGCGATGAATCGCCTTGTGACGTCAATCTGCTCCAATGTGTCGCGCACAACCCACTACGTGCACGTAATGTTGGTCAGTTTTTTTCCCATCTTGTACGTCTGATGGGTGGTCCTTGACATACCGATGGATCTTCAAAGTGCTTCTGCTGCGCATCGCAGTGGACATAGACACTCCAGAACTGACCGCCCACCATACCCTCACGCATCCGACGGAGATCGGTATGTCCTAGAAGCTTTCCGGTAAAGTCGACGCCGCTGTCGTAGATCCGATTGTGCAGTTCGAGACGTAGCTGCCAGGGAAGGTCGTTATGTCCATCGATGAGCCTTTGTGTCTGTCAGCGCTTTTCTCTCCTTGCTCTTCATGTGTCCCCGATCTGAACTTACGGCGTCGTACTCAAGACTCGTCGAGTGCGCTCTGCATAGTTTGTCGGGTCAACGGGCCCTTCTGCGAGCCATGAAAGCCCGAGAGTGCCGAGCAGAAATACAACCCCGGTAGAGAGCAGCGGAAGCCTCAGATGGGGTAACCATCTTGCGCTCTGGCCACCGGCCGTAGGATGCACAACTAGTGATGACCCGTTGCTCTCATCCGATCCGGTTTGTCTGGATGCGGTGGTGGGCTCGGACGCCCTGTCCGCCGTCGTCGACGGTGCCTCTCGCTGGTCAGACATTTTCGGTGTTGGTGACTGTCTCTTCTGAATTGACAGAGATGCGGAGCACGGATTCCATACGAGTATAGTTGACTTGAAAGTGAGAGTGACCGGTGCCGCAATGTACCACTTTCTCTTTTTTCTTTTTCTTTTTTCGCGTGCGGTTGTCTGGTTAATTGGACGGAGTTCGGCAAGCCGAGCGGCTTACATACAGGATATCAATCTGTACTCTGCCAGATGGCTGTCTTATCATGGAGTGTCCGCTTCAGTTCGGATATGGGATCCATTATCGAGGTTCACTTTTCCATAGTCCCCAGGTCTACTCCTAGTACCAGAGCCAGCTCATGGAATATCTGTTCAAGTTGAGCCAATGGACGACACAACATGACTCGATGTCGTGCTCAAGCACACTTATCACGGCACCATGGAGAACGTGCTCTCTTTAGACTATAGCCACTCCGCATATGTTCCCGACTACCTGGCGGTTCAAAATATTATGTCCGGATAACGCTCTGTGTATAGGGCCTAGCGGGTGGCTGCATACGATGAGGAGAATGATCATAGAGGATGTATTAGGCAGTTGAAGCCGACCTGCCGATGATGAGAGATTCCCTTTTCAATGAACAGGACTTGGTTAGTCGGCGAGTGATTATTCAAAGAGATGAGACTAAGAAAGAACTTCAGACCTTCAGTCTTTAGCTCTCTAGCCTCGACTGCAGTATTATTGAGTTGCCCTTCTACAGCTCCAAGTATGCAGCTACGCATGTGCCGTATCATTGAACCCACTAAACGTATCTGCATCCTTGCTTAGGGATTCAATGCACAGTCATATGCGATTGAACACAGAGGCTTGCCCGTATTGCACTGCTCACCAACGCTCTGATACAGTCTACGACTACGTTCAGAGTGATGGGACAGGTAATGCATGTGCTACTGATTGCTGGAAGTCATATAAAGCAGTTGCCGGACCTGTAGTTTCCGGGTTATCATGGAAAGGAATCTCTTCAAGTCTTCATGTTCGTAGCCGTTCGCCAAGAGCTTCTAAAAAAGAAAAAAGAATTACAGTAGATACTATCAAGCTTCGCAAGAATACACCAACCTGATGCTCTCGCCATATGTCATAGCTGTGACACCATTTCCAGGTATTAGCTCGCCACCCACGAAGCGTCGATTGAGTACAACGGTTCCACCCATCGAGCGAGGTGGGAGATGCTAACCCGGATTATCGTCTCTTGGACGATCCACTCTCTTACGGGACGTTGGGGTTTTCATTTACACGAGTTGCCATGTTGTAGGACGGCCATGTCGTGATTGATGTATGCACGCATGCATACAAGGCAATTCACCTCTGCTCCGCTCAGCATGCAAGCTCTTGCATATATACCCATAAATCGATAGCCGTGCACTCTCCCAACCCAACGCGTTACGGCTGATAGTTTCGAGACGCATCCTCATCCTTTCCATCCTTTATTACTGGAGACATCACATAACTGTGCGGTGAACAGTCGAGACTCGTCGGTGTCTGAAACGAAACTCCCACGAAGCATGACGGCGGAAGCCTTCAAGGACACGGGGAAAGAGCGTGTGGACGATGTTCCCAGCGACTCAGGTCCCATACAGGCGGGTGACGAGCCGGTACCAGTCGACCCTGAGCTCGTGAGACGGGTCGTGCGCAAGATTGACTGGTTCCTGATTCCAGCCATGACGCTAGGTGCAGACTCCCAGCAGACGACAGTTCCCCGATGGATCCATCAGAGGATTAACACTATCTCTCCCAGGCTACGGTCTTGTCGTCTATGACAAGGTGAGAACATGTGCTGGCTAGAGCCGAAGACGCAATGACATCCTGATTGATCTGATTGAAAGGCTATTCTGGGGAGCGCTGCCCTCTTCGGAATGGTCGACGACCTAGACCTCAGGGTTGGCGACAGCACCAGCCGACTCAGTTGGGCCACGTCCCTATTCTATCTAGGACAGCTGGCCGGGTCATACCCGACGACGTACCTCGTACAGCACTTCAGGACCCGCTGGACCGTTGGGCCGGCCGTGATGATTTGGGCCATCGTGGCTGCGTCGGCTGCCGGGTGCAAAACATACCAGGGCCTCTTTGCCCAGCGCTTCTTTCTTGGTGTGTCGAAGATGATGGTGGCTCGGCAGCTTCCTATGTCCGAATAGCCCCTTGGCTGACTTGAAGATAGGTTTCTCCGAGGCTATCATCCCGACGTCCTTCATGAGCATCATCAGTGGCTTCTACACGCAGGAGGAGCAGGCGGCGCGACAGACGCTCTGGTTCAGCGGCGCCGGTTGGTTCACAGCCATCGGACCTATCCTCAATTACGGATTCGCGCAGATTGACGGCGGCGCACTGCACTCGTGGCAGTACTGCTTCGTGTTTGCGGGTATCCTGACCTCCCTCTTCGGCCTGTGGGCATTCTTCATGCCCGATTCCCCCACAGATGCCTGGTTCCTGACGGGCGAGGAGCGTGTGACGGCTGTGGAGAGGCTGCGTGCTGGCCAGACGGGTATCAGGAACCATGAGATCAAGCTGGATCAGATCAAGGAGTCTATCCTCGATCCGACCGTCTGGCTCGTCTTCGTCATGATGGCGTCGGGATACACGGCAAATGGAGCGGTTACTGGGTTCGGTCCTCTCATCGTGTCCACATTCGGCTACTCGACCTTGTCGTCTGCCCTGTTCCAGATGCCCATCGGCTTTCTCTGCGTGCTGAGCTCCCTGTTGACAGGACTGGCAGCTTCGCGCTGGCGCAACATTCGCTTCCCTCTCCTGCTGGCCTGCTGCGCCCCCGTCATTGCGGGCTACATCATCATTTGGAAGTCGAGTTGGGGCGACCGTCCTGCGGCGCCGGTGGCCGGCTATTCCATCATCGGCTTCTTCGGCGGCGTCGTCGGGCTCGTTGTGCCCATTGCCTCATCCAATGTCGCGGGAGACACGAAGAGGAGCTTCACCGCGGCCGCCGTTTTCGCCGGATACTGTGTGGGCAACATCGTCGGGCCTCAGATGGTCGTCTCCAGCGAGAAGGAACGGCACTATCCCACACTGTGGTCTGGACTCATTGGCTGGTAAGAAGGCCCCCAGATTGAACCTGCGGCTTTGGGTATGGACAGGGGCTGACTATGGACAATCGTCTAAAGCTACATGATCACCATCGTAGCTACCTCCACTCTGTGGTTCCTGCTATGGAGGGAAAACAAACGTCGCGCCGGACTGAATCTGGACAAGGCTGAGGCTGGCCGCCTTGGTTTCCACGACTTGACTGATCGTCAAAACCTACACTTCGTTTACAAGCTATAGACGAGCTTCATGAAATGCATCTGGATCTTGTGTCGAATATAATACGTTTCCAGGCATCGAACCATCACATACGACCATAGCTAGTGGAGAATACGGGGTCCCGTCCGCTCCCCCAGAGTCAAGCCGCTAAGCGGTGGATTAGTAGTTGGGTCGGTGACGACCAGCGAATACCCGCTGTTGTATGTCTTCTTTTTGCCCCTTCTCTATCATGAGGTGTGGAGAAAATCATGTCTAGAGTTATCACTGCATTGGTTAGGTACCGAGAAGGGCAACCGGAAGAGAAAAGAGATGTTCATTATTTACAAAGTGCTATCAGACGATATGTGTATGTGCACATACGTTCATTTCTTAGTTTTTTTTTTAAAAAAAAAAAAAAAATTGGGCGCATTGTCAAGTTTGAAGCCATCTTCAACTGCCAATATGCAAACTACATACATGCATATATCCACGTACGTGCTCTCGAAACTTGTAGAACCAAGACTTGCCAGCCATGTCCGAACTGACAACCAGCGACTTCGTATGAATGGGCCATCCCGTACTGCCCACAGCAAGACTGCTAAATGTAAACTGCATCGGCTTTCTCGCGCCTTCTCCACGGTCTGAAGGTTGGACAAGAAGGGCATGTGCTCCCATGAGCCCATCTCTGTCGCCCACACCGACCGGATGGCAGGTATTCGCGGATGCTCCATGTATGCAATACGATCAAGGTACTTTCCCGTAGATGCGGACATGTAGTGGGACCTAGGCAGGCAGGAAGGTGTGTCCTGTCCATTCCAACATTCTCGGCTGGCACCCCCTTTTTACTCTGGAAGGCGTTGCTCTGCACCATCTCTAGAAGGCGCAGAGGGGTGCCTGCGTCTTCCCATGGACACTCATGGATTCACGTGGCAGTAGGCGACACAGCTCCTCCCTCCTGAAGATGGCGTACAGTGGCCAGGATCTGGCGTGGTCTTTCCCTGACAGAAAACTGGCGCCGCTGTCCTTCCGTTTCTGTCCCCACGGTTGTATTCAGTATTATCATGTCCCGGAAGGAGCGCCTTCTCCTTCCTACCTGTCTAACTATCATCGAGAGCTTCTCTTGGAAGAAGCCTAAGGCGCATCTGGAAGGAACATCACCTAGTCTCCAAGTATAAAAGAGAGAGATTCTCCAGACCTCTCTCCTAGCTTCGATCCATCTCCATCTTCTTGTCCCCGTCGTCTTCATCCCTATCTGCTCACTCTTCGTCCTCGGCTGTCCTTCGTGCTCCAACTCTCCTTTTTTTCGTTCTTTATCTTTCTTTCTCTTGATCCCATGGTCATCTTGATATCGGATCATTGCCATGTCCATCTATTACTCGACAATTTGGGGGCTTTCTTCTTTTTTTTCTTCATCTTGATTCGACTACGACCCCTCGACACATATTCAACTTCTTGTTCAATGATTGTTTCGGTGCCTGCATCCTGAATCATTGGCCATTCTTCATCACTTCGATGTGCCAGTTCTTTGGAGGTTTTCCAGGTCTTGAACGCTCCACTTGGAGCTTGTCGTCCGGTAAGTGCCCCTGACCCCTCGATCATGTACACAGGGAGACGTGGACGACTCTGACCTGCTTCATATATGCATCTTCTTTTCATCTCAGAAGATCCAACAGTCGGTTGGTGCCTCAGAAGGCTCCGTACAAGCTCTGAATCGGTTCATCACGGATGTACTCTGGCCCTCAACAGGTGGGTTTTCCCCCAGTCTAACCCTCGGTGAAGATAACAAAGCCTCTATGATTTCCAAATGATTAGTTGCACGACTTTTTCTGAGAGGATAATTGGGAAGAATTCTGAGATTTGAAGGGAACGGAAGGGGTTTTTATACTGTGCCTTCCGAGTCACTCATTATTCTTTCTCCTCTTTGGTTTAGCTTTTCAATCAATATTCTCCTTTCTTTTGCTTCTTTTCTTTTTGAGTTGCAACTCTATGAGGGACGGGCTTGGATGATTAGTGTATAGGGATTATATATGGCGCAAGGAGCTGATGTATACATTGTCAAGAGCATGACTGGCAATAAATGGTAGATTGATTTGAAAAGCCATTTGAATGATTTTAGTTCTCTCGAGGGAGAAATCATAATAAACGCTGGCGGTATTTGCCTGGCTGTGAGGACTAGCTGTGATGACTTCAATGTTGAGTGATGGGTCTTGAGATGGAATCGTACGAGAGATTGCTACCGCCGACTGAAATTTGACCTTGTCCGCTTCCTGTATTGACTTTACCTATGCTAAAGATAAAAGACTTTTTTTCATGTAGATACTAGTACATGGATGCAAGAGTCCCTGGAAATCATCACGTGGGAAATTTAGATTTGAGTTCCCGGTCCTTCTCTGTAGTCTTGCCATCTTCGCACCACGCAATGTTATGGCTCGGTATGAGCTTGACTACCAAGATACTATTACCTGCTGTGCCTCAGAGCTTCTCATGGAATAAGTAGGTATGTATACGAGCCTTCAATGACAAAAGCCTCGCATCACTAGAAGCAGTCGGGTTATACATCCCCCTGGAAACTTCAATCCTGTAGCCTACAAACTATCCATTAAGTGTATCTTAAGTCCTCGCACGACAACCGTCATGTTTCGTGGCAACCTCATCGAGAGTAATTTGTTGGAATTGGTCATATCTTTCCATCGAGTGAGTAGAGCCCCAGATTCAATAGGGTTAGAGTGTTGAAGTTGAACTTTGAGCCCGGGATGCCCCGGGTCAAAACGTATGGCTGAGGCTGATGAATGTTGAGATATAACCAAGAACAACCCTCTAGCTCGGCAATGGAGGAGAACTGGGCTTTCGAGAGCGTTTGAGTATGGAGTGTACTCTTGTTACGGATGCTGAACCTATTGCCGGTAGCATCACAATCTGTTGGACGCTTTACTATGTCCGATGCTACTTGGGAATTGTTTCTATGGATGATCGTGCTATCATCTGTAACTTGTGATATTGACTGACTACTCGAAAACCACAATAGCAAGCATTCGCTGGGTGTGCAGACCAAGAATCAAATGATCTCGGAGTAATGGTATATGTATTGGGCTCTGGACTTAGCCAGGCAAGAGTCTCCATATAAGAGTGCCCAATCAATGATATGTCTCCGAGTCAAAAGGGATGCACTATTCCAGCTGACTACATTTCCGTCAAGGCAGACATCGTCCATGTCACGCAACTTTTTAGGGAATGGGCTCCCTTCCTAGGCATCAGCACCGATCGGAGACGCTCGTCCAAGTCAGCCGCAGATATAGAGCCACTGAGTTTCCCGACAATCATCCTTCCTAGGGGATGACCACTCATAACTAGATTTAACGGGCCGTTTTGCACGAAATGCCAATCACGGTCAGGATTCGTGTCTTGCCGAGTATCTGGATCGGGCATTGCGCCGTCATTCACATCGAAAACGGCACACTGATCCTCCTCGGGCGCCTGAGGCATGAGTGGAATGCCCCAATGATAGACTTCTCGGTTAAGGACATTTCGATTATCACCGAGCGAGAGCTCATCCCGGTGATGGATTGTAACGGCCGAAGAAGAAAAAAAAAAGTACGGAGGCTGCCTTTTGGTCTTTTTATGTCTCTTCATATTGTCAGATCGGTGCTGTATGTCATTGCTATATCAGCTTACGGCCTTCTGTCACCCTGCTTTGTCGGCCTGCCTCTTGCGTTTTCCTCTTAGCACGGAGTTGAGGTTCTTGAAAAAAATCAGGAGAAGCATTCTCACTAGTTTGAAAAGTCTGTGCACCGTGTAAACGTCTGCGTCCTTGAATTTCCACGGTAGAGAAGAGGTCAAGTTGTCTGGCGAGAGACCATCACAGAAGGAGCGGCCAAGGCCGATATTCATATGCACTCAGGGGGGAGACCCAAGACGGCAACCCGTCACGATAGCAGCCCTAGCCTGGTTTCTGTGGCCGGAGAACGGTGGGTTCACGAGGCAAAGATGGCAGCTGTGGGAGCAAGAAACTACGAGTGATTGGAGATGAAAAAGGGCGTCGTGAATCATGATGTGGGATTAGCACTCGTGGAAGCCGCCGACGCCATCAGGGCCCTCTTGGACGCGAGCTCTGCTTAGCTGTATTTCTTCAGCGTGGTCTATTTTTCAACCGTATCTTCCTTGATAACCTGACTATCTCGTGAATGCTCTCACATACGACCACAGCCAGTGGAGAATACGGGGTCCCGTCCGCTCCCCCAGAGTCAAGCCGCTGAGCGGTGGATTAGTAGTTGGGTCGGTGACGACCAGCGAATACCCGCTGTTGTATGTNGGATTAGTAGTTGGGTCGGTGACGACCAGCGAATACCCGCTGTTGTATGTCTTTTTTTTTTTTTCCTATGTACAACTTTGCCTTTCCATTCAGCTGGTTCGTATGCAATAGAAACAGAATCATCACCACCTCCCACATATAATATCCGGATGAATTTCTTGCCGATCCGGAACTTTAGCCGAGCATTGTACCGACATTATTCCGCTGCTACATCTGACATCAACCAGAACCCTACCTCACCACGCACAACTATCATAGTTTGCCAGATTTCTGTTGTCACCGCCTTCGAATGTCAAGTTCACCTCCATCTGACGGATCTTCTCGGCTCTTCTCATGGCTAATGAGCCCTCGTTTCCACACCTTTTCAAGTTTCCGAGTAGGACGTTTCAATAACCGCCAGCTCGTATTAGTACGTGCTGTATCTCAAACAACCTGCATTAGGGAAAATCACTCCCTCTTCCGGCTTCGTTGGCCCACACCCAACCCATAGGAGCCCTCTTCCCGTCAGACTAAGCCTTTTCGGGCATGCGACCCCCTGTACGCTTCTCTTGGCAGCCGACATGTCCATTGTTCCCTGTTCTTTGTCTCTTTTCTTTTGTCAAGAGCCGGCCGTCCACGTTCATGAGCCATGCATGACTGACCAATATTATCTGAAATAGGACTTGGAGCGCAAGGCCCTCAAATATGCCGGCATCTTCATCAATGAAGATGCATACCCTGGCGTCTTCAACGCATGTCTGGATGGGGAGCAGAATGCGGCTGTGGGGAACGCTTTTGTCAGCGCTGGATACAGGTCCAGGCTTGAGGATTTTCCCCGAAACGTCGACGACTTTTTCGAGGCGATAGCCTGTCTATTCAGCAGCAATCTCCGAGACCATTATCGGAACATCTTTGAAAGATTCGATCGCCTCTGTGGCGAAAAACTGGCTGACCATTTCATCGGCGAGTTCACCATCGCGCAGTGGGCCGGTCGTATCCTTGATGGTCTCCTTAGATCGCTTCGTGACCTGGTACTCAGGAATTCTTCGGATACCGACGGGACATCCAAGCGTTTTCGCTCCTGGGGGACACCCTGAACACCGACTCCGCTCCCACACCCCTCGTTCTGATCCGTCAAATTCGGCTTGAAGGCACGTCCCTGAAAGATGCCTGGGCGAGGAACCAGGACATCCAGAACCTCTGTGCATTTGAAAGGACCCCGGGGCTAGGCTCATAGACCCCGTCCGCCACTGGTGGCGCCCCAGCCTTCAGGGGCATCTCGTACCCTCTCGATCATCAGGGGCCAGCAATCGTCAAGAATGGGATCGGCTCAGTACCCGCCAGATTCAACCGTCAGGCTGGGGCGAGCCAGCTCTTCCCCAACGGGCCCTATCGGGGCATATACACTGACTTCTCCGCCCTGCGGGCCTTTCTTTGGGGGGTTTTTCAAGGAGAAGTTGCTCAGGACATACCAACCGCGGCCTACGCTTCGGTGCTAGAGCATGACTTCATGCTCCGGGGCGAAACATTCCGCGGTATCCTACTCTTCCAATTCCATACGAATCAGCCGAGACCCCCAGGGTTGACCTCTTTCACGATTCCCGAAGGGAAGGAGTCGAGCTGGAGGACACTTTGCAGCACCTGGCCGCGGCAAAAGCCCGATTTTTGGAGGAGAGCCGTCTCGCACATCCACCCACCTCCAGCACACTGCCGACTTTCCTGACGTGATCCATAGAAGGGATCTACCCAGCGTGCGGGCGCAGTTGTCTTCGTGGCCCTGCCACGACTCGCTACTCTGGCAGAGAGCTTTCATGTCGGAGGGTGCAGAGGCCCATCTGAACAAGAATCTAGGGGGGTTTATGCCATCTCATCCACCCAGGCTGGGGCTGTGGGTGAACTCCCCTCAGCCAAAGCCGGAAAGCAAAGAGGGAGCGGGGGCACGCTCAGGAGAAAGGTGAAGGACATGTTCAGAAAGTAGGACCGCATATGGAATCGGCTGGCTCGCCTGTTCGCTCGTTGAAATTGAGGAATATTCGTTTTCTGCTCTCCTCTTCTTCTCCTTCTTCTTCTGACCTTTCCTAGTGCTACGACCCGATATGCGACCTTCACGTGCACTCCACTTTCCCTTCTCTCAATACTGTGACAATACCTTTTAGAGACACAGTGGAACCCGCCAGTAGAAGAGTAGGTGCCTGCTAGGATCTATTAGGCTTGGGCAGACACAGGAGGTTACGACGATTCGTCTCGTCATCAGCGATTTGATAGAGCAGGTATCGATATGATTGAGCCCATCTGTCATCAAATATCTCACCGCATATCTCTTACCCATGCTGATGGAGGAAAGGCAAAACGGACAGTATGTCTTGAAGTTTCAAGATGGGAAACGGGACCTCGCCAACCTACTCAGTTCCAGGCCGGACGACAGTGGCCAAGCCATCTAGGTAAACCGTGACGTAAACATACTCAACCTTTACACACACGTACACATTGCCGCTGGAGTTGTAGCTTATTGCCGACGTGAATCATGTGAAGACAAACAGAAGCTACGACAGCTCTTGCGATGAGGACGATGGTGCCGGGAAGTGAGCCCAACCATACACCGCACTCAGCCATCAAGTCAACGGGAAGACGATTTAACTTGAGTATATAGGGTGAATCACCACCATCCTCTCCCACATACGACCATAGCCAGTGGAGAATACGGGGTCCCGTCCGCTCCCCCAGAGTCAAGCCGCTGAGCGGCGGATTAGTAGTTGGGTCGGTGACGACCAGCGAATACCCGCTGTTGTATGTTTTTTTTATATGCTCTGTTCGGGCTGCTTTTTTTTTTTTCATTCGCCTCTTTGTCCCTTTACGGTGTATCGTGGTGAAGCATGATGAGTGGAAAGTGAGTTGCGTACGTTCATGCATGGTATGCACATACGGCAGTGTGCATGGTACTAAAGGTCTGGGGATATTGATATCTGGTTCTGTGTGCTCAGGTTCCTCACATCGATCAACATGTAAGTGCGCGTGCTCCATTTTGAAAACCGCTTCACGTCTATTCCCCGTCAATAATGCTCGACACCGGTATTGATAGGTCATGCTCGAGCAAGCGTCGAACGATAGAAGCACACAAGCTGAGGATAGCCCGCGATCGGTACCGATGTCTCCCACACAAGAAGAACTCACATGCATATATCAATGCATCCACAACAACCTAATGTGGGACACTTGTAAACCAGAAGACAGAAGGGACACGAAGATGGGTTCCTGTCTCTGTTTGCACAGTTCATTCATCCATCACGTACGTAGAATCATTCTTTCCTAGAGGAAAATTTGGTGGGTCGGAAAGAGTGAACGAAAGTGATGGGTATCTTTTCTCTATACGCGGAGGATTGTTGTAGCCGGGGTTGGCATCCACGTACCTGGAGTCGTTCTTTCCTAGCGGGAAAATGGTAGATTGGAAAGAGCGAACAAACATGATGGCCCGACGGTCAGCTGACTTGACGCGATGTCTGTTTCTTTGTTTATAAAGTTTCACCGTCGTTGGAGGGCACCGCGTCTTCTTCTTCCCTCCTACATCATCATCTCACACCATGCCTTTATAACCGCTGCTTCGCTACGACTACGCTGTCACTTAGCAGACCTCGTCACTTACCTCGATACTCTCCTCTCCCAAGTAGACTCGTTGTCTGACAAACACACATCAAGGAGAGTATCCATCTATCCTACATCATCACTCATCACACATGGTGGGCAGTGATATGACTGGTAAACATGGACGGCAACGCACCTAATCTCGACGCAGTGGCGTCGCCACTCAACATCATATCCGAAGATGTGACGAGGGCGGCAAACTCGCCGGCAGTAGACGGAGAAGCAAGTGTGTTGGACGCGTTGGAACGCTTGACACATCAAGTCGAGGCTTTTGGCCGTGAGCTGGCAGAGATGCGTGAGGAGATGCATGCTGGCTTTGATCGACTGTCTCAACAGAACAACACTTTGTTAGCAGCATGACAGATGATCGGAAAGGAGATAGAGTATTGACACTATCCAGTGACGTCAGCATAGTGGTGGTACACGAGAAGGCGTCAGCTCTACGACGGGGACCGGAGAGCAAATAGACACCTCTATACAAGATCCGCACAGTAGACGTTATCAACAAGTTCCCCCGAACAACAGGAGAGTTGGCTGAGAGGAATTGTATGTGTTTTCTTCCCTTGGTTATGGATTCTGTAGTCACAGGAAGATGAGGCTTCCTGTGATGATCTAGCTATGAGAATGTGCGCGTCCGACGTGTTGTTCCACCGGACCCGTAGGTCACGGGAACCACAATGCCATAGAATGACACAATCGTATGAGTTTTGTGATGTATTACACAAGACGAAGGATAAGTAATAATGGAGTGGATGTGTATTGGAGACAGTTGACCCTAGACAGAAAAAAAAAAGAAGTGAATCAGCACAGTGTCTGGGGACATTTCTACGTCTCATACGAATGTATTGCTTGTGAATCAATACGGATCCGGTAGACATATTCCAAGATGCCGTCTCACCGTCAAGGTCAGTCCCTGAATTCGACAGGGTCTAGGCCAGGGAATCGCAGCGCACTCGTTCCTCCGCTGTTTGTCGTCCTTGCCTTGAAGGTGACTGCACATCGTCTTGACTGACCTTGGGGAGCTGATTCGACTTCTCAACCGTGCCGGATACCGATGATCGATCTCGGGATGCGCTGCCAGAAGGCCTGTCTCTTCGGTCTCTATTCGAGCTGGCCAGGATGCACACAAGGCTGTCTAGACGGCAACTGTTGCGAGGAGTTCCGCACGGCTCAACGTCACAGCGCACCTTTCGGTTTCTGTATTACGACATGTAATCAATCTCTCGATGAGCGACGCTCAGCGGGGCGGTTGAGATAGTTTACCGCTGGGCGTCTGAGCGATGCCACGGTCATGGCGAGGGTCCGCGGCACACTGTGGAAGAAGTATGGCGTGGATGGAGTATCATCATGTCGAGGTTCCACCAAATCGATTCAATCACCCATCTGAATGGCTTCTGTGTGTTTCGTATATTTCTTGATTCGCGGGCCGGCTATACGTCCGCTACTACTTCCCTCTTCCTAGACGTATCACTCGGGGATCGCGTACAGATGACAGGAGACATGAACACTCAGATGTCGAAAGGGGAAGATGGGTAGCAACTAGAGGTGCCGGTTGAGAACCACTCCCGATGAACATTCTCTCACTATACATGCATGCACTTGCTACCTAGCGATATACCCCCCCCCCCCCCCCCCCCCTTAATCTTCCCCTCAACTGAGCTCATTTTCCCCGCTTGACTTCATGTATTCGCCCTGGTACCGATTGGAGGGGGGGTGTCGCATAAGATTCGAGCCGTTATTCTCTCCATTCCACAGTTCCCTCGGCCCTCGGCAATCGTCGTACATGAGAAGAAGAAAAAACAAGGTTCCATATGGCGTACGTGAATTCAACACTGCCGGTGGCATAGCTGAGGTCAAGTCGTATCGTCTGAGCGGTCAGACAACGTTTTGCTGCCGAAGGCGCTGTGCCTCGGCCCTTGGAATCCCGATGGCCTCCAATATCTCCTCGGTGTGCTGACCCAGGAGAGGCGGCTCGCGTCTGATGTAGGCTTTGGTGGTTCCGAACTTGACCGAGGGTCCGATGAGGTTGATGCGACCGCTCTGTGCCGCCGTATGGCTGACCTGTCGAAGCATGTCTCTTGCTCTGATCTGCGGGTGCTGAAAGGCCTTCTCGATGTTGTTGATCGGCGCAAAGGGAAGCCCCTCGGTCTCGAAGATGGCAATCCATTCCGCCGTCGTCTTGTTCCTGAACACTTCCTTGATCACCGCGCTCAGTTCATCTCGGTGGGAAACGCGGCGTGCGTTGTCTGAGAACCTCTCGTCGGCCGCTAACTCTTCCAGGCCGAGCACCTTGCTCAGCTTGATGAACTGAGCATCGTTGGCCGCACCACCGACAATGTAGAGGTCTTTGGTCTGGAAGGCGTCGTACGGCACAATGCTCGGGTGCTCGCAACCCCAACGCTGGGCTTCTATTCCCATGTTCAACCACGACATGCCGACGTTGATGAGCAGGCTGATCTGCGTCTCAAATAGCGAAGCATCCACACGCTGGCCGCCCTCCCCGAGGTGATCACGAGCATGGAGCGCCGATAAGATGGCGCCGTGCAAGTACAGACCCGTAGCCATGTCCACGATACCTAGACCTGGCCTGACCGGCGGTCCTTCCCTCTGCCCGGTTACATGGAGAAGTCCGGCCTCGGCTCCAGCAATTGCGTCGTATCCACCACGAGCAGCATATGGCCCCGTGGTTCCGTAGCCTATAATACATCTAACGTGGTCAGATGCAGATGAGGAAACCCCCATACCGTTGCAACGTACCGGAGAGGCTGGCATATATGAGCTGACTGTTCATCTCTTTCAGCTTCTCATACCCGAGTCCAATGCGCTCCATGGTTCCGGGTTTGAAATTCTCTACCCTGTATGATAATCAGCAATATGAATACCCTGCTAAAAGTCATGGAGAGTGCTCTCTTTTTTTTCCGGCTTACACGACGTCGCATCTTCTTGCTAGTTCAAAAAAGATATCCCTCCCCTCGGAGCTCTTCAAGTCTAGAGTGATTGACCTTTTGTTGCGATTTACCGCCGAAAAATAGTTGGATATGGGGCCCACGTCACTTTTCCACGAGCCATCTTCTCCCTTCATCCTCCAGTGCCTCGTGTCGTCCTGTTCTCATCATGTTAGGATAGAGGTGACGTTCGGTGAGGTAAGTTGTGGTATAGAGATAGGCACCGTACTCCCTTTCCCACAGCCTCCACCTTGATCACGTCGGCGCCGTAATCAGCCAGGATCTGTGTACAGTAAGGCGCCTTTTCCGCGAACTGTATTAGCAGCATGTTCTGGAAACTACCTGCCGTGGGGGATGCCGAGCTCATAATACCGCAAGGATACGAGACAGGTCCAGGATCTTTAGACCGTTCAATGGGCCTCCACTCTCACTTGGGCTTTCCTTGGAAACGGACGACTGAAATCGGACTGTCGATACAGAGCTGACCCTGGAGCATCTCAGTCCGTAGCTGGGAAATATGCCAGATGACCTCAGAGGTCCCCGGGCGAGACGGCTTGTAGGGCCCATTGCGACGATGTCAGCCGATTGATGCTAGTGTGGAGGTGGAGTGTCGCTCAGAGAATATCCTCCGGTGGATATACATGCATTGAAGCATCATGAGAGTTTTATAACAAAGGCAGCCTATCAGTTGGGTCTGGTCATCATGCGGTCATAGGATCTAACATCGATAACCCGTGGCTAATTGTGACCTCGGGTAACTAACTCCCTTGATACCGAGTGCTGGGTATCCGAGTAGTCGGAGCTTCCAGGACCCGACACCTCGGCAACAACGCCTCGGGGAAATCAGTATACTACGTCAATGCACAGGATAGGAGCCTCCCTGGCCATGCCGAGGAGGGTTCAGCTTAAACTATCCGTACCAGGGTATGAGGAGACTTCTTAACGCATAAAGCGAAACCTTGGTTGAAATAGCGGAGAAGGCTTTAAATTAGCCTACCGGGCAGAAGTCAACACGGTGTAATACGAGCTTACCTGCGAGACTCAATATCCCATCTGAGCAACATCAACTGACTGGACGTTGCATGCGCATAGCATATGCGCAGAGGCGACTTGAGATTTTGGGAAAGGTACTAGACGTGATGATATAGAGAGGAATACGTTGCGAGCACGGATGCAGTAAGCAGTTCAGATGGATATGATCAGTCCAGCAAGTCATCTCGCATGACCCTTTTCCTATCAATAACTCTTGGGAAGTGTAAGAACTCTCTGTCCGATGTAATTCTTAATCATCTCCGCGCTTACGGGCGCAATCCTGGTAAGCACCGACTCCCGGAGATATCTCTCGACATGGTACTCCTTGGCATACCCCATGCCCCCGTGTGTCATGACAGCCCTCTCGGAGGCCTTGAAAGCTGCGTCGGCAGCCAGGAACTTTGCAGCGTTTGCGTACTCGCCATCATCGTACCCGTCGTCATACATGCGGGCGGCGAGGTAGATGATGAGCCGGGAGCTCTCAAGAGCCATCCAGCTTTCAGACAAGGGGTGCTGTATGGCCTGGTTGGCACCGATGGGACGACCGAACACCACCCTCTCGTTGGCGTAGACGCAGGCCCGGCGCAAGGCTGCAAAGCCGATCCCTAGCGCTTCTGCCGCAACAAGGATGCGCTCCGCGTTCATGCCGTGCATGACAATCTTGAAGCCGTCTCCTTCGGCTCCGATCCTGTCTTCGGCGGGCACCTCCCACCCGTCAAAGAACAGGGCATTGGTATCCACTGCCGATCGCCCGAGTTTGGGGATCTCGGTCATGTCGACAGCCTCGCGGTCCAGGTCCGTGTAGAAGAGGGAGAGTCCGTGGGTAGGCTTCTCGCACTCTTCCAGGGGAGTTGTCCTGCAGAGGAGGAGGATTTTGTCGGCCACCTGCGCGGATGAGATGAACACCTTGGAACCGGAGATGATGTAGTGGGAATCACCGTGCCGCTTCGCCACAGACTGCAGCTTCAGTGTGTCCAGTCCGGTGTTGGGCTCCGTGACACCGAAGCAGGCCCTCTCCTCGCCCTTGATGAGAGGAGGCAGAAACCTCGCCTTCTGTTCTTCCGTGCCGAATTTCGCCACAGGCTCCAGGCCAAAGATGTTCATATGGACTGACGAGGCTCCGTTCATGCCGGCACCCGACTCTGAGATGGTCTGCAGCATGACAGCTGCCTCCGATATCCCTAGCTCTGACCCGCCGTACTCGGACGGGAGACATATTCCAAGCCATCCGTTGTCTGCCATGTCGTGGTAGAGCTCCCATGGGAACTCGTGTGCGTTGTCCCTTTCCATCCAGTACTCGTCCAGGTATTTGGAGCAGATCTTGGCAACGGCTTCGCGAACCGTACGCTGTGATTCAGTCCAGCCTGGAAGATTGGTCGGGAGGTACTCAGTGGCACGGGAGTGTAGTTTCCGGCCATAGTAAGGGGGGGTCCTTGGCCGCCACAGAGGACGAGCGAGGCTCGACGGATGCTGCTTCGAGGCCGATGCCCGTATGGGGCTTGCGATGAGACGTGATCTGAGGCGCTGCATCTTTATTCAAGGAATCAAACGTCAGGTTGATTTTTCGATGACAATTTCGGCCGTCTGTTCAACCGCTTTGAATCAGAGACTTGTTTCTCTGTCTCTAGGCGAAGCAAGAGGCCAAGCACACGGTCGCGATATATTGCTTAGATGGTGGCGGATAGTCTATGGAGGCGGATATTCGTCGCCAGACGATGAATATCTTGGATATAATGGTCTCGCAGAGGGCGTCGAGGAGGTAATGCCTGTCCTGGGTGTATGCCAGTATGAGAGAATTTTCTCATTTTCCCTTTTCCCTGGAAAAGAAGGCGAAAAAAAAAGGGGAATAACGTCGATCTTCTCAAGATGAAACGATACTGTAAAGTGAATCGACAGTACCAGCAGCTGGAGTGGTTGGGCCGAGGTGCTGATAGCTTTACCGAGGGGACCATGAACCATCTAAGATCAGCCGACGATATGGTGACGTTGAGATTCCAAACTAACAAAGTAAGAGCAAGAGCTAGGAATATGTGGCGGTAGAAACCTCGGCCTGTCTTCCTTTCTGTTTATCTAGGTAGCGTACACCTATTAACCGAGGGTCCCTCCCTCCGTCTTCAAACGTGAGGTTGTTCATCATCAGATGGCACTTTTCCTCAGATTACGGCGAAATAGGGATAACTGCAGTCACTCGATAGCCTATGGTCTGCTTCTTATCCGTGCTTCTCATCGCAATGCAGATGCAAAATAGAAAAAAAAGGAGAAGAACGGCCCGAAAGTTGCAGTCGTGACAAGAGGGGTGGGCGTGAAGAGGAAAGCATTACGCATGGTGGGACCATCAAGGTGAAGCGTAGGAAGCCGAGGATGAGGAAGATCTTGAGGATGGAGGCGTACAACTGCCACCCACACACCAGCAACGACGTCGGGGAACCAGTAGGCCCACTGGCCCGAGATGGCCGTACAGTCGGCCGCGGTGAATATCCTGAGAATCCGTTTCAGCATGTTGAGAGGCATGGGGATAGGTATTGAGCATGCTGGTGTGCGACTTGCATCCTGCATGATGGCAATCCTCTGATTTCCAGCCCGAAAATCATATCAAGCGTTATCCTGGCCAGTGGATATCCCGATCCATGCTGACGAGTCTCTTGTAGACACCAGGGGCGGCACTTGTACGAGCATGTGTTGCTCCCGTACCTTGATGTGCTGCATAAAGAGAAAGTGACCCCAAGGTGTAGCTGAAGATGGGGAGCTGCCCAGGAAATTCCCTTTCTTTAAAACCGAATATCGCAGACGCCCAAGTTAGCTAGTTATACGGCTATAGTCAGTCTGTCTAGCCGTGGACTGTTCAACACAACAGTGGCAGCGCCACAAAAGGCAGCAATGAATATAGTCATCAGCAGCATTTTGTACACAACGAAGATACCCATGATATATATGCACTCCGGGTGCGTGAGCATAAGGGACCCTCATAGGAATAGAAGGGGCATATCGTTCCTGTTGCACCAGCGTGGCCAAACTCCAAGGCTGATATCCCAGCAGCGGCTGACGACTTGTCGTGGGCCTCCTGTTCTGCCACGACCTCTACAGGAGCACTTTGGCACCGCGGACGTTCTGAGCGGAAATGTCGCGTGCCAGATCCTCCAAGCGACCCTCGATCAGGTCCCGGTGCTTCTTTGCTTTGCACGCACGAGTCAAAACGGACGAGCGGGCAGCACATAGACGTCGTCGCAGACACGCTGCTATCGGCAGGGATGCGCGCCAGCACCGAGACAAAAGCGTCAAGAAGGCAGGAGAGCGCAGGTGGATAAGGTGATCTCATGTCGGCGGTAGAATCTGCATGTCCACCAGGGTCCGAGAGTACCGTTGATTCTAGGCACAGGAGCAGTGCTGACTGGTAGAGGCACGCAGAAAGGCTGTCGTCACCAACGCCACACCACTATCCGTAGCCACACATTCATCGACAATGGCTGCCAGGTTGGGCTGCCCGCAGAAGATTTTTCCCTTGAGGAGTGCGTGTTCCTCTTGAAGATCCGCCCTTGCAACATGCTCGTCCTTTTCCGGGCCACCTGGATTCTTGCACTTGCACGGCGCCGGCGGGAGCTTGATACCTTGGGGATAAGCCGAAGCATGTGCTGGAACACGGAGAAGTAGACGCGGCGAGCTCTCGATGAGTCGACGGTGACGGAGGCGCTGATATCGGAACCGGTAACCTTGAAAAGGCTGCGTCTTGAACCGTCCAGTGTGTCCCGTGGGCCCATCTCGCCATAGTCCAGGCCTCGCCGTCTCTTTCGTGAGTGCATCCCTGATCGCCCTCGGCCTCGCATGGTGGTGGATGTCGGTGCATATCCAGGTCCGTGTCGCTCTCGTACTGGTCCTCACACATGCCCAGATTCACTAGGAAGACCGTGTAAAGGTACCGCTCAAGCAGGAATCCGTAGACAGATCCCTACATCTCCCTCTCCGAATGCCGTTGCCGCCACGCCTGTCTCGGGAGTTCCCCCACCGCACGCAGGTGGTACAGAGCTGCCACCCCAGCCCCGGGCCGGAAAGTTCTTTGATAATAGCCAGCATCAGTGAGCAAGCCAGAATGGGGAGGCAGCCACCGCTGTTCCGGTGACCACTGCGCGCAAAGCGGATGATGGGTCGATGCGTGGATGTCTTGATGCTTGCTTGAAAGGAAAGGAAATCTTTCTATGAGTTGATCTACAGGTGTGAGCGTGGCAGCAGCTTCCCTTATGCTTAGTCATATACAATCTTGGGTGCTACAAGAAAAAAAAAAGAGACATGTAATGATTGTCAGGTTATGCGTCGCCCATAGGAGGCAACAACTGTGTGTTTATGGTGCTCTTCGTTCTTTTCTTCTTTTTTTTTCTGGTCAGCAGGAGTGAATAAATAGTACTTAGTCGCAAACTATCGAGTAATTGGCTATTCGAGAGATTTGGGGACCGGCCCCTACCATCATCTCCATCCGTGTAGCCTCCATGCAGAGAGGGCTGGCTACCTGTCACGATTGACTCTTCTTTTTTTTTTCTCTCTTTTTTTCCGTGATCTTTTCAAGACTATTTTATGGGGGCCATGATCGAATCACCTCCGCTCCTCCATACCAAGCAATGGCAAGTGCATGAGCCTGCGATGGTTTCCGGTGCCAATCAGTTGTAGAATATCAGTTGTAGTTGTCCGCGACTTACTATGTTTTGCACCAGTCCCACGATTGATAACTACATGTAGCCATTGTGAAGGTTCGGACACCATCGTCAGTTGACGCGGATTTCGTTCGAAAGTCGCCGCTATAGCACAGTGGTAGTGCGCATCACTAGTAATGATGAGGTCCCAGGTTCGAGTCCTGGTGGTGGCATTTCAACACGGTCGCTCCACTTCAGAAGCGACTCTCGTTTTTTTGCCCTTCTTCTCTTGAAGATGTCGTCCTGCTATTGATCTTCTCTTCCTCTTCTCTTCTTCTGCTTCTTTGTTTCTTCAAGGTGAAAGAAAATTCTACTTTTTAGGTGGTAATCAGACTCAAGCAAAATCTCATATTTCCTGCAAATATTACACAAGTCCGTCATGGTGATGCAAACGATCTTGCTCGATCGCTACTCTAAACCCGGCTAGGCTCATAATACCCCATTGCCTGTTAATTGGGAGAATGGATGAGCCCGACGGTTACGTATGAGATTCTCAAGACCGACCCGAAAGGATCGGACCTTACAGATAGGTGTCGTAATGAGGGTTAGTTGCTGAGTTTTGCAAGACGTTATACATACCCAGACAGACTGTGTGTCTGGAAAAAGAGACCCATCCTCCAATCTCATATATTTCTCTCTTTTTTTTCCTGCTCCTTCAAACATCATGGGTGCCGAGAACCGAATCACCAAGGTGGCCATTGTAGGTGTAGGTTGAACTCTTACAAACTCGACCCCCCAAAAAGCTTCAGGAACGCATCCGCAGAAAGAGGCCCAGATCCCGATTCCCTTTTTTCAACACCACTCATGTACTGACACACGTGCAGGCCGGCGGTAGATGTGGACGCTACGTGACTGAGGCTCTCCTCGAGAACGGAAAGCACACCGTCACGGCCATCACACGAACAGACAGCACGAGCGGATTCCCCGATGGCGTCACCGTGACAAAGGTCGACTTTGCCGATCCCCTCACTCTCACTGCTTCCCTGAAAGGCCAAGACGCCTTGGTCATGACGCTCAGTCTGTCCTCGCCGCTGGAGACGGAGGCGCAGCTCATCCGGGCGGCGGCCGATGCGGGCGTGCCTTGGGTGCTCCCCAACGACTGGTCCCCTGATACTGATGACGAGGCACTTGTCAAGGACATTTCCGTCCTTCAGCCTCGAGGTAGGCAAGCTTCTCTTCTCGTCGCTCCCTTTTTCTTCTTCTTCTTCTTCTTCTTCTTCTTCTTCTTTTTGATCCCTTCACTTTCCTGAAGAGATATCCTTGAATACTGATACAAGTGCAGCGGAGGCACGGAAATTGATATCGAGACTCGGCAAGAGCTCGTACATCTCCGTGTCGACCAGCTTCTGGTACGAGTGGAGTCTGTCCATACCCGAAGCTTTCGGCATCGACATCAAAAACCGATCTGTTACCTACTTCGACCGAGGCGAGACCAGGATTTCCACCTCGACATGGCCGCAGGTACGTCACGCCCTCGTTGAGACCTCTGCCTCTGATCCTCACCGACTTGAAATCTCACATGTCCAGGTTGGACGCACCGTTGCTGCGCTCCTGAGCCTTCCTGTCGAGTCTGGAATGTTCAGCTCAGAGGTGTCCTTGGGCAAGTTCCGCAACAAGGTGGTCCATGTCAACTCCTTCACGCTCAGCCAAAAGGACATGTTCGAATCCGTGCTCCGTGTGACTGGCACTGACACCAAGGAGTGGACCGTGAAACACGAGCATTCAAAGGACAGATACGATGAAGGGTTGAAGGCAGACAGCGTCGTGAAGCTTCTGTATAGCAGGGTCTTCTATCCAGACGGGTCCGGAGATGTTGAGAATAGCAAGGGGACGATCAACGGTCTTCTTGGTCTGCCAACGGAGGACGTCGATGATGCGACAAGACGGGCGATGGAAAGGCTGGACAGCCCTGTGGTCTCGCCTCCCGTCTGAGCGAAATCCCGTCGTCAGCTCCTTCCTGGATGCAAACATGTCGCTACATGTGCAATTGAGAATGCGTCCGTCTCATGATATTATTCTCATCGCTGCTGAGGATTTCATTCGGCCTCGACAGGGGCAGGTCTGCGGTCAACATACCGTGATGCACGCTCCTAAATCTCGCTAGGGAGGCGCGTAGATATCTTGATGGCAAGGTCCCATCCCAGCAGCAGCTGGATGGCACGATCTCCGCAGGCCGGCTGGCTTATCAACGGAAACGGATCTACATTGGAGAGAGAGGGAGAGGGAGGGAGAGAGATAGGTAATGCACGTGACGGTGTCGGCACCTTGTCTCGATGGCGGAATCTATATCCGGTTCAGAGGTGCCAGCGTGACAAGTCTGCCGTCTTCGCCCGCTATATGCTGTGCGACGGCAAACTTCATCTTCACTGGGCGCGTGCTGACGGTCGCCTTGTTGGCTGCACGGCCGCACTCGCACTCCCTTCTAGCTGATCATCTGGTTCTCCAAGGCCTTGCGGCTTGTCGGGCCGAGAGAGCACCGTAGCCGAATCTGTAGGCTTCACCTTCGTTCTGCCCCGTGACGAGTCTGTTAGCATCATGATGACCCGAGGGCAGAATTTCTGGACAGAGGAATCAACGAGAGATTTCCACACCTCCATTGGCAGTATTGTTCAGCGCAATCGCATCCTATCTGATCCGAGGATATACAGCCACAGTGACGACCCAAGTAGCGGTCATACTCTATCATTCCAAGATGAATTCAGGATGGCCAACAACCTTGCCATCCTGGCTCGGTGGAGCGACTACGACGGTACCATATCAGCAGTCACCGTACAGGAACAAGATGGCCACCTAGTCGTCAGGGTCTCGAGCAACTCGGAGCCTAAGAAGACTATCCTAACTGGCCTCAAAGACTTGATGGACATCGTCTCCAAGGTCTCCGCCGACAGTCTGTCAACCCAACTGTTCAAAAACAGCGTATCCAAGAATAGAATTGACATCAAAACTAAAACTAAAAGAATCTTGGACTGATGGGGTAATTCAGGAAAACATCCCGTCGAGAGCAGTCTGCTCCTATCGTCGAAAATCCTCCAGCTCGGCCAGGAACGTATTCTTGACCGTATCAAGCCGCCGTGGAGAAGACAGAGAAAGAACGCTCAGCCATCCCTCAAAGATCGTTTGGTGAAGAGGTTTGGTCGTTCGTGTCAAGCAATGTCGGTTCCCGAAGAGTTCCGTTCCCACTTTCAAGAGCTGGTCGAAGTCTTGGGGTCGCTGGACAGAAAGCCCGGGATGGGGGGTATGGAACTGTTTCTCGAGCATGTCGTCACCCGGTGCGCCGGCCTTGCAGAGATTGGGGGCAGACGTTCCTTGGAAGTCAATCTGCAGCATCTTGGGCTTCCGCCGGAGGTCTGCCAGTCCGGGGAGGTCCGCCAAGTGGACAAGCTGGCGCGGTACCGCTACATGTGCAGGGACTTTGTGAGGCTTTCCCGGAACAAGGCCTACCGTCTCCTGCTACGCAGCATCGATGTCGTGCCGCTGGAGGCCTACGAGCGCGTCCGGCGACCTCACACCCAATGTGCCGTCCACGCCGAGATGCAGCAGCTTCTCTACTATGAGAAGAACCCACCCGTCCCATCCGTGCGGGCGATCGGGTGCTGCAAGCTGGCCTGCTATCTCTGTGACTTGGTCATTCACGAACATGGCAGGTATCGCATAGCTGGTGCCCACGGTCGCATATATGAAAAGTGGACACTCCCCGACGTCGACTGGATGACTCCGGCTCAGGCGACCGACTTTCAACTCATCATTCGCAAGATGACGTTGCACTTGAGGGCGCAGCTTTCCTCGAGGGGGCCTCCGCGGATTTACCCATGTGAGAGTGTAGCCGGAGTGCGTTCATCGACAGCATCCCCGATAACGACGGCGACGACGAAAGCGTCAACGGCATCATCAACGACGGCGAGTGAGGCAACGATTACCGGGCCGTCGCCTCAGGCTAGAGCGGACCGTCGTCAGGTCGCGGCGCTTCCCATCGTCGTATCCAGCGCCGATCTTCCCTTTGCGACGGAGGTCAGCATCGGAAAGGCTCCCATCCACCTCGAGATAGATCGGCTACGCCTCCTGTTCGAGTTTGAGCCGGCATCTACAGGGTCGCTGGCTATACGTCGAGCAGAGGCGTCGTCTGCCCTGCTGACGGGCGATGGTCTGCCTCTCTCTTTCGAAGCCTCTTCCATTCCATCGGACGAGGAGGTCAAGGTCGCTGCAGACTCAGAGACCAAGACGGCGACATTCTATATCCGGCGAGGACCGGGTACCTGCATCGAGCTCAGCTTTCATTGGGGAGACGTCGAGTGAATACGAACTGTCTGTCTGTAGGGGTCGAATGCCAGATGTGGTCTGAGAGATGATGAGAAATAAGACAGAATAAAAAGATGAACTATGGTCTCTCAATTGTAAAGGGTATATATACTCACTGCCCAAGGAAACAAGGGCTTTCCAACTAACTCCGTACTCCCGCTGCAGGTGAAATACAGAAAGTAAACTCAGAAAGACAAAGGAGAGGGAAAAAAAAGTAAAGTACAGAGAAGAGGACAGAGAAAAGATGCAGAGCCCATCAGGTCGGTCCGCACAGTCCGGCATCACTCAAAGGCTACGCAGCATCACCGCTCAACCTGGCCGAAAAGTTGCGGAACGAGCCGGCACTGTGTGTGGGCGAATGCAGACGACCGCGCTGAGATGGGGGCGTGTCAGCAGCACCACCGTCGACGGGCTGCAGCTCATACGACTCCGTCACGGCCTCGGTCTCGGTGCTCCGCGCTCCGGTGTCGACGGGCGACGCAGCCCCGATGGCGAGCCCGATGCTCCGACGGGGCGACGCGGGCGGGTCCTGGTGGCTCGTGGTGGGCGCAGGCTGCGGCACGGGCGGGCTGTCGCGGTAGCCGCCGAGGACGGGCCAGCTGTGCATGGGGTGGTGCTGCTGCTGGTCGGAGGCGCTGACGGGGCTGGTGTACTGGGACGAGTAAGGGGAGAAGTAGCGCGGGAACTGCTGATCGGAGAAGGCGCTCTGGGGCGAGTCGTCCCAGGTGCGCAGGGGCCTCTGGCTGAGCGGGGTGTCGGAGCTCATGTCCTTCATGCCCTGGATCTGGAGGGGCGAGGGCCAGCCCTTGCCGCGCGGGTTCTTGGAGACGGCCGAGGTGGACAGCGACTTGTTGTAGTTCTCTAGGAAGGTGCGGCGGCGACGCTTGCCGCGCCACACGATGAAGCAGCCGGCCAGCACGAGGCTGACGACGATGCCGGCGGCCACGATGCCGGCGATGGCGCCCGACGTTATGGGCCCCTGGTCGAACCAGGACGGGTCGACGCTGACCTGGGGCGTGGGAGAGGCGACGGTCACGTTGGTGTCGGAGAAGATGTTGCCGTGCAGGGCGACGGAGACGCCGGGGACGGGCTTCTGCTCGCATCCTGCCTGCAGGGCGGTGATGACTGCTCTCCGCCGTCAGCGGGACGAGGGTGGGTGGAGAGGGGAGAGGAGAGAAGAAGAGGAGGAGGGGGGGGGGGGGGGGGGGGATGCGGACTGACAGTTTGACAGGAAGGGCTTCTCGTACGTGTCCAGACAGGCCTTGCACTGGTTGAAGTTGTCGAATTCGTCCGCGGGCCACACGTCGCAGTACTCGTACGGTCCGACGTCGGTGGAGAGGTTCTTGTAGACGGTTCCGGGGCGGAAGTCGCCGCATGACGTCCTGCGCGTGTACGGTGTTAGCGGCCAGCACCTTGCTTCTGTGAAATCATGCTCGCTCTCGTCCTCTTACCTGGTCAGACAGGGATTGTCCTGAAGTACATCGTCAGAGGAGATGCCGAAGAAGCAGTGCGACAAGGTGTAGCGGAGGTTATCTGCAGATCTGGATGTCAGCAAACAAAAAGTCCAATATATCAGGCGGAGAGGGAAAGAAAAGAAAGAAGGAATTCATAATAATAAAAATCAAATAATAAAAAGAGAATCAGAGAAAAATGAAGACAAGTGAAGAAGAAGAAGAGCATACACAGAGCAGCTCCCATGTCGGTGTCATTTTCGTTCCGGTAATAGTTGCTCGTCATCTCGCAATCGGCGCACTGCTTGAACAGCTGTCCGGTCGTGTTGGTCGCGTAGTCCCCGTCCGAGCAGACGATGTCGGACGTGGTGGTGGCGTCCAGGACGTTTCCGCACGAGTTCGAGCATGGCGATCCGTCTGCCACGACGATGGCGGCGACGGGGCCGGTGCAGACCAGCGTCAGGCCGGCGACGAGGCTCAATGATCGCATAGTTTATATATATATATATATATATGTGTGTGTGTGTGTGTGTGTGGTGTGTGTGTGTGGTGTGTGTGTGTGTATGTGTGCTGTGTTTTCTGTAATATATAGAATATCAATGTCGTTGTAGAGGTCTGGTTTTCAACGAGAGAGAAAGAGAGTTGCACAGCTGCGCTTCATGTCTTGATGGGGAGCAGAAATAACAGGCAGGATCGGATGCACGCGACAGTCGAGGGCAGCCAAGGTGAATAATATGTACGCGGATATCTGAAAGATGCATGTGGTGATGTTTTGTCGCCGTTTTGGCGCCAGAAGCGACGTGATGAGAAAGGAGACAAAAAGGATGCCGTGTGACAGAATGGCGATATGCAGGTAGAATACAACGTACGACCAACAGACTTGTGCGGTCGGGAAAAATATGTCTGGGTATCTGTGTGCACGGTAAGGAGGGAAGAAGGGGGCGGGGGGTGCTGAGAGAAGGTGACGACGATGCTGAGAGAGGCCTTCCCCCCCCCCCCCTCACCGGAGCTTGCCTTATTACTACACACACACGCACACGCACACACATCGTAACACGCGCACACAAGCTCAAGAAGGGACCTAAGCCCGTCATGTCCATCTATTGGATGTTCGGACGTGTTCCCTCGACCCCTGTCATCAATAGGCCTCTTGGAAGCGGCCTGCTGCCGCCGTGGAGGGGCCCGCCACAGGGTCGCAACCACCCAACGTCTTGCGAGGCCAGCCATTCACATCTTGTCGACGGGTTTTGTGGTGACTACGGGTTCTCCACCCTGATTATCTACAGAGATCCCCCCTCCATCGGGAAGCCCATACTTTGGCTGAGTCCGAGCTCTCGATTTCACCCTCCCATCAAGAATAGAATCCATGGTAGAGATTTGACATGGAGAGGATGAGCGTAATTGTGGAAGAAGAAGAGGAACATCCTGACAAGTAGAAGGGGAATAATTAAAGGAACCGTAAGAGTTTATCAGTAGGAGAAGCACAGGTTGCCATCACAGAAAACGCAAGAGTTCCTTTCCTGTCCAGCGCTCATGACAAGGGTCATCAACACCCCTGTCAACGACCCGCACCTCTCTTCCCTCCCGCGCCGGGCCCCCCTCCCCGATTCCTAACCAACTGCGTGACATGATTTTGTCCCCGTCACGTCCAATCGGCGGCCCCATCACCCATAAACCTTAGCTTTCCCCGGCCTAACGCTCGTACGAGAGAGAGTCCATAGCCAGTCAATGCAGTGTCCGATGTGTGATATTGGATAGGGGGTTGGGGATGAGCGGATACAGGGGGGACGGCGTACTCGTAGAGAGGGCTGGACATGGCAAATGAGTGTGTTCCGCGTGGGTAGGTGATACATTTGATGTCTATGCTACGCCGTCAAAGGCTCCAATGATGTTGTATCGGCCCCTTCTCATTGTGATCAGAGTCAAGTTGGAGTGCGACCGAGACATGAAAGAAAAAACCGAGGACGAGGAAGTAAATACTCGTAAAGATAAGGGGGGGGAAGACAGCGATTCTGTCTCGCGCTGTGATTATCTTTTCGTTTTTCGAAAGAGTTATTACGGGGGATTAAACCCCAGACAGAATATGTCAGTTTCATTTCAGCCATATCCTTCAATTCGTTCAGTTCATGATGGCCTCGCTCAGTTCATGGCCAGTCTAACAAGTTCCGTCCATCCCAACCATCACCTTATTTTCGAATACAATCCAGTCAACGTGCCAAGGAAAGAATCAAAGAAGATACGTGGTCTATTATATGGCTCTAATGTCTACCCATGTTCCCGCAGTTAATTACTTCCTGCGCACACAACAACAACAACAACAACAACAACAGAGGAAAGAAGGGAGGAAGAGATGAATATATGAAAACAAAGAATGAAAAGAAATAATGGCAGCGGTAAACACACATATATAATCATCACAAGCATGCTCAGCAGTGAGCATGGAACTTCCGCGTTTGTCTCCGCCTGAGAGCTGTGAACCAGAATCAAGAGAACAGCTGATCGCGTTTTTCATATCCCCACCGTCAATTCTCTTTCCAGAGTTCACCTTGCTCTGGAGAAATCGTCGGAGTCGATGACAGCTCCCATTTCGAAAACATTATCATCACGACCAAATGGCTGTCTACCTCACTCACCACAGAACGCCTCGGCGTCCAGATCAAGGCCCAACTGAAACGGCGTCCTTTGGAGTATCATCCTCCCCTTTATTGCCCTCCTTTCTCCCCGTGCCACCCGTGTCACGGTAGACAAACTTAGCGTGCGGGGGCTGATCGGTATCGGCGACAAGGAGTTCCTGGTCACCGCGCCCTAGGAGCCCATACACCTTGACCTGGCCGTCAAGGATGCCGATGACAGCACTCGTCCCCGCATACGTGGCCGCGCCCTCGGTTCCGGCCCTGTTGCAGAAGACGACGATGATCTCGTCGTGGTTGTTGGAGCGCAGCAGAGGCTCGAGGCGCGTGATCCAGTACGTGAATGTTGCCATGTCCGGCTCGTCGGAGGCGGTGGTAAAGCTCTCCTGGCTCTCTCTCGTCATCCAGGCCATGGTGAGGATGACGAGGTTCGAGCGCGCCTCGAGGATGTGGAAGCCGAATTCGAATGCGTTCCAGGGAGCTTCGAATTTGTAAGGGCTGGACAATAATCGTATTAGCAGCGATATCAATGGCTTAGGTGGGAAAGTCTCTGGCAGTGGAAACATACTTGAGGTCCATGCCTATTGGAAAGGGATGTCGGGTCAGTTGGTAATACCAGTTTGTGAGGACGGTAGACGGGGTCTTCACCCACATATCCCCATTGAAGTGTTTCCCAATCCAGGGATGAATCCCTCGAAGAAACCCTGGTTGCCCTCGAGAGCCCACGACTCGTCCGTGTAGTAGAGAAACGACTTGCGATAGTTGACAATGAATTCGCCATCCCGGTCGGCCACAATGGCCGAGTTGTAATACTCCGGGTCGGCGGGCCATTTGTACGACACGTCAACCTTCTCGGGATATCCAACAGCGACGATGCAGTCGTACTTGAGGGCCATGTTGCGAGCCCATGCTGACGAAATGCCGGTTTCGGAGAATTCGAGAAACGGCATGATATCCTTTAACGACTTGAAGTTGTAGCCTGAGCGAGAATGACGGTATGCAGCGTTTAGTACATGTGTCCAATCAATATCTTTGCTATCGGTATCGTGTCTCGGGAGGATGGCCGGATATGGTCAAAATCGAAAGAAGAAAAAAAAGAAAAAAAGAAAAAAGAAGAGAAAAAGAGACCGCGCAGTAGCGCAGGACATACCTGAGAAAGCCAACTCTGGTAGTACGAGGAGGTCTAGATCGCCTGGGTTCTCGCGTAACAGGATGGTGTCGGCGAGATTCAGGTTACCTTCTATGTCTCCCACGTGGGGAGCGAACTGCAGACATCCAATCCGCATCGTTGTCGGCCCGGGAACTTGAAGTGCTCGACTCTCGATCTAGTGCTGGATGCTGCTCGAGGGAGGCAACGGAAGCCAGATTTTCTCGGTTACCTCCTAGACAGGGAAAGGAGCTTTTTGGAAGGGTGAAGTTCTTCGGGGGGAGGGGAGAAATGCCTTCTTCCTGCCCAACAAACGCAGCCTAAGCAAAGTGAGATTCTGTCAACGCGTAGATGTTACGAGGTGGAAAGATTGAAAGCTGGTAGGTGGAGGAGGCTGAAGACCCCGCATACTACATGTATGTACATACATAATAAATACTCGGTATATGCAAAAAACGGCTGTTCAGTGTCTGTCGAGAGCCACAGGGGCAAAGGACCTTTAAAGGGTAGTATTACGTATATTAAAGGCTAGCACATCACTAAAGCAGTCATCGGTAGCTTTAGGCCGTGGAGGGGGGAATATAAAAGGTTGATTTCTATAATAAGAACAACTTGATAAGAAAGGAAAAAAGAACAGCTGAACTTTTCTTAAATGGTAACAGGCCTAGAAACACACATGATGTATCCAGGATGGGTCACAGGGTATTTGATTTGTACGCACCGACGATATTACATATTACAGCATGAAACATGAACGTAATAAAGCGCCCGACTTGGACCGACTCATTTCGTGCAATTTACACGCCATCGAAAGACAAAGGCATTCTTCATCCCAGATTGGAGATGAGAATTAGCGTCGCCAACATGGAAAAAGACATGATGGACTTGCCAGCGCTCTTCTTCCAACCCGGAAACGAAAGGGTGACGAAGACAAAGAGGAGTTGCCTTCATGGGAGTGAAACTCCCAAAAGGACAGCCTAATGCAGCACCAACCATTTTTAGATGACTATGACGAAAGAAAGACAGACAGGAACGGGAACTATCCTAGACTCTAGTCATCGATCTTTGCAGAAGGTTTGGAGCAGGCTGACTGGCCAAACTGACGTATTACTGCATACAGCGTCTAAGCGCCGCGCGATGTCGTGGCCCCGCCAGAGGACAGACAGGATTCAGGGAACCCTCGACGTTTTGTGGGGAGGGGAGAGCTGCTTATTTATGATATACGGGTATCGTCACTCCAGTACGAGCATAATGCCATACAAGTAGACTATCCGCGGAGTAATAATACGCGCTTGCAACTGCCATGGTGCTAGCAAAGATCCTGCCTCGACAGGTACTCCGTGAATTACCCCCCAGATGCATGTGCCGTTTTCCATGTTGATTGGGTAGCTGACGCTCTGCCTAGCCCTCCAAGGTCATCATTGCTGGTGCTATTTTAGGATCATGAAACATCTGATACACATTTACCCGCCCAAGGCCGGTATGCGGCCGCCGCCTTTCCTAATGTCTTATCTTGCCCTATGAGCACCCGGAACGGCTGAGAAATGATCCTTCATGATGTTGTTTTACGTCGCCGGTGATCCATCATGGTTGGCGCCTCCCCATATCCTGCGGATGGTGCCGATTATAGACGTACACTCGCGGTAGTTGAGCCTATTACTTACCCACTACACCGGTGTACTATATCATCCTTCCCCGCCATGTCATTTTCGGAGCTCTTCCCTTTGTCCTTCTTGTTTTTCTTCCTGTCCACTGCCTGGCATTGCATGAATTCAAAGGTCTCTTCCAGACCCTTCTTTGTCCGTCGCCATCGATCCTCAGACAGCCACTCAGAGCGACAGACTGGCCTGCTATGAACGAGTCTGTGGGGAATTATAGCACACCCGCTCCCCTCCTCTTTTTACTTTCGAAGAGAAGTCTTTGATCCTTGGACACGACCTGGTACATCTCCACCGCAAGATTCAAGACATAAGATGAAGGAACCTATATTTCTCCTGGCAGCAGCCCTACTGTCTACTGCCCATGGACTCCTGGCGACATCCGGCTCCAGTTGCGAGGCTCTGTGCCGAGACGGGGCCAGCGCATCCACCACTAATACCTCGGAGATTGTCTGCGAGGACAAGAAGTTCTCGAACACGGAGCAAGGCTTAAAGTTTAAGAACTGTATCAGCTGCCTCCAAGACAGCAAGGAATCGTCCGGTTCCTACGCCGACGTCTACGCCTATCTGTGTAAGTGGGGATGCTGCCAATTTATCCACCCGAGCCTGACAACACCTAACACCCAATGCTGGTATAGACAACCTACGATACGCCTTCGATGTCTGCCTGTACTCCTACCCAGCCATTTCACCGGGGGGCTTCCTCAACACGCCGTGCAACATTGACAGCACGTGCGGCGACCTGGAGAAGGGTCTCAGGACGTCCCTGGACCCACAGACCGAGAATCAATACGACTACTGTGAGGAAGACGGCGGCCTGGCAAACAATGGCTCATATACCAACTGCCTGCAGTGCCTCAGAGCCACACCCAACCAGCAGTACTTTTCAAACTGTGAGCCTCATCTCGCCGTTTCCTGTCTCGTCGGGAGCATGGTAGCACGAAACTAACATTGAACCTCCGTGGCGCAGTCCTCGTCGCCCTCAAGGCGGGATGCGAGCAGAAGCCCATAGCCGGAAATCTAACCAGCACAAGTGGCGACCTCTTCTCGACGGAGTGGAATACAATCCTTGACCCAGCAGATGACGTGCGCAACAAGCCCAAGGGCGCCGGCTCGAGCACCCTGACCACCGGCGCTATAGTCGGCATCGTTGCCGGCATCGTGCTTGCCATCATCGGCGTGGGTACCGTCGTTTTCATGCGGTGTCGTCGCCGCCGCAACGCCAACCGTGAGAAGATTGAGACGCCGTCGCCCCTGACCCCGGGCGGTCCGGGCTATATCACCAACTCTCGTAATGCTGGCGCTGGTGCTGGTGCTGGCGGCGGCCGCAACAGCAGTGTCAAAATGTCCGAGTCAATGTCCTCCTACCGGACTCGTCAGCAGATGGGACACAAGAGAGCCCACACGACAGACAGCCCATTCTACCGGCGCGACGATGACGGCGGCCTCGGCCTGGGCTACCAGCAGGATTCCAGGAAACCCAGAGGCCTGCAACGGCATCAAGCCCTCCTGGCCTACGCACCTCGCGCCAGGGATCAGCAACAGCAGCAGCCCCCGATGCCGTCTGGAAGCATATCCTACCCTCTCCGCGCATATGATCCTTCCTCCTCCTCCAATAATTCCCTGGACTCGTCGCATAGACTAGCCTTGTCCGACGACACGAGGCCGCTGGTGACTCATCATGCCCGCTCCTTCAGCCAGCCCGCTCCGCCCGCCATCGTAATCACAGCTGCTACCCTCCCGATACCGCCGCCTCCACCGCCGCCAAAATCCAAGTCCAGGATACCCGCTCTCATCATGCCCTCACTTTCTAGGGCAAAGGGCCCTAAAACGTACACGCCACCTACTAGAGGCACGGCGACCATGCCAAATATGCCGCGCGAGCCAGATGCTGATATCTCGGTGCCGCACATGGACCTGCGGGGCTCGCGGTCATAGTGCGGTATGGCTGGCTTGCGGTTGGTAATGATTCTTTTGTTTTATAATGTGTGCATGGTTTGGGCTTGGCGTTCATAGGCCACTTTTGTGTATATATATAATATATCTTCGTCTCTTCCCCGATGGGGGAGGGACTTCGACCTTGATTCCGTCCTTGGTTTCTAAACACGAGGTATTAATGCATTTTGGAGAGTGCTTAGTAGTAGCAAAAATTATCATTTTCATTGATATATAATCGTACACAGCAACCATCTACTCGTATTCATCAGCCCAGGCGACGGCCAGGCCCTCTTGAGCGCCACGAAGCGGGCAGCGGCCCTGAAAAAGCCCCAGTGGCCTGCCCAGTCGACCGGGCTGCTGACTCGCCAGAGACAGCTCTCGACGCTACGCCTCCGATAGTCTCGCTAGCTCCACGAACGCTATCGACCACCTTGGTGAGGAAGGGAGGGGTGGGGAGGAGGCTCTTCCCTGTGCCGCCGAACTGGGGCCATATATTGGTGAGGAAATTGAATAGGTGGGCGGCCAGGAGACCCTGTACCTGGAGAAGCATGGTCATAGCAGCGCCGGGGAAGACGAGATTGATGAGGATCATGCAGTAGGGCGTCAACTGCGCAGGGATGGAGATAAAGTAGAAGTTGGTCTTCATGCCCCTTTGGTCCTGAGTGGCAGTGTAGCACAAGGCCACGACGAGGGCGGGCAGAAACATTACAAACGGGAGACTAAATATGTAGTTGATTGTCTATTCTCCAGTTAGTCTCTCGTCAGACCTCACGTAAAGGTGGGATACAAAAAGAACAAGAGCAAATGTAAAGAGAGGAAAGAATATGTGTTAGAATGTAGGGAGAAGCTTTGAGACCAGTACGGCATCGACTATCGCACGGGACATATACTTCTCCCACCATGCCTACACACCAGTCCAACCCTGGATTGCGAATGATGGGCGGCCTGGCATGCAGGGGTGATCTTCCTCATTTTCAGGAACCGTGATAGCAGTAGAGGCACGAGCACTATCCGGGCAGATATAAGAGGGGTTTGGGAGGGGGGCAGACAACACGAAAAAGCAGATATAGCAAAGGAAGGAAAGGAGCAGAGAAGGAGCACGACAGCCTTGTGGGTAACTTACCACGATGACGCCGCTGACAAACATGAGGTACCAGACAAAGTCCTCCTTGCGGGGAAACCTTGGGTTTCCAACCTCGAGCTGGCTGAGATACTGGTAGAGAAAGTATGAGTCAAACAGCAGGCCCATATTAGGACCAGTGATGAGAAAGGCCGTCACGAAGCGCCATATCTCCGGTGGAAATTTGAATATATAGTACGGCGCGAAGATGAACGGACCACCCGAGACGACGCCCATGTAGATAGCGATGGAGAGGGTAAAAGCAGCAGTAGCCAGGGACCTAATGGACATCGAGAGTTAGCAAACTCACGTTTTTTTTTCAATCAGAGGGAGGAGAGAAGCAACACACCTTGAGATGGGAGGCGCCCGAAAGTAGGCATCCATGATGCTTCCTTCAGCAGACATGGCTGCTGGCCTTTCCTACGAAGAAGAACAGGAAAAAGAGAGAAATGCTGCAACGACGCTTGTCGAGGAAAAAAAAAGGCTTGAAATTGAAAAAGCAGAGAGTCAATGCCAACGGAGATGGCTGTGCAGTTGCAGTGTTTTTAAGATGTGGAGGCACCAGCAGCAAGCGGCAGCGTGGGTGTGTTCATTGCCGGTGCTGGTGTCGTGTCATCTTGTGGCTTTTTCTTTTTCTGCAAGGAACGAAAAGAAATTGTTCGAGCAGTTTCCACAAGATTTTTGAAGGTCCCAGCAGGATTATGTAATTATCGAGGAGCATAAGGTGGAGAGGATATGCATGTAAGGAGGTCACCTGTGATTGGACAAAGGGGGAATCCGTTACGGTGCCCCACTGCCCGTTGCTCGCCTCTCATCTCATCAGGCGGGACGGATCCTTTTGATCCGGGCTGGGCAGACGGTCGCCGAAGCTCCAATCTATGGGGGTCCGTTACATCATCATCAGCCTTGGACCTTGGCTTGTCTCTTCTTCCTTCCCCCGAGGCCTTCTTTTTCATGGCGGATATTGGGTGTGAGATAGAATCATAATCCCCTGAAGAACCGGTAAGTTTATACTGATGAGTAATATGATACTACTACACTATTTCTACACGACTCATCCCCCCCCTCTTCATGTACCCGTCTGCTCATCTCGCATATCCTCACGCGACACGCCAACGCAAAGGCAGAGCTAACTATCGGCATGGATAGTCAACATGCGCTCCCATGACGTGTTAAAGACGGATGAGGCCAACGATGCTGCCTGGGAGGCCGCCAAGGGAGCTGTCGTCGGTGCCGCCAAATGGGGAATGGGCACGGCCATTCTTGGAGCAATCGGATTCGCCTGGTCGCCCGTCTACCGGGGAACGACGGTCCAGTTCAAGGTGTAGGTCTACTTTAGCCCGTACTTGGTAGCGGCGATGCCCCGGTGTGGAACGTCTCTCACATCTCAAGTCCAGGTACCTGCAAATGTCGGGCATGGTGTTTGGTGGTATGATCCATGCCGATGCGCAGTTGAGAGAGTATGAGGCGAGGATGAGGATGCAGAGGAGGCTCATACGCGAAAAGGCCAAGTGGGAGAGGTACGAGGAGGAAGTGAGCAGCAATGTCAATCAGAAATGATCAGTCGGAAGTAAGCCGTGCAGGATGTTGCGAAAGGAGTTCCCCATGTACACCTTCCTCTGAAGCCTCTGCTCTTCTTCGCCCTGTGTGTCTGTTCTCTACATACGTAAAAGATGCAATCAAACAAACTCCAACGCCGGAACCTATGCCCATCAAGTTTTCCTGCCGTCCCACCGCTCTTTATGCCGCTGCCTGGAACTTCTTGGGATCCATGTTGATCTTACACAGCCTAGCAACACACCCGCTCAGCTGCAATAGTGTCTGGACACCCTCGAGGATCTTCATGTGTGTGAAGCCAATCTCCTTGATAAACTCCAGCTTAGCGTGCTCGCCGAGGCTGGGGATGGTCTTGGTCACCTTGAACATGGTGCTGATGATGTCGTGGCTCGAGTATCCCAGAGTCCAGAGCTCGCGGAGGGTATCCAGGGCTGAGTCGACGTTGCCCTCGTAGCAGGATTTAAGCATGGCCTGCACCTTGATGGGGTGGGGCGAGTCGACCACCTTGAAGACGTTGTCGCCCGACACGAAGCCGAACCCCGCCCAGGTAGACTGCAGGTTGTTGATGGCCTGGCGCATGTCGCCCTCTGCGCTGAAGACCAGCGCGGCCAGTCCGTCGTCGCTGTACTCGACCTTCTCCGCCTCGATGATCTGCATCAGACGCTTGACCACCTGGGCGTCCGACAGCTTCCCGTATCTCAGGATGGCGCATCGCGACTGCAGCGGCTCGATGATCTTGTTGGACTGGTTGCATGCAAAAGCGAAGCGGGTAGTGTTGGAGTAGATCTCCATCGTGCGGCGCAGGGCCTGCTGCGCGCCCGACGTCATGCTGTCGGCCTCGTCGAGGATGATGAGCTTGTGTCTCCCCGCGGGGAGCGTCACCTTTTTCTGGGCGAATCCCTTGATACGATTCCTCACCACATCGATGCCTATGTCTTGTATCAGTGCGCAGTCGAGGCAACCCGGGGTCCGGCCGTCAACCCACCTCGCTCGTCACTGGCGTTGAGCTCCAGTACAGCCTCCTTGTAACAGTCTCCCAGCAGCTGTCGTGCCAGACACAGCACGCTCGTCGTCTTTCCAATACCAGGCATGCCGGAGATGATGACGTGGGGCATGTTTCCTTCCCTCGCAATGATCTTTAGTCGCTCAATCGTCTCTGTGTTTCCGACGACGTCGTCCAGGAATACAGGTCGGTACTTTTCCACCCTGAAGCACCATCCAACAGATCGTTAGCAAGCTGCGTCTGCTCCTGTCCGATGTTTGGAGGTCAAGGTGCACGTACCATGGCAGTTCATAGTTTGGCGAGTCGTGTGCGGCGGCAGCAGCCTTGGAAGCGGCCGTCGACGATTCTCCCTTCTCTTCGGTTCGTGCGGCGGGCATCGTGTAGGCGGTTTGGCGGTTTGGATGAGGGTGGGTGTGCAGATAGGCAAAGTGGTGATGGTGGTGATGGTGGTGTTGCACTTAACGCGCCTCGTCGCCGAAAGACGCGTCCAGCTCTAGAGTCTGCTCGTATCCGTGCCTGTAGCCTGTAGGCGTGACTAGCACTCTCCCACCAGCTATTACAGAGCGTCCACCCACTGGCAGTAGGAGAAGTGGGGCAGGTAATCGACCGCCAGCCGTCCCTCGCATGCCAATCACACCGCCTTCCCTCTTTGAAAAAAGAGAAGTAGCGATGGGCAGAAATCACCCCGGTGTCATCAACTTTTTTTGTCCCGCCGCAATTGTAGCATTTGGAAGGCAGAATATTGCTGTTGATTTCTTCATCCAGCATTCTACACCACCGAGAACAAACAAAACAAAACAAAATCTCGACTCCATAAACATTATCCCCGTACGGAAAATATCGTCTTTTCATCTAGAGACTGATACACGGCATTTTCGGCATCGCCAAAGACCCCCGTCTGCGATTGAGCGACCGGCATAAATTTCCTTTCAAAAGCAACCCACGAGACACATCAACCGAATTTTGACGCCATGGGTGTCGCCAAGAAGACGAGAAAATTCGGTCAGGTATGATATCTGCCTGATCCTTGCGCGCGGTTCCAACAACATTTCTGACTCTTAGACCACAGGTCAAGCGAGTCATTGGCCGTCGCGACGATCGCCTCAAAGCCAACAAGGAAAAGGCCGAGGCCGCTCTGGCCAAGGAAAGGAGCAAGAAGACGACAGTGGCAGGAGAGTTGATCCGCGAGGCGCCTCAGATGCCCAGTCACATGTTCTTCCAGTCCAACCAAGCCCTCGTGCCTCCCTACAATGTCCTCGTGGACACCAATTTCAGTATGTTCCCAGTAGAGGAATACTCTATATATATATATACATATATATATATATATATATACACATATATACAGTTACTGACAGCTTTTCCTTCCCCATCTGCAGTATCCCACTCTGTCCAGCGCAAGGTCGACCTCCTCGACGGAATGATGGACTGCCTCTACGCCAAGTGCAACCCCATCATCACATCGTGCGTCATGGCCGAGCTCGAGAAGCTGGGCCCCAAATACCGCCTCGCCCTCCGCGTAGCCCGTGACGAGCGCTGGCAGAGGCTGCAGTGCGACCACAAGGGTGTCTACGCCGATGACTGCCTGGTTGACCGTGTCCAGAAGAACCGCATATACATTGTCGGCACGAACGACAAGGCCCTCAAGCAGAGGTTACGCAAGATCCCCGGTGTGCCCCTCATGAGCGTCGGGAGGGGAAAGATGGCCATCGAGCGGCTGCCTGGTGCGCCGGACTCTTGATGCGATTTAATGACCTCTTTTTAACGTTGTTTTTTTTTTGTTTTTTCTTTGACCCTTGATGTGCCTATAATGTCACTCTTCAGTTCCTTCTTGTCACATCGTTTGCGTCGGGTGGTCTTTGGTGCGGCGTCTTTGGTGCGGCACCGTCAGAGGCATCAGTAGATAACGAAAGGCTCCTTATGACATGGGCTTTACTCTCGACAATACATCCCACACTACCCAGTCAATAGAAAGAAAACAAGGGCCAACGGCCATTTTTACGTTTCTGCCACTGCCTCGCCCTAGGCGCTCTCGTCTCATGATATCCTCGTCGTTCCTGGTACTTGGTGGCACACGCCTACATCCATACTACCAGTACGTAGTCTCGTCTCCAAAACTGGTCCAGTTTCGATTAACCGCTCTTATTTACATGTTGAATCTTTTTCGATATGCAGCATCAGCCAGACCTGGTAGGTTGTCGGTGGTCACAGACTACCAATGACGCCGCGCGTTTCCGGTCGTCGCAAAGCGGTGGTCTTCCGCACTCAAGACATCACCACATCGGACATTAATAAAGCAGCAGTGGGTACGTACCTCCCAAGCCCTCGTGTCGTCACACCATCCTGCTTCTCTCACCCCTACAAGCCACCTAAACATCGACCACGGACGACGCAGAACGACGTAGAACCGCCGATACGAAAACGATACTTTTGTCCGGGACGGTCATCAATGGGGGCATCCCGATGAGTAGAAGCACACGCAGTTTAGTAGTAGAATGAGGCAGGAGTGAAGCCGCGTCCTCGCAGACGCCCTCTTTTTTTTTTCTTATTCTTCGCAATGCCGCAACAACCACAGCAGTCGGTCGCCGGCATCGTGCTGCTCCTCCTGATGCTATGGATCATCTTCCCCGACGCTGAATACAGGGGTCAGTCGCTCCTCCTCTCCGACGTGGTACACGAGCGGCTGGACCGGTTCTGGGCGGCGCTCGACGTGCTCAACCAGACGAAATGGGGCGACTTCAACCCGACGGCAGCGTCGGCCGTCAACGCCGAGGGCACCGGAAGCTGGCTGAACCTGACGGGGTACCGCCAGGAGGATGACTTTGAATGGGGGGACCTAGGCCGCTTCCGCGACAGGAGCATGGAGCTGAGCCGGTACGTGGCGCCTGCCAGGGCGGGCGAGGACGACCACTGGTGGGACTACGCCGGCCGCGGCGGCCTCCCCGTGTGGGCGAACGCCTCGGGGACAGTCCACGGGAACTGGGTCAGGAAGCCCGGGACGTTTCCCCGTACGCCGGGTAGCTACAACCTCAGCAGGAGCGTACCGTCGATGCACTGGGTGGGTGACAAGACCGAGTGGGCTCGCAACATGACGGGTGAGTCGGGCAAGATGCTCGTCATGCTCGAGGGTAACCGTACGGTGACCGAGTACAGGCAGCTGCCGGCGGGGGAGGGGACGGGGCGGCTGGGCGGCGGCCTGATCCGCAACGTCAAGGCCACGATCGAGGTCGAGGACACGCACGGGTCGCTCCTCAACTGGGGGATGCGGCTCTGGGGCGTGCACTGGCCGCGGCAGGGCGTGATCCTCATGACGACGACGAGCGAGAAGTTCGAGGGCATCTTTGGGCTACCGCATCTGACGCCCAGCGCCGACTTCTTCCAGTCGAGCAGGGCGCTGCTCAACCAGACGCTGGCCGACACGCTCCGGGCCAAGGCCAAGAGCATGTTCTACGAACAGGAGGTGCCGTGGAACTCGGACCTCGAGAACCCGGCGTACACGACGCACCCGTCGCCGCACTGCGAGTTCATCATGTACGCGCAGGTGCACCCGCCGTCCCGGGAGGACCTGGGCGTAGCGTCGACGCTCGACACCCCCGAAGTAGCCATGTCACGCATCCTCCAGGGCATGGAGTCGGAGTTGCAGCGGCCGCAGGGCGCGCCCGTGGGCAGCATCCCGGAGCTCAAGATGTCGGCCATCATCTACTCCCCGGACTGCGGCTTCTTCCTCGAGACCAAGGGCCCGCCCGAGTTCCCCCCGGGCGAGGAGCAGCACCTGACGGGTCTGAAGAAGGAGGTGCACCTGCACCAGGTCAGGTCGTGGGTGCTGGCCTTCGCCCTAGTGCTCTTTGCGCAGGTGTACGTGCTCAAGGCGCAGGTGACGGAGTCGTCGACGCCGTCGACCATGGCGCGCATCAGCTTCGGCACCACCGTCATCATGGTCCTGGCCGACACCATGACCCTGATGGCATCCATGGTGTGGATGGCCTCGGCAGGTGCCACGCTGCTGCCGGCGCTGGTGCTCCTGTTCGCCGCCTTCCTCTCGAGCGTCATCGGCGCCAGCTTCCTCGCCAAGATCCACGAGGTCCAGATCCCCGAAACGCGAGAGCAGCGTCGAGACCAGAGGAGCACCACCGCCGGCAGCAACACGCCGGCCTCTTCGTCGAATCGGACCACCGCCACCCCCGCACCTCCACCTCCACCTCTGGACCAGCCCATCATCATCCCGTCAGACCAAGACATCGACGCCGAGATCGCCGAAGTGACAGGCAACGCAGGCGGCCAGGGACAGCAGCAGCCCAACGGCGCGCAGACCTTCCAGGCCACGATGGGACGGTACATGCTGGCCGGGCTCGGCCTCAGCTTCCTGGTCATCTCTTCGACGACGTGGTACCCGGGCGTGCGGTCGGTGTTCCACAACGTGTGCGCGATGTGCTACCTATCGCTGTGGGTGCCTCAGATCCACCGCAACGTGATGCGCAACTGCCGCCGCGCCCTCCGCTGGCGCTTCGTCTGGGGGCAGTCGATCCTGCGCATCCTGCCCCTGGCCTACTTCTGGCTCAAGAGCGACAACTTCCTGTACGCCGAGCCCGACCGCCCCGCCCTCCTAGCCATGTGCGCGTGGCTGTGGCTGCAGATATCCGTCCTGTATGGGCAGGATGTGCTGGGCCCGCGCTTCGGCATCCCCGCCTCCTGGACCCCCGAGGCGTGGGACTACCACCCCGTCCTGAGCGAGGACAACCTCGAGACGGGCGGCCTGCCGATCGGTCTGGTCGTCGGCGGCGCCGACGACGACGGCGACGACGACGGCAACGGTGATGATGGCCACGATCCGCATGCCAAGGCTGTCAGGAATATCGACTGTGCCATCTGTCGTGAGCTGCTCGAGGTCCCCGTCGTCAGGGCCGGTCAGGACGCCTCCACCGTGTCGGCTACCCTGGCCAGAAGGACGTACATGGTCACCCCGTGCCGGCATGTCTTCCACACCCCGTGTCTGGAGGCCTGGATGAGGTTCCGCCTGCAGTGTCCTATCTGTCGAGAGGAGTTGCCGCCCTTATAGTTATAAGGGACGTTTGTGTTTTCATTTCACCGTTGCTGTACTCGATGTGTAATACCCGAGCATGTTGCATATAGCGTGAAGTTTTTTTGTATGCTTTATATATTTATAGTACTGTCTGTATAAGGAGATGTCATAGAGCGTTGGTTTTTTTTCCCTCCCTTTTCTTCTCCTGCACATGTTCGGAAGATTGGTCCTATAAGAAGTCGAATTTGAAATGTGCCACGCTTTGTGCATTCACTTGGTGCAAGCAGAATCACCGGGAGCCATGTCTTGTCTATACTATACCTGGAATATTGATCTTGTCTGGAAAAGAGAATTGTATACACGATCACCAGGAAATATACATGATCACCAGGAAATATACATGATCACCAGGAAATATACATGATCACCAGGAAATATACATGATCACCAGGAAATATGCGTCGTCCGTCTCCCCAGTTGAGACGTCATATCGGCCCCAGGCCGTATAGCCCCTCGCCACCCAACACTCAGATCTGCCCTGCGCTCTCTGAGGTCGAAATCGGCAGTGTGAATCATGACTCTCTTATATTCGGGTATGGGCGACGCTCCTGCCATTGCCATCGTCTGCTGCTGCGGAGACATGCCGGACTCCTCGAGACGCATGATCCACTCTGCTATGTGGGCAGACAATTCACTGTCCCACATGCCTTCTCTACGAGCACTACTGCGAAGAAGATGTATCGCCCGACGACGGACGACCGGATAGCGGCATTTCGTCGCTACGACGAACAGCGGTGGGACGATGCCTAGATCGGCAATGAAGCTGGGTTTAGCCGCGGGCGCAGTGGTGCCGGTATCGGCCGCGACGGCGTGGGGGACGACTTCGTATCCCAGGTCGACAATGTGGCTGAAGTGGGGGAGGAAGGCGTCGAACTGCGACTCCGTCTCGTCGAAGAAGCAGCGCAGCAAGATATGCATGTTGATCTGCGTCATCTTGAGAGTCGCCGCGCCCACGCGTTCGCACGGGCTCAGGGGGTGGGCCGGGTCGAGGCGGGAGTCCAGCAGGGGCTGGAAGCAGCGCGACCAAGCATCCATGTCGTGCATGAGGCTGTGGACCGAGCGCTGCCACGACGCCGGGAACAGCGGGTAAGGGTGTCGTCGGAGGGAGTCCAGGCCTTCGACGGTACGGAGGATGCGTTCGACTATGGCATCGTACGCGAGTCGGGCGACACGCAGGTCCGTGAACGGGCCATCGCCCTGGAGGGCGGATGGAGGCGGCAGCGGCAGCTGGAGGGCTTCCTCGTCGCTGCTGGTCAGACGAATGACATAGGGCTGGGGGAAGTGGAAGGCCAGATCGTATGACTTGGCCTGGATGGCGAGACGGGTGAAGATGGCGAGCAGGTCGTCATCATCGTTGCACCTGTTCGCCGTCGCGGCGGTTGTAGCCTTGAGTCGGTTGATGAGGCTTATGCCAGCCTGGATCTGCACGATGGCCTGTCTGTGGTCTCCGATGAAGGCGTCGAAGCAACTGAGCAGAACGCTGGCCGTCAGACGGCTGCGGTACGACGAGATACTGGGGGTGTCGTCCTTGAGGAGCATGAGGGCGTTGCAGGCGTCCGAGTAACGCCGCACGGCCACATGCCAGTGAGGCATGACGGTGCGAGCGCGGGCGTCGCGTGAGGAAGAGGCATGGGAGGGGGGCTCAGCCTCATGTGAGGGGGCTCGGTTTGACTGCTCCAGAGTCTTGTATAGGGCGCCCAAGGCGACGGCGGCGTGACGGATGGCCGGCTCGGCATGGCATCCTTGCGGGACAGATCGGGTCCAGAAGACATGGCCGAAGTAGCCAGACAGCTCAGAGGCCGTCTGGGTGCGGAACAGGTCAAAGTATCGTCCCTCGATGTCGTCTAGGCCCAGGGACGCGGCGGGCCGGTGGATGGTGAGAGATGGCTGTGGCAGCGATGGCTGTGGCAGTGGCAGCTGTCGCTGTTGGCGTTGGTGGTGGCGTCGTTGTCGCAGGCACTGCTGCTTGGGGCGGTGGCTAACAAGAGCAGCAGGAGTTGACGATGCTGGTGCTGATGCTGATGCTGAAGACGATGGCGCTAATAATACCGAAGGCGAAGATGAGGAGGAGTGGCTGGCGGCAATGGGCCTCGGAGCGATGCGCAGCTCAGTGTAGGAGACGGCATAGCGACTTGGAGGGGGATATCCAGTGCAATGCTTCTTGCTCTTGACACATTGTGAGCATGCAGGTCTGGCCTCGTCGCATTTAATTCGACGTTGTCTTACATTGGTACTATGTCAGCAACTTCCCGTCCATCCCAGGTCAGAAGCCGATGGAGTGAGGTGAAGTGAAGACGTACTTGCAGCTGGAGCAGCCTGTCTTGGCTTTCGGTCTACTTCTGCGACCTCGTCTCTCATCTGTTGGTGTCGGTGTCGATGCAGATGACAGCGGCGTAGGAGTAGGCTGAGGAGAGTCACTGTTGATGATGGGTGGCATTATTATTTTTTTTTTCTCGTCTCGTCTTTATTCCTCTTCTCACTTGATGTACACAATGGGGTATTTTCCTCGGGAGAGTTGTTGAAGAAGAGGGGAAGATGGAGGGACCGCACAGGGACGAGAAGAAGGAGGGGAAAGGGAGTGTGTGAGAAAGAAGGAGAGACGGAAATGCTAATAGACGATGAAGGAAAGCACGATTCTTCGGATGTCTCATTGCTTTCTATATTAAGGTTTGCCTGCGTTCGTTCGATCCATGGCGGTAGTATAGGCCGGATCCTGAATATATAACACCCTTTTCCTCCGTCTCTTTTCCTTTCCGCCCCCGAGCGAGAGTAGGAGGAGAGGGAAAGCTAGAGATGTAGCGTGGAGGCTTTGGAGAAGGCCGTCGATTCAACGGCATCGACGAGTACTTTTATTACTGCTACGGGCCATCATTCCTATGCGCCTGCTAGCATCACCACTTTTTACTACTAAGTGCTAATCAACTGTTAATGCCTGTCTGTTTCTTGTAGTATCAGCAACCTCGAGTGGCCTACTCGTTGTAGTGTCTGATCATCCTCTCTTTTTCCCGGTTTAAATCCGCATCTGCTTCATTATGCTGCATCGCCATGCTGCTCCTCTTAAGACATGTGTACTCCGTATTAATACTCAGTCCTACGTTAGTATTAGTCATCATCATGCTGGTAGCATTGTAGTCACATCTACCGACTCTTTGCCTGCAACGTGAACAGCGCTACCAGTATTCCTGTACGATGAAGAAGGTCTCAACCGGATTAGAGGTTCCATAATCCATATTCCATGTAGTATCATCATCATATCGTACCTACTATTACTCCTTAGTCAACCAGTAGTTCACATCCTCGATAGCTGCTAGAGTTCAACTCTCGTCTCAACTCGATGCTTCCCTTCTACCCTACAAGTGCTCATGGCATCAAAGGGTCTCAGCCACCTCGGCGATGACTGCTGTTGCACGATTTGCGTTGTGACGGCTGTACATCTTTCCGGTCGCTACCGGACTCTCCAGTCATATGTATTAGTAGTATGCAACGTCTTGTAGTCGGGATACTCTTCCACTTTCTTGCCCTTCACCTTCATGGTTACCTACCCTATAGCTTTCGATGTCATTCTTCCAGCGGTAAAGCCCCTGGATACCCGTGTCCCAGAGATCTATGAGCTTTTTTTCGCTTCGAATCAATTACAGCTACTCGCCGATCTATACAAGGGCAGTCTATACGCTAAACCCCAACTTTTCTTTTTATAGTCGGGACGGACGCTGATAGTTCTCAGCCTAGATCCTTATACACCGAGGACATTCCTTGGCGGGAGTGGCTGACGTGGGTCTTGGACGACCCGGAGGAGAAAAAAAAAGAGTCTGGAAACATTTCAGCCCTCAACTCGCGACTCTACAAACGACAGCCATCGAAACATTCTCTCCCATCTACGACGTCTACGACATCTACGACATAGAGAGGACGACGGAAGACCCAACCGACCATAAGAACTGAGAGATACAGAGACGCGATCATGGCGGAAGACGGCGACGCACCAGCCACCAACGGCTTCCTCAAGAACTCGGCCATAGCAGGGGCCATCGTCTGCCCTCTGGCCATGCTGCTCCCGCCGCGCAAGATGGACATCCGCTTCTTCGTCCTGGCCACGGGCTTCTCCATGTCGACGTCACACCTAGCAAAGGAGTACACGGGCGAGTCGCTGTACGAGCGGTTCGCGCGGAGGGCCAACGGCCTGGTCGAGGCCACCCAGGGCCTACCTCCGGAGGCCCAGCGCACCCAGCAGCTGCTCAGGGAGCACAAGGCCGCCGTGGCCGCCGCCGCCGCCGCCGACGAGAAGAAGAAGAAGGGTCTGGCCAAGGTGGTGGACGATGTGTGGATGGGCGGCGAGTCGGGCGACTGGCAGAAGAGGAGGCTCGAGGAGCACCAGAGGAGCTTCGAGGAGGGCAAGGGCATGGCGGGGATCATCATGGATCAGATATACGACGTCTGGAGCGGGAACTGGACCGGAGCGGATGCGAAGAAGCAGGGCGAAGACGAGAAGAAGAAGCCGTGAGGCGGCTTCCTCTGCGACATCATCCATGCCGTCTAGTCTGTCTTTGTAATAACACCTGTCTGTACCATACTGTGTTCAATCTTACGAAATGCAACAAATACATACGAAATGCTACAAACATACATGGCCTTGCTACTCCTGTGCCACAGACAACAGCATTTTACTTCAGGGAGAGCCAAGCAGGTCGTGACTACCTCTACTGCCTCCATCCCCACGGATCACCGACCACCTGCACCGGGGCGCCACCGAAAAGGAAAGAAAGAAAAAAACCGGGGAAAACAGACCCGTGAGTATCCATATCTCGTATCTGATGCCGTCTGTGTTTGGTGTCGCCGGGCTCAGGCTGGGCTGGCTGTCTGGACTGGGCATCATGGCGCAATTGCCTAGCCACGACGCCACACGTAATATGTTATATAGTGCAGATACGCTGCTGGAATGGTGAGCGATCCAGTCACTTCCAGTCCTGTCAGCCTAGCGAATTTCAGAATGAATGCCTGTGTCCTCCCCCCCCCCCCTTTCCCCCCTGTATATGCGCGTGTTTTTCGCTTTTAATTCAATGCTCTTTTGATAAATTTTATTAGCTGGCAAGCGAGACAATGACGCTGACCTGCAGCGGAAGAGACTTCAAATGTAGGTGGCTGGTAGGAAGTAGGCCAGTAGGAAGGAGGCCGCATCCATTTCTGCATAGACGGTGAGGGAACGACGCTGGAAAATGTTGGGATAGTAGGAGTAATGATCTGTACTCCGTACGTACAGTTTGGATGATTTTATGAAATCGCGTTCGTGAAATGTGGAAACCTATTAATAGAACAAGGTTGAACGTAGCCATCAGCAAAAAAGCTGCTGTTTGATTGACAAGTCGCCGGTCGGGGAGGGTGTGCACAGCCTCAATAGGCGACGTCTCTGCGTGTGGCACAGCAGAGTGCAGTCCAACTCTACTCGTAGGGTGGAAAGGATGGAGTGATGGGGAGTAACCCAGGGAGTGAGCGGAGGCCCTGTATGTACGAGTATTACAGGACGCCTGCGCGCTTGTAATATTACCTGCAATACTCGTAATGGGCGACGTAATATTATACAGTAGATTTCAATAGTGGAGTGACCACTGCTCAGCCTGGGGGCCCTGAGTCCCCATGAATGCCCCTGGGGCTAGTGGAGGCCTAAGACAGTAGACTGACTCCCTGGTGAGAGGCCCCTCCCTATATTACCAGTTTACGCATGAGTTATAGTGAAGTGATCGCTGCAGCATTACGACGTGTTTACAGGCCACCCAGGGATTCTATCCGTGCGTCTCCACAGCTCCAGGGCTGCATCGTATTATTACGTCGTACTCATGGCCACGCAACACCCTTCATGTGTTGATTCTCTGCCTCTTTGGATCCCCGTGTAACCACTTGTCTCTTTACTCTCTCTTCTTTTCCTTCCCTTCCATCTTCTTATCCTCTTCCCATGTAGCTGATCTCATCTTTCCTGCTCCTTTCTCACTGTTTGATGCTTATCTCCGCTTCTGACATCAAAACCGTCAGATCCTCCTGCACGCCAATAACGCGCTCCGCCGGCAAATAACGCAAGGGAAGTTCCAGAACAAAGAGGCTGCTATATTATTTGCCGACCGACAAGAAGCCACACTCATTCCAACACTTGGGCCACCCCCCTAGCCTTTTGCTCCCAACCTGTGCCTCTTTTTTTTTTTTTTTTTTTTTTTTTTTTTTTTTTTCATTGGGGGGGGGGGGGGGGGGGGGGGGGATGTTCCCGTGATGTTTGTACCCGTTTTGTTACGACGAACTCGCATCAAGCTTTAACCCGTCAAAGGTGAAAGAGAAGAGGGTGAACATCGAGAATAGGGACGGACACACATAGTTTCGACTCGGGATCGAAAAGAGAAGGAAAAAAAAAACAAATCTGACCGACGTCTCACATCTCTCGACGGCCTCGTCCCCCCCCCCTTTCCACCTGGGCGGCGATTTCCACTGCCGCCCGGATCCCCGATCAAGGGCTCAAGTCCATTATGGCCTCATACGACTACTACGGTAGCGGACATTCGCAACCTGCGGGCAACAGCAACAGCAACATCATCAACCCGACGCCCCAATACGCGTCGCAGCTCGACCCCCGGCAGCAGTCCACGGCGCCGACGCCCGCGCCCTCGTACCACTCCCAGACCACATACCCTCCGGCCGTGGCCTCCGGGCATCACTCGCCGACCTACCCGCAGGAGCTGCCCGCCCGCAATCCCGGGGTGGCCTCGCCGTTCGACAGCGTCTTCGACGACAATGCCTACCCGGCCAACAGCAACAGCAATCTGCAGGCGTACAACTCGCACGGCAACAGCCTTCGACGCGACCCCAGCGTGAGCGACATGTCGCAGAACGGCGGCGGGTACAGCAACCACCTGGACACGGGTTACTACGGGGCCGCGGGGGCGGCGTCCCGGCAACCCAGCCCGGTAGGGTCGGAGGCGATACCGCTGCAGGACCGGCCGCTCAAGGACGGCGGGATGGGCGTGGCGGACGCCGAGATGAACGACCACGTGTACGACGCGCCCGAGGGGACGCGGCGGCGCCGCAAGAAGAAGAAGGTGGGCCTGGGGGAGCTGGGCATGCTCCGGTCGGGCAAGAAGGGCATCCCGTGGGTGGTTTACACCTTCTCGCTGATCCAGATCGGCGTCTTCATCGGGGAGCTGGTGCGCAACGCCAACCTGACGGGGTCGCCCATCATGATCAAGCCGGAGTTCAACTACATGATCGGGCCCTCTACGCAGGTGCTCATCAACATGGGCGGGCGGTACGCGCCGTGTATGCACAACATCGACGACATCCAGGGGTCGACGGTCGAGGTGCTGTTCCTGTGCCCCAACGCCACGGCCTGGGACGATACATGCGATCTGTCGACCCTGTGCGGCTTCGGCGGCGTGCCCAATCCGAAATTTGACGGCGACGCCGAGCAGAAGCCCCGGCCCAACCAGTGGTACCGCTTCATCATCCCCATCTTCCTCCACGCCGGCATCATCCACATAGTCTTCAACCTCCTCCTCCAGCTCACCCTGGCTAAGGAGATGGAGCAGGTCATCGGCTCCATCCGCTTCTTCCTCGTCTACATGAGCGCGGGAATCTTCGGCTTCGTCATGGGCGGCAACTTCGCCGCCCCCGCCATCAGCTCCACCGGCGCCTCGGGCTCGCTCTTCGGCATCCTCGCCCTCAACCTCCTCGACCTGCTCTACTCGTGGAAGGACCGCAAGAGCCCCGTCAAGGACCTCCTCTTCATCGTCATCGACATGCTCATCTCCTTCGTTCTCGGGCTCCTTCCCGGCCTCGACAACTTCTCCCACATCGGCGGCTTCCTCATGGGCCTCGCCTTGGGTATTTCCGTCCTGCACTCCCCCAACTCCCTCCGCATCAAGATGGGCCAGGACGCCACCTACGCCGCCGTTCCGGGGGGCGTCGACTCCGGCGGTGGCGAGACACAGCCATTCCACAAGAACCCCGTCGGCTTCTTCAAGGGACGCAAGCCGCTGTGGTGGGGATGGTGGCTGGTCCGCGTCGGTGCCCTCATCCTCGTCATCGTCATCTTCATCGTCCTCATCAACCGCTTCTACAATGTTGGCTCCACTTGCAGCTGGTGCAAGTATCTTAGCTGTCTGGTAAGTCCTTTTTCTTTCTACTCCTGGCCACGCTCGTTCCCTCCCACTCCATACTCCTCCGATGCTGACTCGACTCTCTGCAGCCTGTCAAAAACTGGTGTGAGCTCGGAACCATTCAATCAACGTCTAGTTAAAAAGTAATATCGGCGGAGGGAAGCACCCGGATTCATTCACGGCTATCGGATCACGTACAGAGGGGGAGATGTCTCTACGCGGCACCCACCGACAAGTCCGTTTGCACAGTGCTGGCGTTTTCATTACTGTCTCGACATGCTTTATAGAATGATGGTTTTCTTTTTTTTCTCGTTTAAAGGAGTGGGATACCTATAATCTTCCCCTTTTCTTGCTTGGACTGCATTCTTGTCAGATACTTGTTCCGTTTTGTCTCTCACGGGAGGTTTCCATATTCTTTTCTCTCTGCTTCCCGTCTTTTATATGTATTATTTTCTTTTTTGCCTCTTCTCTTATACGTCGTATGTACGAGTAACGTGGACTTGGGACGCGGTTGGACGTTGCGACGTTGGCCGTTAGTATTCCTAAATTATGATGATAATTTACTAGTATGAACTATGAAGAGATGATAGAGTTACCCGTTATGAACCGTCTACGTCATAGAGGATAGACAGAATGAAGGGGAAGAGGAAGGAGAAAAATCACCGACAAACAATATCTTGATATTCGTACACGCAGAGCACTGCGAAGGCACTCAGGGCAAGGGGAAGTTAGTAATTGATGTCCCGGACGATGACGCGACCCTCACGCCTATTAAATAGAAAAGTGGAGTTTTGCTACCCACGTCACGTCACGTCACGTCCGAGCGCGTTAATGAGAAGCGCGTGTGCTTTTTCGTTCCCTTTTTCCTTGACCATCATCATCTTGCCAGACAAAGCCACGGACCTCCCCTCGCCCTCGTTCACAACAAGCTACACCCTCTACTTCTCCCTTCTTTCAATTACACTCTTGGCCCGATTTTATCAGGAGAGGACAAGACACGACACCATCTCTAACGAATCGACAGCTCCCTCATCCCCTCGCCCCTTCACGCCACCATGGCCGCCACGGCAACGCTCCCTCAAAAGCGGGTGCTCGGCGAGACCAAGACGCGTCAAAACATCCCATCAACCCCCCCCTCGGCGGCCAAGAAGCGCAGGACGGACGGGTTCCCCTCGTCATCTCAGAATGGCGTGCACAGCAAGCTGGCCTCGGGCCAGCAGACCAAGAGCGTCTTCGAATCCGAGGTGCTCGAGAAGCTGAGCCAAGACATATCGGCAGCCAAGCAGAACAGCAAGTTCGACAGGGACCAGAGCTGGGACCGTCCGCCCGTGGCGGAGGGCTTCAACCCGGCGACCGACAGCCTGGCCTTCCAGTCCATCGAGGCCGAGGAGGGCACGCTGAACGGTGGCAACGCCACCGTCAAGCTATTCGGTGTCAACAACAGGGGCAACTCGATCATGCTGCACGTCACCGGCTTCAAGCACTACCTCTATGTTGCCGCCCCGGTGTCGTTCCAGCCGCATGACTGCTCTGCCTTCAAGGCCTTTCTCGAGGCCCAGATGGCGCAGCATCAGCCCGTCATCCACTCTGTCTCCCTGGTCATGAGGGAGAGCATCTATGGTTTCCAGGGGAACACGCAGAACCCGTATCTCAAGATTACCGTCACGGATCCCAAGTTTATCGGACGCGTGCGCATGAATATCAAGGAAGGGAATGCCAATTGGAAGGGCATGTGGAAGGTTGTCGACGGTGGGATCATGACGTTTGACAATATCCAATACGTCCTCCGCTTCATGGTCGACTGCAAGGTATGGCTATGGCTCCATCGTTTTTTTTTTCGGTTTTTTTTTTTTCATGCGCCGTCTGTCAGTGGCTAACTCCTTGTCAGATCCAAGGCATGGCCTGGGTGGAAGCTCCCGCCTCGACGTACAAGCTCATACCCGAAAACAGCCGGCAATCCAACTGCCAGATCGAAGCCGAAATTGACTACCGCGCACTCATCGCACACGAGCCCAAGGGGGAGTGGCTCAAGATGGCCCCCCTCCGCATCCTGTCGTTTGATATCGAATGCTGCGGTCGCAAGGGCATCTTCCCAGAGGCGGACCAGGACCCCGTCATCCAGATTGCCAACGTGGTGACGCGGTACGGAGAGAAGAAGCCGTTTGTGCGCAACGTCTTCTGCCTGGACACGACGAGCTCCATCGTGGCGACGCACATCCTCGAGTACGAGAGGGAGGACAAACTGCTCAAGGGGTGGCAGGAGTTTGTGGAGCGCGTCGACCCGGACGTGGTGACGGGCTACAACACGTCCAACTTTGATATTCCCTACCTCCTCGACCGAGCCAGGCACCTGAAGGTTGGGGGCTTCGAGTACTGGGGCCGCATCCCCGGAGTGCCGTCCAAGGTCAAGGAGAGCAACTTCTCGAGCAAGCAGATGGGCAGCCGCGACTCCAAGACAACCAACATCAACGGCCGCCTGCAGCTGGATCTCCTGCAGCTGATCCAACGCGACCACCACCTGCGAAGCTACACGCTCAACTCGGTCTGCTCGCACTTCCTCGGCGAGCAAAAGGAGGACGTGCACTACACCATGATCACGGAGCTCTTCAACGGCACGCCTGAGTCGCGGCGACGTCTGGCCCTCTACTGTCTCAAGGACGCCTACCTCCCGCAGCGGCTGATGGAGAAGCTGTCGTGCCTGGAGAACTACACGGAGATGGCGCGTGTGACGGGCGTTCCCTTCAACTTCATCCTCACGCGTGGCCAGCAGATCCGATTTATCAGTCAGCTGTACCGCAGAGGTCTCGAGCAGAAGCTCGTGATTCCCGACATCAAGCCTCAGGGCTCGGACGAGCAGTACGAGGGAGCCACGGTCATCGAGCCGACGCGCGGGTATTACGACATGCCGGTGGCGACGCTGGATTTCGCATCCCTGTACCCCAGCATCATGCAGGCGCACAATCTGTGCTACACGACGCTGGTGAACAAGCAGGCCATCGACCGGCTCGGGCTCAAGAAGGGCGAGGACTACATCACGACGCCCAGCGGCGAGACGTTTGTGACGACGAAGCAGCGCAAGGGGCTCCTGGCACAGATCCTGGAGGAGCTGCTGATTGCGCGGAAGCAGGCCAAGAAGGACCTGGCGCGGGAGACGGACCCGTTCAAGAAGGCGGTCCTCAACGGCAGGCAGCTGGCGCTCAAGGTGACGGCCAACAGCGTGTACGGCCTCACGGGTGCGGCGCAGACGGGCAAGCTCCCCTGCCTGGAGATTGCGCGCAGCACGACGAGCTTCGGCCGGCAGATGATTGAGATGACGCGCGACGAGGTGATGCGCAGGTACACCATCGCCAACGGGTACGCGCACGACGCGCAGGTCATCTACGGAGACACGGACTCGGTCATGGTCAAGTTTGGCACCAGCGACCTGGCCGAGGCCATGAGGCTGGGCGAGGAGGCGGCCCAGTACGTCACGAGCAAGTTTGCCAAGCCCATCAAGCTCGAGTTCGAGAAGGTCTACTTCCCCTACCTGCTCATCAACAAGAAGCGGTACGCCGGCCTGTACTGGACAAACCCGGACAAGTACGACAAGATGGACACCAAGGGTATAGAGACGGTGCGCAGAGATAACTGCACGCTCGTGCAGACGGTGATTGAGAAGGTGCTGAGGATGATCCTGATTGATCGTGATGTTCCTGGAGCACAAGAGTACGTCATCCTCTCCCTTTTTTTTTTCCTTCTTCCCCCCTCCCCCCTTCTCTTCCTCTTCACACAACCGTTGTTTTTCTCCTGTTTCCTCGTTTCGCATGTCTGTGTTTTGGATCTTTGCACTCATATGTACGATCTCGATGGGAAACCTGTGCTGACGCAGAGATGTCGTGGAACAGCTACGTCAAGGACATGATTGCCGACCTGCTACAGAACAAGGTGGACATGTCGAAGCTGGTGATTACGAAGGCGCTCACCAAGGACGACTACGCAGCCAAGCAGGCGCACGTGGAGCTGGCGCACCGGATGAAGAAGCGCGACGCAGGATCGGCGCCGGGGCTCGGGGACCGGGTGGCGTACGTGATGATCCGAGGAGCGGCGGGGGCCAAGAACTTTGAGAAGTCGGAGGACCCGATCTTCGTGCTGGAGAACAACGTGCCGATCGACACCAAGTACTACCTGGACAACCAGCTGGCCAAGCCGCTGGGGCGCATCTTTGAGCCGATCCTGGGCGAGACCAAGGCGCGCTCGCTGCTGACGGGCGACCACACGCGGACCATCTCGGTGGCGGCGCCGTCGGTGGGCGGGCTGATGAAGTTCGCCAAGAAGACGCAGACGTGCATGGGCTGCAAGAAGCCGCTGACGGGCAGCGAGGAGAAGGCCGGGGCCGTGTGCTCCGACTGCGCGCCGCGGGTGGGGGAGCTGTACAAGAAGACGCTGGACCGCGTGTCGGACCTCGAGGTGCGCTTCGGGCGGCTCTGGACCCAGTGCCAGAGGTGCCAGGGCAGCATACACTGCGAGGTGATTTGCAGCAGCAAGGACTGCCCCATCTTTTACATGCGCATGAAGGCCAAGAAGGATCTCGAGGACGCCGGTAAGGAGTTGGGGAGGTTTGATGCTGATCAAGCTGCTGTGTGGTGACGGATGGGTCTTTTTTTTCTTCTTCTTCTCTCCTTCACCTTCACTTCAATCTCGCCATTTATTCTTTCTTTCTTCTTCTCTTCCTCTTTCCTTTCTTCCTTTTTTTTTTTAGTTCATGTTTCATAATTGCGTGTAATGTTGGTGTATAGGAACGGCGTCTGGGAGTATTACGATGGAAAAAGAGGTCTAGAGTAGTGGTTTACGTATATAGTGGTGAGAAGCAGAGAGTTGGTAGTATGACAAGAGGAGCATAGTATAACGACAATATGAATTCGGTCGACACAGACACACAACCCAACCCCCCTCCCCCCCCCCTAAAGAAAAAAAGAAGAAGAAAAAGAGGCATTTACGATGGATTAGTGGGGGGAAAGTGTTTGTCCCTGCGTGTGTATGTGTGTATGTGGAGCGACGAGGTGTTTTAGTGTGTATTATGAGATAGTGAGGGAGGAGGGGAGAGAGGGAGGAGGGGGAGAGGGAGAGGGAGAGAATAGATAAGGCTGGATTAAGTTGACACATTCGAAAACGTATAAGATCAAGTTCGGCATCTTCGTTTCTGGATCGGGTGAAGGGTGTGTCGGGTCGAGCGACGGAACCCAGAGGGTCGGTTTTCAATTTCGTCGGACCCTCGATCCACCTGTGTGCGTGTGTGTGTGTGTACGAGTATGCAGGTGTATAGGTGTATAGGTGTGTAGGTGTATCACGAGTAATAATACAGATTAATCCGTACTCCGTACAGAGAACAGGTAGGTGTGAGCCCCACATCTAAGAGAAGAGAGAGAGAGAGAGGGAAGAAAAGTGGATATCATGAAGCGATAGTCCGTAATGGAGGGCGAGCGGTAGGACCGAAGCTAGTCAGCAATTGATCGTGAAGCGCGTGTATCGCTTTGGGGGCTTTTTTTTCTTCTTCTTCTTGGGAGGGGGGGGGGGAGTCAATTTCTCGTATTACGTCACGGATTGAAAGGGGTTGGACGTGTCGGGGATGGTATTTTTTGGATTACGCAGTCGGGAGGGATCGGGATGGTTTTTTTTTTTTTTTGGCTTTTTTATGCTCTCGCGTAATACAATAAGGTCCAAACTCTTCTCGGTCATTTTTTATATATTCATTACTGTACTGTGTACTACTCATGAGGTTCCCGTTGACTCTCGATAGTCTGCGGCATGTACGAGTAAGGAGGGATTGCCACCCTTGAGCCTCGCCCCCTCGCCCCTCGAAATTCATGACGCTGAGGAGGGGTGAGAAGGAGGGGGAGGGGGAGGGGGGGGAGGTTGCTGTACGTGTACGGTAGGGGAGCAGATTTTACCGTCGGACAAAGACAATGTAGTAGTGTAGTAGTAGCGGACAAGGCATGTAATTGGCAACAACTGATCCGGGGAATTCATATCAACACATTAGAATTACATATTTCTCACTGGGTCACGTAGATATCAGGAAGAACTGGTTCGTGGGGGAGACGGACCAAGAAAAGAGAGAGGAAAAAGAGGGGGGGGGATAGATAACGGAGCGGTACTACTTCTGGTAGTGTCCAGAAGAGAACAATAACCCCGCGCCGACGTCGGACTGAGGGACCTGAGGCTCTCTGGGGGGCGTTCTTATCCATTTCTTTCTCGTCTTTTCCTAGCTTCTCTGGTTTCTCCGGTTTAGCGTGTGTGCCAGGAGTGACGGAGTGGCGTTTGGTCCCTGGCTCTGGAGGGGAGAGAAGTGTGTGCGCGTGCGCGCGTGCGTGCGTGTGTGCGTGTGGGGAGGGGGGATTAGTAGAAGAGATTTAGAGAACGAGTGGCCAATTAGGGTGGTCTCGGTAGCCTAGATTGGTTGTCGTGACCACTGATAATGGTTGGTATTACTTTTTAGGCTATAGATATGTGTTAGGTTCGGCTCCTCCTATTAGCTGGTTATACTTTATATATATATCCTTACTCGATTGCTACTGCTAATGCTGCCGCCACGGCTAATAGGCTGCCAACGTTGCTACCACGGTGATGCCCGTATCGCAGCTAGTACGGCCGCTATTCCACGTACCCTCACTCACCCTGCCAGTACAGGCACGGAGCGCTCCCTCAGAGCGCTCCGAGAGTTGACAGACCCGGCCATGTCCGTCATGTGGGGGCAGGCACGATGTAAATCTGCAGGAAGGAGCGACGGGGGGGAGGGGAGGGTGGACAACCGCACGAGGGAAAGAGCGGCACGACCAATCATGTCCATCACAGTATAGAACCATTGAGAGAATACCTATCAGTCTATCATTATCAGGACTGCTACGACTACTACGGCAGAAGAAGAAAACCTGGTCTGCCTGTTGGAAGGTTACAGGCAGCAGAGGAGACACTAAGACTTCCCAGAGTCGGCAACCACCAGCACACCGAACATCGGAGATGTCTCTGCGCCTCTAGATTGGTGATTGATAATTTCCATTGACGGAAGCTTTCATGTCAACCTTTTCTCTTTCTTCCCTTTTTACACTCGAGATATTCAACTCGCGACTCGATCCAACTCTAGCGCTCCTGTCCCACCCACCCACCCCCCTTCACTCCCTCCACTCCTTCTCCCACATGCACACCCCCATGGGCCATCAAAGATGGGGTGAGGAATCATGAATGGGGGGGGGGGGGGGGGGATGGGGAGGGTCAAGTTACAACAACTGGGTCCCTTTCCAATCTAGCCCTCGACGAGATTCAAGATAAGAAGGACCAGTCTTGCCCTCCACGCACGACCTCTTCCCTCCCCTCTCTTCTTCTTCTTCTTCCTCCTCTTCCTCTTCCTCATCTCTATTCTCAACTCTCCCTCTCCATATATACCCCACACCGATACCTCAATTCCCCTCTTCTCTATCAAGGAATACCGCCATCATGTCTAACCTTCCTTCCGAGCCCGAGTTCGAGCAGGCCTACAAGGGTATGCTTCTCCCTGAATCCTGCCACACCACCACGTGTCCATCGTACTGACCGGTCAACCGACAGAGCTTGTCAGCACCCTTGAGGACTCTACCCTCTTCCAGCAGCACCCCGAGTACCGCACCGCCCTCGAAGTCGTCTCCGTCCCCGAGCGCGTCATCCAGTTCCGCGTCGTCTGGGAGGATGACGCAGGCAAGCTCCACGTCAACCGTGGTTTCCGTGTCCAGTTCAACTCGGCCCTCGGCCCTTACAAGGGTGGCCTCCGTCTCCACCCCTCTGTCAACCTGTCCATGTGCGTTATATACACTCCGCTGTTCCCAAGAATGACTCCTCCATCCCCAATAAGAACACGGGAAGAGAAGAAGCAGGAGACGAGATGGGTGAGGAGGAAGAAGAAGAAGAGAGGAAAGGGGGGGGAGGAAAGATGAGAAAGAGAAGTACTGACAGATGAGATAGCCTCAAGTTCCTCGGTTTCGAGCAAATCTTCAAGAATGCCCTGACCGGCCTCAACATGGGTGGCGGCAAGGGTGGCTCCGACTTCGACCCCAAGGGCAAGAGCGACAACGAGATCCGCCGCTTCTGCCAGTCCTTCATGCGCGAGCTCTCCAAGCACATCGGCGCCGACACCGACGTCCCCGCCGGTGACATCGGCACCACCGGCCGCGAGATCGGCTTCATGTTCGGCGCCTACCGCCAGGCCCGCAACCGCTGGGAGGGTGTCCTGACCGGCAAGGGCCTCAGCTGGGGTGGCAGCCTGATCCGCCCCGAGGCCACCGGCTACGGCCTGGTCTACTACGTCGAGAACATGCTGGAGCACGCCGGCCGCGGCTCCTTCAAGGGACAGCGCGTCGCCATCTCGGGCTCCGGCAACGTGGCCCAGTACGCCGCCCTCAAGGTCATCGAGCTCGGCGGCACCGTCGTCTCCCTGTCCGACTCCAAGGGCTCCCTCGTCGCCGAGGAGGGCTCCGCCGGCTTCACCCCGGCCCTGATCAGCGACATCGCCGGCCTCAAGGTTGCCTTCAAGCCCCTGTCCGACCTGGCCGTCGCCGCCGACCACAAGCTCCGCTACGTCGAGGGCGCCCGCCCCTGGAAGATCTCGGGCAAGGTCGACATCGCCCTCCCCTCTGCCACCCAGAACGAGCTCAACGGCGACGAGGCCAAGTTCCTCGTCGACAACGGCTGCTTCGTCGTCGCCGAGGGCTCCAACATGGGCTGCACCCTCGACGCCATCGAGGTCTTCGAGACCGAGCGCAAGACCAAGGGCGACGCCAAGGCTGTCTGGTACGCCCCCGGCAAGGCCTCCAACTGCGGCGGTGTCGCCGTCTCCGGCCTCGAGATGGCCCAGAACTCGGCCCGCCTCAACTGGACCGAGGAGGAGGTCGACCAGAAGCTCAAGGACATCATGAAGAACGCCTTCCTCAACGGCCTCAACACGGCCAAGAAGTACGTCAAGGCTGGCGACAACGAGCTCCCCTCGCTCGTTGCCGGTAGCAACATTGCCGGCTTCGTCAAGGTCGCCGAGGCCATGCACGACCAGGGTGACTGGTGGGCTTAAGTCAGGAAGGAAGACATGGAGTCTCTTTGTCTCCCCCCTCCCCCCTTCTCTCCCTCCCTCCCTCCGTGTCTCCTCTTCTCATCCTCTTCCTTCTCTCTTTTTTTTTTCTCACTGTCAACAAACAAACATAGGGAAGCAACCCTTTTTCTGCGGGAGTTGGTCATGATTGCATTGGAAAGAAGGCATGTCATGAATTATTGTTCATATACGTATATATATAGCATGCAACGATAGAACGACCTTTTTTTTTTTTACTCTCCCTCTTTTCCTTTTTTTTTTCATCTCTATGCGCTCTTTACTCCCGTCGTACTTGGTTCTCGGCATGTGTTCTCATCATCGTATTACTCGTTTCTCGAAATGTGTACTTCTTTCTCTTACGTATCGACTTGGTACCAAGAGTAACTCAAGCTAATACAGGATCAATATCTTGGGCTGATATAAACCAGGCCTTGCAGATTCATTAGTTACATATTACTCTGGGATCTTCTCTGCGTCCAATGGCCCATCATGGATGGTCTATAGACCATGAGCTATGGGTAATAATAAATCATCAATAAATGAGTAATGGATAGTAAAGGGGGCTGAGGAGGAAGGACAGACTCCTCCGCAAAACCCCACCCAACCCCGCAATTCGGTAATATGAGAGCCAAACCGAGGTCAAGGCTATTCTGTCATTGGATATGAGTATTAATACGAGTGAGTACTCTCTGATATAACATGAATCTGAATGCAACGAGTTGGAGCCGAAACTACTAATCGAACACTAGAATATATAAAAACCCGCTACATATTATCAGCACTCTACCGTCAAGACCTAGAGGAGTTCAAAGAAAAAAAATCAAGATGACATCTCCGCCACCGCTCCAGGGTATCAAGGTGCTCGAATTTGCCGGTCTAGCACCAGGTAACAAGCACCAGCACCAAAAAAAAGGCTGGATGGTTTCCAGGCAAGACCTCGGCTGACGGCTGAGGCCAGGGCCGTTTGCAGGCATGCTCCTCTCCGACGCGGGCGCGTCGGTGCTCCGGATCGACCGGCCGATTCCGGGGTCGACGCACACGGCGGGGTCGCCGCCGCCGGCGACGGCAGACATGCTGGCGCGGCGCAAGACGTCGATAGCGGTGGACCTGAAGGCGGCGGACGGGGCGGGGCTGATCCGGCGGCTGGCCTCGCACGTGGACGTGCTGATCGACCCGTTCCGTCCCGGGGTGCTGGAGCGGCTGGGTCTGGGGCCGGGGGAGCTGAGGTCGCGCAACCGGCGGCTGGTGTACGCGCGGATGACGGGGTTCCGACGTGACGGGCGGTACGCCGCCATGGCCGGCCACGACATCAACTACCTCGCCGTGTCGGGGGCGCTGAGCCTGCTGGGGAGGGAGGGGAGCCGGCCCCACGCGCCGTGGAACATGCTGGCCGACTTCGCCGGCGGCGGGGCCGCTCTCTTCCAAGGCATCCTGATGGCCCTGGTGGCCCGGGCCGCCTCGGGGTCCGGACAGGTCGTCGAGGCCAACATGGTGGACGGGGCGTCGTACCTGGCCACGTTCCCCCGCATGGCGCTGCGCACCCCGATCGGGGACAGGCCCCGCGGGCGGAACCTGCTCGACGGCGGCCGTCCCTGGTACGACACCTACCCGACCCGCGACGGGGGTCACATGGCCGTCGGGGCCCTGGAGCCCCGCTTCTTCGCCGAGCTCCTCCGTCTCCTCGGCCTGGCCGGCCAGGGCTGGGAGGAGGCCAGGGACGACGAGGCCAGCTGGCCCGAGCTCAGGGCCGTGCTCGAGGCCACCTTCCGACGCCGCACCAGGGCTGAGTGGGAGGCCGTCTTCGACGGCTCCGACGCCTGCTGCACCCCCGTGCTGGACTATCGCGAGCTCCACGACCAGCGCGGGGCCAGGGAGGGCGACCAGAGACCCGTGGTCGGGCTGGAGGCCACACCGTGCCTCGCCATCTCGTCTACCCCCCACCCCCGGAGTCAGGGCGACGCCGTGCCGGGGGAGGGTTACGTTGGTGTGCCGCTCGGCGCGGGCGAGGGTGGACGCCAGACTCTGCGCGATTGGGCTGGCTGGGAGGGAGGTAGGGAGTACGATGTCGTCCATGGCGGTCTCGTGCTTGTCGATGCGTCCAAGCTATAGAGGAGGGGGGACGGGTAGTGTGTACGTGTACGCCATCATGCAACATCCTGTGGCATATATAAAGGGCATACGAGACATGAGGGGGGGGGGGGATCATGTAAAGTGGATGATGTAAAATAACATATAAAAAAGTCTGCCCATGGGGAAATAATATTACTAACAAACAAACAAACAAAAAAGTCCGGTCATCTTCATCCTCCAGTTAGCGCCGCACGCTTGCCCATCCTTTCATCGTTCGTTCGCCATCTAAAAAAAAAAGGGATCTAATCTAAACCATCATCAGATGGAGAAGGCGCGCAGCATCATTCAATGGTATACCATGGAAAAGGGGTGGTGAGAGGGTCAAGGTGAGACGTATGTCTTTGTATCTTCTTCTTTTTGGACGTCGCTGATCTTCTTCCTCTTCTAATATGGACAGCAATGTGATGGTAGGTCTGTTGTGTAAAAGTGGCAATATCAAGACCATTACTGCACCTGGCTGACAATCTCACTAGCCTTGCCCAGAGACTCCACCATCTGCTGGCACTCCTTGCGTCGACGAATGGTAAAGTCGCTCTCCTTGAGGAGGTCGTCGACATTGTCGGTCCTGTACATGTTTTCCAGGAGCTCGCGTTGCATCTCATCCTTGGTGAACCTGTGTTCCATTGTTGTCAGTGCCTCATCCACACGTCTAAACTCGTCAAGATGAGCTGAGAGGAACATACTGCACAAGGTTGAGCATGATAGCTTTGGGAACCATGTCGATCATGGTGCGCTTGACAATGTTGTAGTAGGAAGAGATGAGCAGCTCTGTGGTATCGGTCAGCCATTTTCCTCTGCCTTCAGAGTGCTTCCGATGTCTTGACATCTTCTGGTGGGGGGGAAACGTACTGATGACCTCGACCTCGATATTCTCACGCTCAGACAGAGTACCAGAGGCCTTGAGCATGGGTGGCGGCGCCTCCATGGCAGCGGCCTTCTTCTTGTTCTTGGCAGCAAAGAAGCTACCGAAGAAGCCAGAGTTCCCAGAGTCCGTCTCCGAGACCGTGGGGCTGGCAGCGCGCGCGGGTGTAGCGGCGGGTAGAGGCTTGCCGGTCTTGGGGTCGACCTGGACGGGCTTGGACGGGTTGTGGCGCTCGTTGACGATGGCCATGGCCTGCCGTTTGTCAGCGGGACAGTCGGACTTATCCGAGGGGGAAATACAGTGGACGGACGGAGGGAACAGCAGGAGGGGAGGGTAAACATACGCGGTGACCGTTGAGGAAGTCGGGGTGGCCAGTGTTGATGTAGCAGGCCTCCATGGAAACGAGGTCGCGGACAAGCTTGTTGGTAGGCTCCATGGCCTTCTTGAAAAAGGCGATGACGACGCCGTGCATCTTCTCTTTGAGACCCGGGTAGCGGCGGTACAGCTGCTTGCCCAGGAGGGTGGAGAGGATGCGCACCAGCTCGTCGTAGACGAGAGAGACGCACTTGAGGCTGGGGTCCTCGACGCGCTTGATCTGCTGCTTCACAATGAGCTCAAAGGCCGTGGTGCCGACAAAGAGGGCGGGCGATGAACCCGACGAGTTGTAGAGGATGGTGCGGATGTCGACGTCCTTGACCACGTCAAAGGGATCGAGAGCCTTGACACCGTTGGAGTAGAGCTCGTGGAAGACGAAGCTGATACGGGCACCGCCCGAAAGCTCGGTGCTCGACAGCTCCGTATTGTTTCCGTCGAGGACGGTACGCCACTCGTTGGTGAACTCGGTGATGATGTTGAGGACAATGTTGGCGCTGTTGCCGAGCATGGACGGGCCCAGGCTCTCGAGTTCGGCCGCGTACTTTTGCAGCGAGCTCGAGATGCGCGCCTTGATGTCGGGCAGGGTCTGCTTGATATGCATCATCAAGATCAGGTTGAGCTTCCGCGCCAGGTAGGGGGTACCGCAGTAGGAGCTCTTGTTGCGGTACGCCTTGTGGTTCTCAAAGAAGTTCTTCTCGGCCTCGAGCGCCACGTTGATGAGCTTGCGGTTGTCAATGTCGCGCTGGCCACGGTTGACGACGGGGACGTATCCCAGGCGCAGGGGGATGACGCGGTTGGACAGGATGTCGATGACGTCGGTTCCCTCCTCCATCAGATCGACCTTTGTCAGGACGCCAATGGTCCTCTGACCCTCGGGGTCGACCTCGCGGGCGAGCTTGAGACCGTCCGAGTTTGCCAGGTCGATGTTGGCGGCCGTGACGGCCAGGATGATGGCGTTGGACTTGCCAATGTACTTGAGCGCCATCTCGCGGATCTGGCGCTCGATATCGCGAGGCTGGTCACCGACGGGCACCTTGGTCAGACCGGGCAGGTCGACGAGGGTCAGGGTCAGGACGTTGGGGGAGTAGATTCGAAGGTTGATGGGGGCGGGCGAGATGCCATAGTTCTTGCCCGTCTTGGCATCCGTCTCCCTGGCAATCTCTTCCCTGACCTTGCTGAAATCGTAGAACTTCTGGCCGGGCAGGTGAAGGAACTCACCCCACTCGTCGGGGTTGGCGGCCTTGTCGGTATCGGTGTTGATGTCCTCCTGCGTGACGCCGTTGGACTGCGCAGGACGGTTGATGAGCTGGAGGACCAGGGGTCGACGGGTTACGATACCGGTACCTCGAGGCAAGCTATAAGCGGGTGCGAACCAACTGTCAGCTTCTATACTTCCTCGTACTATGCTCTTTCCTCCTTCACTTCATCGGGTCCGCGGGGGGGGGGGGGGGGGGGGGGGGGGGGGGGGGCGATGGGGTGGTAGGGAGCATACAAGTCTCGTCCTACAATGTTCTCCAGCACAGATGACTTGCCGCTAGACTGGCTACCGACGACGGCAATCTGGGGGAGATCAATGGGGTTGTTGACGCCAACAGTAGAGAAAACATCCTGGAGCTTGTTGACGAGGCTATCCTTGAGAGTCAGCAGTTGTGCGGGCGCATCGCGGTCAGCAGACCAGAAAGGAGCAGGAGACGAACGTGATGAGGGCAGGATCCGAGATACCCCCCGTTGTGACGAGTGAGCCGCTCATGGTGAATGGGCAGCTCTCCTGCTACTTTCGGAGACGAATGTATTCCTATAGCTATGTCTTATCAAGTCGAACCCAGCGAATAGATAGACTGCTTCGGTTCGAGGGGTGCGGTAGCGGTAGGTCGAATAAGGGATGGAGTGTCGAGGGAGGGGGACAGCAGGTTGGATGTGGTGACTCGCGACTGAGGTCTCTCTGGCCGATGATTCAAAGACGGCGCAGGTAGTTGGGTGAAGGCTCGAAAGTCGTCGTGCGCAGTTGTGCGGATTTCGTTATGGTGGACGGTTGTTGAGGAGGGGGGAGGGAAGTGATGTTTAGGTCGACGACATTTATCACGAGCCTAAACAGCTACGTGTGCTACGTCGCCAGTATTATCCAGAAGGGGRGGGGGGGGGGGGGGGTCACCGCTGTTACTGCCTATGGTGGGTGTTGGCCCTGGGGGCAATCCACTGCGTCTAGAGTCTAGCTGGGGCCTGGAGGCCAGTCGATATCAAGCCACACGTGGCGGTGCTCTCATGGTGTCTGGTATTATCGCTCACGTTGGACATCACGAAGAGAGACAGAGGCTGCGCCACGTTTAAATGTCCCAGTACCGACTGTCTGTACCGGTTCTCGTACTTTGCTCGTCAGCGATGACGACTGCTGGAAGTGCTGCCGTGTAACAGGGTGAGGGTCCGTGCAAGAATGACGAGCAGGCATGGGGAGCCGGGCAGCGCATACAAGCTATCGCTGATAACTACTAGCTCTGCTACTATCTGGTATTACCTACTGCAGTAGCATGTAGCACACGTGAATATGATGGCGCACGACCTACGGACCTACGGGCGTTGTCGGCTTGGTGACGCTGCGATACTCGTGGAAGCTCCGATCGTTGCAGCGTAATGATACCAGGTACATGTAGTCTGTACCCGGCCTGGGACCTGACGGGATCGATGGGCCTCCCTCCAGTTTCCTCACGGTGCTTCCCCTGCGGTGATGGCACGGACGGCACGGTACAGGGCACCGCAGCACGCCGAAAACGCATGCTACGGCACCTACAGGCTACAGCACCTACAGCGGACTCTACCTTGATCTCCTAGAGCGGTGACAGCGGCTGGGCATCAGGACACCCAGCACCTAAGCGCCCCACATGATGACCGCCCTCAGCCAACCACGGACGCCCAACACGAAGTCCCATAAAGCACCTGGGGGGTGCTTCCCAACCCTCGTCCATGCTTGGGTCCTGCACTCTATGCACCCTTGCTCTAGACGAGATAACTACTCGGTCCACGTCACAACGACTGCTCGTACTGCCCTCGTGGTACAACACCAAGACAAGGACAGGGTATCATAGAGTATTGGGGAACATCTCTACCCCGTTCTCGTTCATATTCCCTCTTCTGATAGATCTGACGCCGTACACCTTCTCTTGCTCAACTTCGTCTGCTCTGCCTCCTCAGCCACATCTCTTGTCTCGGGTCACCACCGCAGACGGGACTCTCGCTACTACTACTACTACTATTACTACATCATCTCCACACACCATTGCCGACAGAACCCGGCGCCGTCTGCTCCTCCCCTCGCTTCTCCCCAAACATCTCTGTCCGGCCCAGACCTAGCGACTGCCTCGAAAGATAGCTTGTGGACCACCTGTAGGCCGCTGTCTGGCCTATTGACGGCACCATTATTCCTTCCCGCGGCTCGTCCCGCGGAGACACCGATCTGGATTCATCCTCGTCCCCCTCCTCTAGCTCCCACTCTCGCCCACGCTCTCGCCCACACGACAGCCAAGACAGCGGCGGAACCTCCCCTATCAACGCCATTCCACCGGAGACGGCTGCCAACCCGACCAGGACAACACCCCCGGGCACGACGTCAACGGCCGGATCCAACAGCAGCACACCAGCCTCGACCGCGAATATAGCATCTTTGGCGGTCCCAGCCGGTCCTGCCGCCCCTCTCACCGTCCCCGCCAACAGCCTACAGGGGCCGTCAGGGACTCTTGGGCGGCGTCAACGCTCCGAGTCTCCCCTGCCGGGCCACGGAAGCTTTCCCGTTCCCGTCGACTCGGTTGCCCGAGGTCGGGAGGGCGGTAGCGATAGCAGGCGGGCCCGCAAGCGTAGGCGCGGGGCACCGACGCAAGACATAGCTGCGGGAATGAGCGGTGGCGCTGACGACGGGGACGTGGTCATGTTCTCACAGGGTGCCTCGTCATTGCGCTCTAACGGAGCCGGCGCAATATCCGGATCTCGGTCTTCCACTAATGGCGCGTCTGGAAACGCAGGCGGTGCCTCCCTCAACGGCTCCTCTAACGGCGCGTCCAGCAACGGGGATAAGGGACCTGCAGCGCCGTCGTCGTCGTCGTCGTCGAGGCCAGCAAACGCTCTCTCCGAGACGTATCAGGGCCACAGTCGTGAGGAGATGACACGCCTCCTGCTGCAGGCCCTCAACGACATGGGATACCAGGATGCCGCCAAGAGCGTGAGCAGGGACAGCGGGTATGAGCTGGAGAACTCGACTGTTGCTGCCTTCAGGACGGCAGTCTTGGAGGGGTCGTGGGCCAAGGCCGATAACCTGCTCACCGGTGCCGCCGAATCCGACGAGGCTCGCAGCACAGGCGGTAAGGGGAATGGGCTTGTCCTGGCTAAGTGCGCCGACCTGAGACTCATGCGCTTCTGGCTCAAACAACAAAAGTACCTGGAGATTCTCGAGGCTAAGAACGCGGCCCACGCTCTGTCTGTCCTCAGAGAAGAGATCACCCCACTGTACAACGACACGGCCAAGCTGCATTTCCTTTCCAGTCTGCTCATGTGCCAGTCACCCGAAGACCTCAAGGCCAGGGCGTCCTGGGACGGTGCTGGTGGGGAATCACGCAAGATTCTACTGTCAGACCTATCTAGTATGCAAACCACACAACTCTCACACACCCCTTCTTCCCACTCGCCTCGCCTCATTTCCGGCGTCTCCGTCACGCACCCGGTTCCATCTCCCTCTCGTTATCAAAAGTAGGCTGACAAGAGTCCCCAACCCTAGAGTGTATATCGCCTTCGGTCATGCTGCCGGAAAATCGCCTTGCCGTCCTGCTACAGTCTGTCAAGCAGAGCCAGATCGATACGTGCCTCTACCACACCGCAGTAGCGTCGCCGTCGCTGTACACGGACCACAGATGTGCCCGATCACGATTTCCCTCGGAGATGGCCATGGATCTGCTGGATCTCGGTGGCGAGGCCTGGCAGGTACGGTACTCGCCCGACGGCCGGATGCTCGCGGCCTGCGGCGAGAGCGGGGTGGTGATATGGGACAGCCAATACAATGTTCACCTCAAGCCCCAGGGCCACGAGGGCGGAGTCGGCAACATCTCCTGGAGCCCCGACAGCAGCATGCTCGTGACGTGTTCCCAGGACAATACCGCGATGCTGTACAGCGTAACCGTAAGTTGACGACGAGCACCGGACGCCCGGCGTGATGGGAAGGAGGAGGGGAGGCAGACGGCGAAAGAAACCAAGGTCTGACTGGTGAATAGGATGGCGAATGCCTCAAGAGGACCAAGCGCTTCTCGGAACCCGTGAGCAGCTGTGTGTGGGCCAGGAACGGACAGTCGTTTACCCTGGGGACATTGGACGACAAAAACAGCATATGCACGTATACGCGCAGCGCCAACGGGTGGGAGGTGGACGAGTGGACCAAGAGTCACCGGGTGCAGGATCTCTGCGGCTCGGCCGACGGGCGGTGGCTCGTGGCTGCGGACAACCTCTCGAAGATACACGTGTACAATGCCAGGACGCGGGAGCTCGAATACGAGATGGAGATGGCGGCGGGGCTGGCGTCTGTGTGCATCAGCGAAGACTCGCGGCACCTGCTGGTCAACCGCAAGGATGGGGAAGCGCAGATGCTGAACCTGGAGACGCGGGCGCTGGAGCAGAAGTTTCTGGGCCACAAGGGCGGCGACTACCTGATACGCGCCGGCTTCGGTGGGGCCAACGAGAGCTTCGTGGTCAGCGGCAGCGAGGATGGACACATCCTTGTCTGGCACAAGAGGATCGGAGCAGCGGTCGAGAGGCTGCAGGGTCACAGGCCGAGATGCAACGCGGTGTCGTGGAAGCCCGACGACCCCACAGTCTTTGCGTCGTGCGGTGACGACGGTCGAGTCAAGATGTGAGTTGCCTCTCTCTCTCTCTCTCTCTCTCTCTCTCTCTCTCTCTCTCTCCCTCTGTAGAGCATCATTCCGTCCCGCTCAGCACTCTCCATCTCGTGGGTGAGTTTCCTCTTCATCAATACCTTTTGCTCGCTCTCCTTCTTTCTNAGAGCATCATTCCGTCCCGCTCAGCACTCTCCATCTCGTGGGTGAGTTTCCTCTTCATCAATACCTTTTGCTCGCTCTCCTTCTTTCTCTCTCTCCTTCTTTCTCTCTCTCCTTCTTTCTCTCTCTCCTTCTTTCTCTCTCTCCTTCTTTCTCTCTCTCCTTCTTAGTATCTCCATCTCTGCTTCTCGTGTCTCCCTGTCCTCTCCCGACACTGACATGCCAACAGCTGGACAAACAAGTCCAATGCCAGGGCCCTCCGGGAAGCGGGACAGCAGTCTGCGCCGGGATCGCAGATGATCTGAAGTGACGGTCAGAGTGGCTGTGCGGTATTATAGAGTATTCGTACATGATAGCCCATGGGAGGGGCAAGGTTCGAGTTGGAAACATGTCTCATCCACGGCGTTTACTGATCAGGGTCTGATTGCTTTTCTCTCTGTCTTTATTCTTCTTCTCTTTTTTTCTCTCCTCTACCCAGGCTTCTTCTATGACATGGTGAGCCTCTTTCTTTGAGTATTCCTCCCCCGTCTCCCTCTACGAGATGGGGAACCGAGACGAGGTACTGCATACCGTCTGGAGACGAATGCATCAGAAGGAGAGGAGACGGTGTGGTTGGCTGCATTAGTATTTGTTTGTATTGGTCTGCCGGGGTGGTCTCGGCGGTTTCTCTTCCTTCCCGATATCTCTCTACGACGGTACAAGGTTGATAGCAGTAGGCAGTAATGGCAAGAGGCAGATGCAAGTATCGAATGTGCTCGTGGATTTCAGGAGCAACCGATGCAAGCTGGTGTCGATGGCGGCGTCGATGGCGATGGCAGTGGCAGCGACGGAGACTATTGTGCTAACCTATACATGGTATACGGTGTGCTTCCTGCTGGCGACAACACACGGTGATGACCCGTAGACGATGATGTGGCGGATATAGTGGTGCCTGCCTACTGGTACGTCCTGGGTCGATGGGTGTGTGTCTCGGGTGCTTGCTTGCTTGCTTGCTTGAAAGGAAAGGAAAGGAAAGGAAAGGAAATCGATCTATTATGAGATTACTGAGGTTATCTACTCCAAGATGTGAGTGCGGCAGCAACCTCTGGCTGCTTAGTCATGGGCAATCTCGGGTGGCACAGTATATGTACGAGTTGGCAAGATGTAGACCCGGGACTACATTGTCCTATTTCATGGCAGCTTTCTTTTTCCTTTTTTTTTCTCTTGGTTTTTTTTCCTGTTTTTTTTCTTGTTATTTTTTTATAATATATATATATATATATAATACGGTACGTCGGCTTATACGAGTAATACGTCGTACTATGTATTATGATACAGCAGTATTTGGGAAGAGAAAGAAGGTGGAGAAGAAGGATTTCATGAACGGATATTAGTAATATCAGTCCGTAATACTCCGTACAGACAGAAAAAAAAGAGTAGGGGTCGGTTGGGTTTGTTGGGATGAGTGCACGAGTAAACGATAATAATACTCCTCTGTATATGATACGTACTGGAAGGGAGGAGAGAGGAAGAGAGGACAGGGACAGAGTCATAGGCGAAACATGCATGCGTTAGTAGGTGCATATCACCGTACGGTGGTTATTACAAAGGGGTCAAATAATCTGTACATGACGGGGTAATCTGTACCCAGTGGCGGATGGATGCACGGAGCTGATACGGCACGTCACGAGGATCGAACGATGACAATCCAACCATCATCTCGTGGGTTTCTGTTCCTATTTGGGACGTACTCGTGAATGCGGAGAGGAAATGTAGAGAAGAAGAGAAGAAAAAGAAAGAAGATGAGAAGAGATGTCGCGAAGACATTGGTAAGTTTATTATTATTATATATATAAAAACACTGAAAAAATATATTTATTATTATTTATCGTTTTGGTGTACATGTCTGCCGAGGTTGCCGGAGAAGGGGGGGGGGGGGGGGGGATTGAGAATTCATGTACGAGTAGGGTGTATGTATATATATATGTAATCTGTATATATATGCGTGTTCGCACAGACTGCACCTGCACGTACAAGTAACAATACTACAGCTGATGGGATTGGGATGGTTTCTTTTCTTTTTCTTTTTTTTTTCTTTTCTTTTTTCCCTTCTCCGGATCTGGTATCAAGATGAATCGTATCGTTGTATGGGCCGAGTATCCGTACTAGACTCCTCTAGCTTACATCTCCAGCTGAGATGCGGAGCATCGAGATGTAAAAGAGAGGAATTTTATATTACGGAGTAATCTGTCCATCCATCGATATATGAATATATATATATATATGTATATGTATGTGTGTGTGTGTGTATTTTGCCACTAGTGTGAGCTTTTTTTTTTTTTTTTACTGCCTCTTTTTTTAAAATGTATCTATATGTCCTATTACATGTATATATACGTGTATAATCTGTTAGATGTGTACAAAATCATATACTATAATGCCATCTTGGTTCAGAAATTGTTCCAGCTAAGTAATAATAGGTGTTACTAAGTCTGTGGGAATAGCCGCATGAAAGCCGGATCGAGCGAAGAGACGGAGAGATACGAGATACGGGATGGGGAACATGAAAGAGAAGGCGGCTAGCGGTGATATTGACCAGATACTAATATCACCTCGGACACATGTGTTACGTATTAGACGAACAAGACTAGGCAAGATGGAAGAGGCTGGTATCACATGACGACCGACGAGATGAAAGGGTGTGTGTGTGTGTGTGCGTGTGTGTGTGTGGGACGGACCGCGCCTATTCAGAGACCGAGACACTAACTAAGGATTGGGAAACTAAGGATTGGGAAGTGAGAGCTAGTCGTAAAGCCTACCCGAGACTAACTGTGGACTCTTCTTCTTTTTTTCCCCCCCGACTTTCTTTCCATGAATGGAATGAGGATATGCATTTGTTCCCTGTTCATCTTGATTCTTCTCTTCTCTGCTTCTTTTCTGTTGTTGCTGTTGTTGCTGCTGCTGTTGTTCTGGTATCGTGATAGTGGGTGTGCGGGAAGAGAGTATGACGTGTTGGGGGTGATGACCTGCCATTTCTGATATTCTGTACAATTTTTTATATATATCTTATCTTATTTAATTTAATCTTGATTCAGCTACCAGTTTTTTCCTTCCTTCACCGCCAAGGAGGCAACCCACGAATGTCTTATAGATCCTCTCTCTTCATATACATATTTTCCCCCACTCTTCTTCTTCCTCAGTTGCTCCAGTCTGACTCGGTCTTCTAGGGTAGGATAATACCCCGTAGTGCCTATACTGTACGGAGTAGAGGGAGTAGAGGCAAAGAAGGAGGAGGAGGGAGAAGGAAGGAGGAGGAAGGAGGAGGAGGAGGAGGGAGGAGGCTTGTCTGCAATCCCCCACAGAGGAAGCCATGCCGGCTCACATGACGCAATGCATCGTAATGCTCGGTCGGTACTGAATTTACGTGGAACCCGGCGTAGTGACTAACCACCTACCCACCCACTCATATATACACAAACCTCTCTCATCCTCTCCCGTACGAGTACGAGTGATAATAAATAATACTAATAATACCTGTACGATCCTATCATCATGATCAATAAAGGGGGACAAGGGTTGCTACGCATCGGAGACGTGTGGGTGGGACCAGGAAGAGGGGCACCTTCCCCCCCCCCCCAATTTTTGCAATTTTTTCCAATTTTTCCAATTTCTGTTTTCTCTCAATATCTGTTGGGGGGAGGACCGATGAGTATTATATAATACGTAATATGTAGTACCCCAAGTACGCACTTGTCTGTACGAGTCCCGAGTATATATTGGATACAGCTGAGGAAGAAGAAGAAGGAGAAGAAGAAAAAAAAAAAAAGATCAAGATCAAGATCAGGAAGCGGGGAGGCTTTGCATACGAGTGCAACCGAATATGCAATCCAGAAAAAAAAGGAAAAACAAAAAAAAAAAGGTACATGTACTTCGCACTGCATGTCCGATCTGTGCGCCCGTCACAGGGTAGTAGTGATAGATAGTTAAGATAGTTCGCAGACTCGCGCAGCCCCCCCCCCCTTCCCCACCCATGGGACCTACCTCTCGTCCAGAGACTCTCCCTCTCCCTCTCCCTCTCACACACACATTCGCAAGGGTCGGTCGTGATAGATTAATACTCGGTCGTATTATTTACCTGGTAGGATGGTGGAATGCAGGTGCAGGTGGGCAGCTGGCAAGGTCGCAGGGGTTCATCCTATCCCAACTTCGTCTAGAGCCCCCTTGCCTGGTCCTGGTCCTAATCCATGTCGTCTCCGAAGGTCTTGGGTCTTTTTTCTCTTATATTAACCATGATCCATTCATATATAATCTGAAATGGTTTTATTTTATTCTATTTCATTCTGACATGTACATACATACATATATATATATATACATATATATATTTTGGTATCCATCTGGCGGCCGTTTCACATTTTCCAGCTACAGCTTTGCTAGTCTTCTCACCATCGTTATATTTTCCCCACCTCATCAGCGGGAGAGGTTCTTGCTCATCGGACGAGATGGATATCATCACTACGGAGCAGTACTACAGGAGTAGCAATGATGGATGGCACCGGGAGCAGGAAGCATCCTGCAGATACGTTACAGTCACCCCGTACATCCATGCCGTATCAGTAGCCACCACCACATCCCGAGTCGTATCGAAATAGTTTACAGAGTAGTACATGTGCTCTCCGTATACACATGCACCTGCGCCGAAAACCCCGTACTCTCGTAGACGGCAAGGAGAGATCGAGACCGCAGAGGGAGGGGCTGGTGCGACGAGCACCGAACAGTCCTCCTCCCATCGGCGGAACAGGTCGAGGCAGGTACCGGCGGCTTTTATAGGGCAGAACAGCACAGTCCGTACGGCGCATTGTCAGGACGCAACATTGATTGTCGGTACCTTGCCTTAGCGCCGCCGTCTTTCACTGAATCGATCAGGGGTCGCAGTGGGCTGCTGCTGCTGCTGCTGCTGCTGCTGATGCTTGAACCATCTCAACTCCGAACACCCGCAAGGTCGTAGCCGCAAGGTCACAAGCCTTCGTACACGTCCCCTCACCCCGCTCGCAACTCGCAACTCTTTGCCGTCTGCTGACCATGTCTTGGCGGAGCCGTCGGCGGACGCTGGAGACGACTCAGACTAGAGAGGAGGAGGGGGAGGGGGAAGGGGGAGGGGAAGGGGAGGCGTAGCCGTGATGCGATGCTATACGCTGTATCTGTACCTGTACGGAGTTGGGTACGGTATTAAATTACACTGCGTCGCAGGTATCATCGGTAGCCTGTATCGACTGATGATGTGGCGATGGCGTCTTCGTCGTAGAGGTAGAGTAATACGGAGTAATGTTGAGTCTATCCATATTCTTGGCGTCGTCGTAGATCTCGGCGCTGGGAGCAGCAAGTCAAGACCGACGCAAATGCAATGCTGGTACTGGTATTCGTACCGGAACAGGACGACTCTACAGTAATCGATATATAATACATGATACTCGGTCCACGTAACCTGTATCCTCGTCGGCAATACCCGTGTACACATGTCTCTATCATGTCGTGGATATGTGGATATGTCGAGACTTGATCGGACATGTGCTGGGCTGTCCAGGAGAAGGGTAGAGAGGCCCTTGCAAAGATGAGAAGTGACTGGCATCCTCCCCGTCTCTCTTCTCTCTCCCTCTCACCCTCTCTCTCCCGACTTTTCCTTCCCATCCATGGTATCGTCATCCATGCCTGACTCGTGTTGTGATGCGCCCACCGTATATTGTCTGTTGGTTGGGATCCCTGTATTTGATCATTTGATCCATTGTATGGACGGATGGATGGACGGATGGGTGGATGAAGGGGACCTCCCCCATCCCTCCTTCTCCCGTGACTGACGGGGAGGAATGCGACGGTGCGGTTGCTGCCGGGTTACAGATGGATACCTCTCTGGTCGACAGGTTCGGCCGAGGCCTATGAGGCCTATGAGGTACCTCCTCGGCAGAGGCAAGAAGAAGGAAATTGAATGTGTGTGTGTCTGACCTTTATTTGAGACTGGCTGAAAAGGCTCAGGAGAGTGGAGGGGACAAGACAGGATAGGACAGTGGGGGGGGGGGG